AAAAGATTTGGCGTTGTGACTTCAAAAACATCTGAAGCTGTTTTTTTTTTTCCTCCTCATGCGACACTGAAATTCTCATTTAAAGCTCACATTAATGAAAGTCAGCAGGTCGAGGAAGTTTTTCAGGATCCCTAAAGCTGCTCTAATAAGAAACTCCCAAACACGGCTGCGGAGAGATTTTTTACAGGCCGTTATCTCAAGTCGAACGTGAAATCACCGAATTATCAGCAAAGAGGGAGGAAATTCCTCGCACTCGGAGCGGATGACACGCTGACTCGCCGATATCTGATACGTAATAAAAGGCAGGAATCGCTCTGATTCATCACAAACACACACAGACACTGTGAGGAATTACTTCTGTTTTCTCACATAATACGTGTCATAGACTTGTTCACAAACTGCACTAAACATAAAATAGTGTTTAATGTTTGTGCTATTTTAATTTGATCATCTAGAAAAATGTACAGTGTTGCTCGGGAAAGCACACAATCATCTTTGTGCATGCTTTGAAATATTTACTTTAATTTCGAGCTCGCAGTGCAGCTAAAGGTCTGTGTTTAACGTACAGTAGATGGTGGGAATCACTTCACTGGAGCTCCTTTACTGTTTTTAGTCACAACTGGTATTTGCAACTGCATGAATCTATAAAAGCCTGAGACATTTTCTTTATATCCTGTCACAGAATTCCAAAACATTAAGCCTTTATATAGAAGTTTTTTAAGAGTTGCCTGCGGCTGTGGATGCTTTACGGCCCTTCAATCCGTCTTGTGGGAACGGCGCTCATGACTTTGGGGCGTTGGAGAAACATTAAACATCTCAGTAGCTGCTGAATGCGGTTAATACGGAGGCTGCAGCTCAGACGGTTTTAGAACACCAGAGGTATGCGTTCATCCCTGCTCGTCTTGAACATCAAACTCTCAGCTCGGTGCGTTTGGAGCTGGTCCGTTTCAGCTCTGTATCTCTGGGAGACAAACGTACACTCGCGCAAAGAAGAGTCTAAGATCAACGAAATGGTTATAAAATGAGAGAATCTAGACTACCACAGCAGCCGATTTGCCGCTGCTGCCTTACAGTGTGTCCGACTGTTCCTCTGCGTCTTTGCTGGAATGTCATGTAACCGGGGGGTCACTGAAGTTCACGGCTAAATAAAGGTTCTCTTCCATCGCGGACGCCGAGGGGGAACTAACGTGCGCGAGGTGATGCGTGCTCACTGGCTGCGTGTCTTTGTGTGTGAGAGGTTGGCAGTTCGCACCTGCCTCGCTTTGATAGATTTCTGGTGTTGCGGCCAAGTCACAGATAGATCTGGTGTCTAGTTTTACGCAAAGCACAGCAGGACTCAAGTCATAACACAGAACTTGGATCGGGTTGGTCTTTTTGAAACGAGGGTTGTCACGGTATCAGTTTTTTAGAACAGGATTATCATGGCCAACATCATTCAAAATAACGATACTATTGTGATATCTATAGAAAAATGTAAAAAGGTCTGTACGCTATTATCAATCAAATTCATCATTAACTGTGATTATTGTGTTCAATGTTTGTTTGTTGGCAAATGAATTACAGTCTGTCTGTAACCATAGCTGTACTGTAGGTTGTTTCTACATTGGAGTGTCGACCAAAAAATGACTTACACTGGATTATTATTAACATGATATCAATACAGTCGTGACTCGATAATCCGACACTAAATGCAAAACCTTCTTTTATGTCAGATAGCAAGGCTGTCGGATTGTCAAGACGGAGGTCGCGATACGAGGAGGGCTTGATGCTTGAAGGCTCATTTGTTGTTAATATTTATTGTCTATTGTTGTTAAAATAACTAGTAGGGTTGGTCCCAATAGCACTTTATGGTCTCTGGATATTCAGGCCCAATTAATGATGAATATCTGAATATTGGCTGCTGATGCTAGTTTAGTGAGCGGTCACACTTCGGTTTCCACCATGCGGGACACTTTTGGGTTGTATGAAGTTCACACAGCAGATCACATACAAGTCACATTTAATTAGAAATGTGAACGAACTCGCAAAAAAATCGGATTTCACAAAAAAATCAGAATTGAGCATCAAGTCCTGCAGTCTGAACGTAGCCAATCTGTGAGATTGTTCAGTCAGATAATACGCCATTATCCTGATATAACATGTCATGTTGGAGTCGGAATCCAAGGCTGTCGGTATGTTAAGGCTGTTTTTAATGGGTTCCGTTCGATATTCCTAAAAACCTGTCGGATAGCAAGGTTTTCGGATTGTTAAGGGTCACATTATGGAGTCATGACTGTATGTCACTTTTTAAAGATCCCCTCTGTTAAAAATCCATTTTTAAGAAAACTTTGCAGTTTAGTTTTAGAGCAGCTGAATGTATTTTCAAAATATTACATTCAGTTTCAAGTGTACTGGAATTCAGTTCCAATCTAATAAATTAAAATGAGGAGGCTCTAGTTAAAACTTTTCAACCAGTTCTTCAAGCTATGCAACTCAAATTAAAATTATGAGATCCAAATTCTACTATTTATTACAATTAATCAAGTTTTGTAATTCAAATTTACTATAAAAGATTCAAATTCAGTTCCTTGTAACGCATATTTCTGCCTATATACGAGTATTAGTGTTTGCATAATGAGGCCTCTGTCCGCAGCTCAGAGCAAGTGCCGGTGAACATAAAATATTATTGTCAAACACTTTCCAATCTAGTATGATCATTATCTTCATTATTTGTAGAAATAGTCTTATTAATGTGATGTAAAGTAGATTTACGGTAAGTGAGCTGGTATGCTCGAGTTACAGCGGGTGGAGAGGGGTGAGTGGAGAGAGAGGCGGGCTCTACGTAGAGCCACGCATTCTGCAGGAAGCAATTGAGCAGAGCTACATAAAAGTCATTTTAAGGCAGAAAGGGATTATTTTCATGAAACATTTCTACATGTATAAGCTTGACACAATTTTTAGGGTTTCAATCAAAGCCTGGAGTGAGAATTTAAATATCATGGTTGTCCACTATACCACCTTCACCAAACATTGTGTACAGAAGTCTATTAACCCTTTCAACACTATAGCCCGCTATACCGGGCTGGCACTACGACTCCCGTTCAACCCTGCAGCCTGGTATAGCAGCTCCGGTATATGACGACTTTCTGTTACATTCATTTTGACTGTCTCTCAGTGAACAAGCGATTCAGTCATGAAATAAATTATACAAATAATAATAATAATAAGAATTGCATACAGGGTTCTTGTCAGCGTTATATCAGAGTGACGGCCCGCTACGCTGCTGCCTGAAAAAACTACGCTGCAAACTGGGCCGATTACTTGTGTTTGAGGGTACGTAACGGGAAAATATTTAACAAGCGCCGATGGAGTTTCGCTACCGTCGACTTCAATGCTAACGCTGCTATTCGCTAGTGTATTTGCCGCTAACCGTTAGCAGCATTCGCTAAGGCCCCCTCCTCGGTTCAATGGTTTAATAATAAAAATACAGACAAGGCACAATCCAAAGATCGGAGTTTAGATTGGAGAGCGACCGTTTTGTAAGTGCAGAAAAAAAATACAAAATTTGAGCATTTTGAGGACGTTTAGCTACAACTATCTGTCATATCCATGTGCATCCTTAGTGCCTCTTATGGCCTTTGTGAAACCTTTAGATCAGAATTTAGCTGATGAAGGTGTAAGAATGGACAATTTGGAGCTAAAGTGAGTAAAAGTGACCAACTAAAGCCTTGTAAGGCAAGTTTATGATTTTTCATTTTGAGTTTCTTCATGAGGATACAAATGACAGACCTCAGCATCGACTGATTCAGAGACCATGAGGGACAGATACCGTTTGATTTAATGGATCGGTCTGATATCACTACATTTCTTAAATCTAGACTTGCAGATTTATTAAATTTTTGTCAGCAATGGACTTCCGTAGATTTCACTAATTGCCTGTTAGTTCTGGGTCGCATGTGACGGTTAACTTGTATGCAAAGACTACATGTGAAATGCGACATCCCTGCTTTTACATGACAGAGACACAGCTCCCACACCCTCACTGGACCCCCCCAACACACACACACACACACACACACACAACTCAGCTTCATGCGACTGCAGCGTCAGCATTCGGGGCTTTGTGTGGCACAATGGGCGCGCTTGTTTTCCTTAACACCACGAGCCCATGTGACGAAAGCTCGCTCCGAGAGAATAAGAGCGAGAGAGAGAGACATCCAGACATTTGTTTGTGTCACACTGGAGACTTTGGTGACCTGAGCTGAGCTGAAAGACGCACACACACATGTACATACGAACACAATAAGAGCCCATACCCACATGTACCAGCGCAATCAGACACACACAGCAGCACATGCAGCTCCCATAATGACCCATCACTCATTCAGAAAGCACATTTCTGATGCTGCTGCTGCTGCTGCATGACCACACGTCAATATTTGGTTGAGCACAGAGCAAAAGGTGGGACAGCTGTACAGGCCAAAATCACAATGAATGTGGCAGAAGTGAGACGCTTTCTTAGTGAATTTGTCTCTGCTGTGTTGTGTTAATGTGAGGAACACCAGGAAGATGCCATGAGCACACACACAAGCAGTGATGGGTTTGGTTATTCTGAGGGCAAAGTGTGAGGAGTAGGTAGGTAAAAAAAAACAAAAAAACAAAGAAACTCCACACAGAAAATTCACCACTCGCTCAAACAAGACAGCACATCCTGTTAAACAAAACAGGTCAACCACAAGCTAAAAGCAATAAAAAAAATAAAAGAAAAACTTTGCTTCTCCTTGGCAAAGTTGACACGCTTCCACAAAAAAAGGAAAAAGAACACCCCAAAAAATTCAATCAATCCAGCTTTTTTTTTTTCTTTTCTTTTTTTTTTTTTTTTTGGTCACTAAAGTCAGAAAGCACACGGTTTAGCTAACAACACCACTTCATAACTGCACACAAAAGCTACGTTCTATTCAAATAAAATAAAAAATAAAAAGTCAAAATGAAACCCACGTACATGCATCTGTAATCACCATTTTGAGAGCTTGTTTGTGTGTGTTTGACTCTACAGGTAATTCCTTTCTCTGATCTGTGATTATGCTCGCAGAACTATTCCACAAACCAGCACAGTAAGCTTAACCGAGAGCGAGCCTGTCGAACCAGAGAAAGATAGATAACATTGAGTCAGGCTGGAAGTTTCCATCATTGTCCACTCAGCAAACACACGCAAGTATGTATACACACTCACACACATTTCTTTCTTTCTTTACAAGGAGGGCAAACCTCCACAAGGCAGTTTGACTGGCTTTTTTTTTGACTTAGAAAATTGCTAAATATTACATATTATCCACCTCTGATCATCAGACATCACTTACTCAAGGAAAAAAAGCATACAGGATGAGAAAAATCTGACTTATTGTATCAATTACAATAAATTAAGCTGAGTAACTGAATGATTTAATCAATTCACATCTCAGTATTCCTCTAAAATGCATGTAGACTCATCAGTTCTTACCCATAAGGCCTTTGGATGAACGCAGGGTGAATTTGGGGAACACCAAAGGTAAAACCTGCAAAACAAAATGACTTTAAATTCAGAAACAAAACCCCACTACATAAGCCTGAAACTCTCTGAGTATCTATAACCCAGTAACCTCCTGACATGTTGCCACAACCGCAGCAGAAATTTGAAAAACAAACGGAGCCCTCAGGTGAAAATAACTACCGTGCGGATTCTCTTTACCTGGCTGCATCACCCGAGGTTTGGCCCCCAGGTAGGCCAGGTTGACATTGGCCTTCCTGCCGTCGATGATTGGGTTGGGGTCCTTGCAGGCCCGATCTGCGGCCGAGCGGTCGGCCATCGTCACCTGACAGGAGGCGAAAGCAGAGCATGAGAAAGACGTGCAGACTCCGCAGCCTTCACGGTTGTGTATAAAATATTATAAACTGCTTGTAAGAGAGAAACACATTTTTATACTGAGGTGTGTGTATGTGTGTGTGTGCAACAGAGTCTTCTCTCTGTGGCAGGTATTTGGCAACACACACACATTTATCACCCTCATGTGGATGTGATGAAACTATGAGCAGTGAATTGGAGCCAAGCTGAGACCGAACACTGTCGCTCCCATTGCAACAACTGAACTTTATTGCTCCACTCAGAGCTTTATGGCATTATGATCTCTTACTAAACGCCTTTCTAAATACAGAGGTGGCAAAAAAGCGTAACAGAGAAGACAACAAATACATGACTATGACTCAGATGCAACAATAAAGAGAAGGTTTAAATAAAAGTCAACCCAACATACAAATGCAGAACATAAGTCAAAGCTTCTTCTCAAGACTATTTAAAGTTATCAGTTAAGTTCCTTGGATGCTCCTGTTGCATTTATATTTATGCACATCTAAACTTCTACTATGAAGAGAGTTTTTAGACATACTCAGTGACTTATGTCTCCAAAAAAAAATGCGCCTGAAAAGCTGTTGGTGCCAGATTTTATGACAGCTCAGAACATTTTTCCAACGTTGTAAACAGCTTGAAGATGGTGAAACCACAACGGTTTGAGAAAACTGCCTCTGCAATATCAAGACATTATCGTGCGCCCACCAGAGCTGTCAGCGAGAGGGCAGCTCAGTGGGAAAAAAAAAAAAAACGTGTCAGGGCGCATACCAACGCGCAACAAGTCGGTGGGTGCGAGATTGCAACAGAAGCCAATGACAAATTTAAGCAGGGCCTCCTTATCAAAACATAAACATCCCGTGACCGCAGAAAGATATATCAATGTTAGTCATGATGTTGTGAAAGACCGCAACAGCCAAGCCACATTACTAGAAAACACTTGATGCTCGGATTGGATCTGTGCGTAAAAGTGACATTGTGCGTAAAGCTGGTAAATGGTGTCATAGAGCGATACTTACAAATCCATAACCTCTAGACTTGCCGGTCTGCCTGTCAGTGATGACCACCGCTTCTTCAATCTCACCAAAAACCTCAAAATATTTCCTGAGACTTGAGTCCGTGGTGTGGTAGGGAAGCCCCCCGACAAAAATCTTCGTGTAGGTCGTGTCCTTTTGCGTGGTGTGCATCGTTAGTGCAAAAATACAATAAATAGAAACAACACAAAATAATAGTGCAATGTCTCCTTATCGGTAATTCTTTGGATGCAGAGAGATAGAGAGAGAGGGAGAAGGAGAGAGTTCAGCTGGCTCTGTAACTTTTTTCAGAAGAGAAAACAACACAAAAAAACTTCGACAGTGATGAAGCCTGGAGGTAGATTTATCTTGCGACAGTAAAGAGGGCAGTAATATGGAGCGGATTGTCCCAAAGATACCATCAGGTGTTTCCAGCTCTTCTTGGTAACTCTGCTGTCTAACTAAATAGGTTTGGGACCCATTCCTAAAAGCGTTGCCTCTAACTCCACCCAGTTTTCAGTCTGTCTCTCTGCCCGCCCACCGATCAGGGCGCACAAACAGCTGGGAAGCCTGCTCAGTGTGAAACACTGGATCTCCTTCAGTCTAACTGATCCAAGGCTGCAATCACGTTTAATTAACCATCGAGGGCCAACAAAACCTGACTCCTGATGATGGGACGAAGAGGAGCGGTGACTTTCAGGAGATGCACAAAAGCTCACAGACCTTTTTGTTCGATCTTCATTACTTTGTATTTTTTTTGGTCAGGTTTGGGATTTTTTTTTTTTTTTCTGGGAAAAAGTTCCAAAAAGTTTCCACATAAACAGCAGGTCAGGGGACATGGCAGCAGAGACCAGAGAGACAGGTGCAGCAGCTTCGCCTTTGAGACAGTGCACTTGTGGGGGGTTGACAGAGTTTTGGCAAGTTTCCGCAGACAGCCAGAAGGCATACAATAAGTGTGGACTGCACTCTAATCTGTCTTCTGTCCCTAGAAGACCTGAGATTCTGATCTTCGAGCAACATTTTACTTTATGAACCTTTACCTAAAGGTCATAAGGCCATAGGTGCCACTGTTTCCACTGCTGGTGTGCTCATATAACAGGTTTGTGGATATCTAGCTCCAGTTTATACCGATTTCAGGGTCATACATTCAACAAAAGACACTAAGCCGAGGTTCATAATAAGACTTGTACTTGCTCAAAAGGACATCTCTGGATTTGTTGGCATTATCTGTTTAATTTTGTGGGGTCGTCACTTTAATTTTAATTTAGTTAATACGTTTTTAACCCTAATATTTAGGACAGTCAGGTTAATTTGTGTAATAAATACTATTCCAGGTCCTTATTATTTGACATTAATCTTACTTCTCTTCTGGAAAACTCTTTGGCTCATTGTCTGATATTTGAAAGGTGCCATATTAATGACTTCACTTAACTAAAAACAAAGCCATACAGTCATAGACATGCTCAAATTGAGCAAGTTGTTATGATAAGGAAGGATCAAGTGCAACAGTCAGAGATCAGTTCCATAAAGAGTGTCTCAACATCAGAGATTAAAATAACTCGTACAGGCCGTCATCCACCGACTGCTGGATCCCTGAACCTCAGTTTGAACAGCCAGGATGACTAATTCACCTCCAGTAATGTGAGAGGGAGCTCTGCTGTTAATCATTCATGCCGGCTCGCTTCTGTGAGCGCTCTGTTGCTGGCCTACATATATCCATCTCCCTCCAGCGTAACACAGTGAGCTGACACATTTGCAGGAGGGGGAACATTACCGCGTGTCGTATTAGTAAGTAAGTGTAAAAACCTCGCAGTGGCAGTTAAGTCAGGTCACTAGACACATTTATTTTTTGCTAAAGATGACCCGAAATCATCTTCAATTTGTTTCAGCACTTTTTCGCCGGTTAATTATCCTCCACCAGAATCTGAGATAAAAGTCTAACAAAGGCCCAGAGATGCTGTCGCTTCCGTCTGAATGTGAATTGCTGCCGCACGACTCCACATCACAATGAAACGCAACCTGATAAAGCGCCTTTCTGCGGTGTCTCTGTTCGCCCGCTGTTTTATTAATGCAGCCACACGCCCTTTAAAGTCCGAGTGGAGCCGCGAAAAAAGGGGGAGCCGGGATCGAGTTTCTCAGGCTCCACAATGGGGATGCGGTCAGGTTGCGTGCTCTTATTGTCTGTGCTCATGTGCAGCATGCTGACTAGTCTGAATCCTCTCAGACAATACGGTGGCCCCGTTGAGAACTTAATTTATTCTTTCCTCGTGGTAATCTTCAGGAATACTCAAACTTCCAGCTGTTCAGGTCAAACGTGTCAGCGATCACCACCAGAGCTATACTTTGCAAATGTTCCTGTAGATTAATTTTCCATGATAACACACTGTTAACGGTTTAGTCTTACGAGGAAGGCTGCTGTTCTGGAGGGCTGTAACTTTGTTCTCGTCACCCATGTAGCTTTAGCACACCTGTCGGGCAGAGGAGAGCTAAAGGTCAGAGGTCGGCGAAACAGCTGAACACCCACAAGCACAGTCACACCCCCAAAACCAAACCTGTATCTGTAAAAAAAAAAAAACCTCATCTAAAAGTCAAGATTTCTGAGTTTTTTCTTCAACTTTTTGGATTCTGATAAATTGTAGCCTACACGTCTCATTCATAGAAACAACGCTTAGAGAAAAATGGGAGTTTTATTGATCATTGAGAAGCCTGAAACACATCTATTCACACAAGGCACTTCCTCACATGTCACCGAAATCACCTCCATGTAGCTTGTCTTATAGCTGAGGCGCACTGACTGACTTCTGCAGGACAACTACTGAAACAGTGCCATCTTATGTCCAACAGAACAACTGCTTCACATGCATAAACAGGACAATAGCATTTTTCACAGTGCAGCGTAAAACAAAAAAAAAAATCTCATTAAAATCTATTTGGTCTGTTGGCAAGAACATAAAATCATATATTTTTAAAGCAGTCACTGAGGTAAATCACATTACATTTCAAGGTAAACCCTCGTGTCCCTTTGTGCTTATTACTGAGCTTATTATAATAATTTATAGGCTAATGTTCTCCAGAAAACAAATGACTCACCGTAACGTTAGCTTCAGCCATTTCTCATTACAAATTTACATTTTTACATCTCTGATACATTTTTTTTACAGGTTCTAACAGGCTTCTAGGCTGTGCAAAAGGAATGATTTCTTTACTGCCTGCGTAGTGCTGATTAATGGCTCATTTATGTAATCATTTAAAACATTTCTTCATTGTCCTCTGCACGGTGAAAGCTAGAATCACTCTCCAGCTCCCCTGAGGCGGACAGAAGCTGACCCGCCTTGAGCTCCTCTACCTGGGTCAGCTCCTCTTCTTCCCTTTCACCGTCCTCACTTCCCCCCTCAGCACCTCTGTTATCTCTGCTCTCTCCTCCGCCCTCGTCTCCCCTGCCATCCATTCCTGCCTGTCTCACCCACTGCCTTCCCTCCGCAGCTTCTCCAGCGATCTGACTGTGAAGCAACGGAGCTGGAGTTGCATCTGGGATGAGAAGTGACCTTAGCGGCTCCACGGGGGTGAGGGACGCGTCTTCATCCTCCTCCACGCTGGAGACGAGAGCGGGCCCGCGAACACGCGCTGACTTGGTCCTTAAACGCGTCTTGAGTTCGTCTTCCCTTGACTGAAAGAGGGAGGAGGGGAGTGTGTGGGAGGAAAGACTGAGATAAACCATGAGGGAGAAGGAACACGCACACACACACACACACACACACACACACTGTACCTTGCGTCTCTCCTCAGCGAGCCTCATCTTCTCATCAATCTCTTCTCTGCTGCGGAGACTTTGAGTCTTTTTGGCCTTCAGAGACTCCAGTCTGGCAGGAGGCCTTCGTCTGACCCCCTCCCTGTCATCCAGCTGACACACACACACACACACACACACACAAAGTTGCAGTTTTCAGCATTATTGCGTCAACCCAATTCATCACAAAATAATATTTGCAACTTAAAATGTTTATCTTAATCAGCAAATGTGTCCATGCATTTGTTTAAGTGGTTGCATTGCTCCCTTGAATTACTTTTTTAGAGTGTAGGTCTTTGCTTAAAATGGAAATCACCCTGGTGTGTATGTTGAACTTTACATGTGAAAGATTTGATATATTATAGGCTTTTTGTTTCATATAACCCTCAATAAATAGACTTCTTACTGCTTGTGTAGGATACTTGCAGTCTACAATAACCAAGACCATCAGCAGCCACCCATTAGCCCCGCCAGCGATTATATTTAATATTTAAACACATTGTATTTGTCACGAATACATTTAAATCTTCCATCCATCCATTATCTATACATCGCTTAATCCTCACTAGGGTCGCTGGGGGCTGGAGTCTATCCCAGCTGACTCAGGGTGAAGGCAGGGCACAGACAACCAAGCACACTCACATTCACACCTACGGACAGTTTAGTATCACCAGTTAACTTCAACATGTTTTTGGACTGTGTGGGAGGAAGTCAGAGAACCTGGAGAGAACCCACGCTGCACGGGGAGAACATGCAAACTCCACACAGAAAGATCCCAGGTGTCCTCACTATGGGTCTTCAAGGTCTTAATATACAACAAGGCTCAGCTGTGTAGCCAGATTTGGGAATTTTGTACTTCATTGAAAACATGAATTAAAGAGAAACTGGAAACCAATATTTGATATTTGATATTTCCGTTTTATTTTATATTCCTGTTGAAACTAGATCTGCATGTTCATTCACTGAACTTGGTCATATGAGTAGTGCAGTCTGTTCTGAGATTTGCAAAGTTTAAAAATGTGGATGGAGGTGCTTTGAGGCGAAAGTATTTGATGTCTTGACATGAGTAGAGCATCGATATGTTTGAGAAAATAAAGATGCTTTGAAAATACATTAATATCTAAGAAAACTGAAGAAGCACATGCATTGTTTTTTATGTTGCTGAATCAGATGAGCTGAAAAATATAATACTTCTTTTAAGTCCAGGAAAAAACACTGAGCAATATCACAATATTAAACAAATCTAAACCTAAAACTTACTTAGTCTCATATCTCAGTGTTGACAATGTGCCCTTCAGGTCTGCCAAAGTGGAATTTCACCTACAGGTGGTGGGAGATAATTGGCCTGTCAGTCTCTTCCACATCAACCAGAACAAACCAGACACCCACCATGATGCTGTAGGCCTCTGGAGCCCCGCTGCCCTTCTCTCTGCTCTGTCCCACCGAGATGATGCCCTGATTCAGCAGCTCCTCCAGGATCTCGCTGGACTTCGGACGCTCCTGCACTGTGCTGTCTCGCCGTAGCAAGCCTGGAGCAGCAGATCACATAAAAACAATCTAACGCTGGATTTATTTATTTATTTATTTATTTTTTTACAGTGTGCTGTAGTCTATATTATTCAGCGTGTTTGTAGAACACACTCACAGTCTTGTGTGATTCTGTTCGCCTCACTTTCTCTCACAGTCTCAGATGTTAGAGGAAGGAGTTTGGTGGACACAGCTCCAGGTAACACGGGGATCTCTCTGTTCTCCATCACCACACCGCTGTCTGTGGTGCCCTTCGACACCGCAGAGTCTCCACGGCCACCGAGTTTACTTCCAGTCTCATCCTGGCAGCACAGAGACACCAAATGAACGCAAAAATTACACATAACTGCATCCTGACATCATTTGGGCGGCTGTGGCTCAGGTGGTAGAGCGAGTCGGTCAATGATCAGAAGGTCGGCGGTTCGATTCTGCCCTGTAACCTGTGTCATGGTCGCTGTGTCCTTGGGCAAGACACTTCACCCACCCTGCTTGGTGTGAATGGGTATGAATGGATTGTTTGAGGTGGTGGTTGGAGGGGCAGAATGGCAGCCACGCCTCTGTCAATCTGCCTCAGGGCAGCTGTGGCTACAATTGCAGCTACTACCACCGGGATGAATGTGTGTGAATGAATAATTGACAGTGTTAAGCGTCTTTGATTGCCTTGAAAAGCACTATATAAATCTGATCAATTATTATTATTCTGTATGGTATCACAGACTGGATGTTGTCATGGTGCCATCTGAGTGTTGACACATTGTCATGAACACAGTAGCTCGGGAACAATAACAGACACTACAAATAACATCCTCACACATTATCATGACTTCTAAAAGGTTCTCAAAAGAAGCACCGATGACAGTGGTGTCATTCTGTGACCAGGGAAAATCTGTCACCTCCTGTATATTATCAGTAAACTGGAACAATGAGTTAAATTGGACTCAGCTTTGATACTGTAAATTACTACATTTTGGACTCATTTTCACCACGGCTATACAGCAGTGGGTTTTTTTTTTTTTTTGGTTGTTCTTTATGCTTTCACATTTTTTTTACATGCTGCATTTGGATAGCAGTTACCAAAATGACTCAGTTATTTAGCGATGCGAATAATACAGAAAAACTGTAGAGGCTTTGTGGAGGCACTTGTCTTCTTTTTAACCTTATACTGTAAAGAGGTAAATGTCAAAACACCAGACATATAAAACTGTAAAAACAAGCCAGAGCTGTTCATAATAAACATTTAAGTCGCTTGGGACCATTCTTAAAGTTGTACGTTTTTTATTTCTTTTACGAAGGGGCTATGGTATATCAAGTGTTCAATTCAACTATAAGACTAATGATGACCAAGACTGATGTATACATATATAACTCCAATGTTGTAGATTTTAGGAAAACTTATATTTTTGTTGTTTGCTTGAGATAATATCAATCAAACTGAAGTTGAGTGGATTTGACTCAGTAGAAATGACATGACAAAAACAGAGATAACTTAAGTTTGATTGATATTGTCTCAGGTAGACGATGGAAAAGTGGGTTTTCTGAAGGTTTGTGAAGATGGAGTTATCTGTTTTTTGCAAATGAACTCTTCGTATATACGTACAACTAATGTGTGTATTTTGCTTATAACGTGTATACCTTTAACTCGCTAATTTTATAATAAATAATAACTAAAGAAAAAAGAAAAAAAATGGTGAATATCAGAAGTGTGAGTATATGAAGTCAGGCAGTTTTCTGGGCAGCTCTTCCTCAGTGTCACCACATTTCACGGTACACAGATTTAACCGTAACACCTGCACCCCTCTGTATTTTTACTTTAATATTTAGCCCTAAACACTAACTGTAGCTGGCTGTAACACTTTTTTTTATTATTATTTTTATATTTTTTTTAACACAGACGTAAAACACAAACCAGCTCTGACCCTTATCTCCCCAGTCGACCCACCACGGCGGTGCTGGTGGGAGCCTACCTGGTCTCCGTTCAGCTCTCCGGCCGTCAGCGGTCGGACCGTCGTCTGCGTGGAGCTTCCGCATCCCATCTTCACCTGAGAGCAGCGAGGTGAGGTGGGTCCATAAAAAGTCCTAAAAGTCAGGATTAATTAGCGCTCGGTGTGTTTTTAAGTCACCGTATTTGACCCGCGTCGCCCCGCATTCCTTCACTGTCTCCATGGACTCGGGCCGTTGCTAGGGGCCGGTTGCTACAATAAATCTGACCCGGTTAAAGAGGCGACACCCAGGGACAAGCCGCAGGTGTCGGTCCTGCTCACACTGCTTTACCTCAGGTCTCATGGCTGTGATTGTCCTGTAACTATCAGAAACATTTAACACCACCAGTAGCACGTTATATTACTATATATTTATACTCTTACAAGGCTTTTATTTTATAATTTTGGTGTCTGCTGGTGTTAAATCCCTAAAATGACAATCTACTTAAAACAAAATATAGATTTAATCCTCCTTAATATTTACAAGTGCATTTCCCCCCTCTAATAGAGTTGCTTCCCCCCCAGCATTATAAGTTTTAGGAGTAAATCAAGCCAAATATGTATGTGTGTGTTGATTCAGGAGGGTTAATAATAAATTAGGAAAGTTAATAAATAGGAGAACAAATACTTGGAGGCAGCACAGAATGCATGAGAGCATCGCTGCTTTATTTTCCAGTATATTTCCATCTATCACCTGGTGTCACCTGAATTTTGTGGCATTTTCACCATAAACAGATGCAGAATAGACACAAGCTGATGCATAAACTGGTGCATCTACCAGAAAGAAGGAAATGACGTGTTAGATGCTCAAAGTTTACACAGAAGGACCCCCAGCTTGATGTGCATCTCATCCTATTGTTGAAATAAAATCTGCACCCATGCATCTAAAGCCAGGTGCAGGAAAGAAGTGGCGTTGGTGTTAACAGTCTGACTAATTTATTAATTTGGATTTACTGAAATATAATGAGTAATACCTCATTAAATAGGATCACGCATCACCCTCTTAAATGATTCTGCAGATTATTTGGTTTATTGTTTTGGAGTTGTGTGTATAAAGATCCCAAACTAATTTATCTTTAACAAAATTTCTTACTTTTGCCACAAACCCTCCTTGCAGATGAATTCAGGCATTTTCATTATTACATGTAAAAGTCTTTTCATTTAAGCGTCCCCATTTAGCAAGAAAAAACTGGGGAAAGCTCTTGAAGACATGTGCCAGTCACCGAAAAACTGAACTATTATATTAAAAGTCTTGACAAATGCTAGTCAGTTAGACTAACCTAATGCGAGCCATCTTTCAATCTCTGCTTGCAATGGTGACCTCATTTTTTTATTTTTATTTTTTTGTATCATGAAGTGTTTAAGACTTTGAGTTAAGTCTATAAGCAGAAATGTGTTTCCACTGTCCAAAATATTTCAAATGAATATAGTCTAATTTAGTTTTGTTTCGGAGCTGCAAGGTAGCTCGGTGGTTAGCACCGTTGCCTCGCAGCCTCCCAGGAGGTTGCTGGTTCGCGTCCCGGTGAGGACACCTAGGATCTTTCTGCGTGGAGTTTGCATGTTCTCCCCGTGCAGCGTGGGTTCTCTCCGGGTTCTCCGGCTTCCTCCCACACAGTCCAAAAACATGTTGAGGTTAATTGGTGATTCTAAATTGTCTGTAGGTGTGAATGTGAGTGTGCTTGGTTGTCTGTCTCTAAGTGCAGCCCTGTGATAGACTGGTGACCTGTCCAGGCTGTCCCCTGCCTTCACCCTAAGTCAGCTGGGATAGACTCCAGCCCCCTGTGACCCTAGTGAGGAATAAGTGATGGACAGATAATGAATGAATGGATAGTTTTGTTTCACCTTTCAACATATTTTTTAGTCCATTACTGCATATATAGTATTTTTTTTTTACTAATTTGATCAATGTTATGAAGTAGATTTGAAATATGTCATCTAAACACCTAATTTACACCTTAAAACACCAAAAAAGAAGTGCATCCTGACTCTAGACAATCCACCAAAAGTATGCTGGGAGGTATTTTTAATAAATGCAACGCCACATGGAAAAGCCTCCAGATGGCAGTAGAGCACTAGCGCACTCTGATCTACTGAATTTGGGGTCTGGAGCAGCCCGGGGCCGTGTGGAGCTGGGGTCTGTTGCCGAGGATCACGGTGCTGCCACGAGGAGGCAGGAAACTCTGGTGCAGGTTCTGGCACCTCTGCTGTGTCTCCAGGTGTTGAGCATTTTTAGCTATTTTGCTCTCTAGAAGCTTGAGGCGGTGCTGTGTGAGCGCCAGGTCCTGCCTGTGAAAGATGAGGGTTTGAAGTGAGGATTCTATTCTGCTATTGTTTGTGTCATTAGGGAGATAGGATTGTGACTCCTCGTGTGAATAGACGGACTTACTGAGAGTTCTTCAGGACTGAACGAAGTTCAGCTGACATTTTTTCCAGGTCACGTTTCTCCAGTGTGAAGCTGATGTGAGGCTGGAGGAAAAACAGGGTTAAAGTCATCATGTTTCCACAGTAATAACAGCTGCAAACATGAGCATTTAAAGCTTTTTGGTGACTGTGCCTAAGTTTAATGTAGCACATACGTGGTCCAGGCAGCGCTCATTTCCAGGTCTCTGGTTGAGGATGTCCAGGCGGCTGGTGACCTGATGCATCCTGGAATCACAGTTCCTGATCTGACCTGCCACTTTCCACACGTCTTCTGTCAAATCAGAAATCTCATTCCCGATCTGGAGGTTGACAAACACAGCATGTTGAGGGAACAGAAAAAGTCAAGTGGAGCTATTCTGCTTCTGGCTAACAGTGTAAAAAGTTGTGAGTAAAATCAGTGGACTGACCTGGTGCCTCTCCCAGATCAGTAGCTCCTGGGTCTTGTGCAACTTATGGATCTTCTTCCTCATAGAGGCACCCGTGCTGCGGCGTTGGCACTCTTGTGTGTTTTTTAGCTGTAATGGACACACGTATTAGAAATGACGTGAGAGCATTTCAGACAAATCATAATCTTTTGAAGAACACATCAATGCGAATGTTCAGGCTAGAAAGCCCGTTCAGGTGAGCCTTGGGTTTAAAGTGTGGCGATCTTACATTGGCCAGGGTGAAGCGCAGGTTTCCTCTGAAGGTTGAAGAGTCCTTCAGTAGGTCATCAGCTGCCTGCTTCAGCTCCCTGCAGCGCGACAGCCACTGGTCGTAGCTCGCGTGGTCGGGCTTGTATTGGATGGCGGGCAGGCTGGAGCTGAGCTGATGGCCGATACATCTGGTGGTGACCTTGATGGCTTCACTCTTGTCGAGAAAATCTGACAGCAGCTGAGTGCGAATGTTCTTCAGAGAGCTGCAGACAAGAAGGTGGATTGCAGACAACATTAGGACGTAAATATATACTGTTGATTATGTTCTTATGTCACAGATCTTTCCACAATTAACTTTTTTTTTTAACAACGTGACTGCATTGTTGAAATATTTGGTTAAATTTGTCAGCTCAGCATTAAAGCATTCCTGCTAGTTTGTCCCAGTATCACATTTAAACATACATTAGGCACACAGCTAATGAGAACACTTAAAATTAAGGGGAGGTAAATGGCAAGGAATAATTCAGGCATAGTTTATTGATTCTGTCAGACCTTTGTTTGTTGAGCAGGACAACGATCTGATTCTGCAGCAGTTCACTGATCTCGCTGATCAGCTGTTGCTCTTTCTTCAGCTCAGTGAGGACAGGATTCAGTCGGTCCGCGGAGCTCAAACTGTTACTGAGCACCACACAGTTGTTTATGAGCTGAGCGTACAGCTGCCTCTCCTGAAGATAACCCTCAGTGGCATCTTTCTCCTGAACACATAAGAGCAATGTTGGAGATGAGATTGACACATTAAGACGGTGACATCAGTTAACAGTGTTTACTAGAATTCTTTGAGCTCATACAAGTGACTGTGCAGTTTGTCGATATGGGGCGTGCAGTACCTGCTCCAAAGCACGGATTTCTCGTTTCACTTGGTTAATACACTCAGAGATGAGGGCCTGCCATCGACCGACCTCCATGTGGCGAGAGCTGAGATGAGTCATGCCGCCGTGCACGATGGAAGGGATCTGAATAAACCAAGAAAAAACTAATTAATGCGCTTAGAAATCACAAAAAAAGAACACAAATGCAGTTAATCCCACAAATAGCTGCATATTAGCAAGGATTTAATAACGGTCTGTGAGCACATAGATAAGAACCCAAGGTACATTTTTGATTTAAAAATATTTAAAATATGCAGATGTTCATTACCCGAGAAATATCTTCACCCAGACAGATTATTTCGTCCTCGAGCTTCAGGATGGAGCTCCTCTGAAGCTGTGAGCTGCTGCTCACCAGGCTTCGGCTGTTGGTCAGGATGGGCAGAGTGAGTCTGGCCCCCCTCAGCTGGTCCTCTTTTGGTGCACGATGTTGCCTAACAGTGAGACAAAACATTCATGAAGCAATAAAAACAAAATCACAATCTATCCTCTATGATTTTCTTAAGTGTATTCAGTGCATCTGACTGAACTATGAGCAGGTTTTTTTAAAAAAAGATGCCATGAAAACAAGCCTGTATTTATAAAGTGAAGACATGAACTCACCACATGTTTGGTTGGTTGAAACTGATTACGTGAAAGTAGAAGGAAAAGGTTTGCTTTTGAGATGCTTTCAGTTGACATCAACACACGGTGACATCAGCACACGGAATCCTGGTCCTCGGTTTCTATGGATGCACATTTAAATACAAAAATCACATACATGACTTTCATTAAACACCACAGCCCATTACCCTAATTAAATAACCTCATAATAATCACAAAGATCCTGTTATGATTGTTATCTATCTACATGTAAAATCACAGCCCATGATTACGTTCTGGGGACATTTTCAATCACATTTCGATGAAGTCAGTGCAGCGATAAGGTTCACATATTAACTACGTTGCCACAAAACTTGCTCATAGCCTTAAATTAAACTCAAAAATGGACCTGCAAGCTGATGCAGAGACATCAAAACAGAACATTTTCATTAATATGATAATAAACAAGGGATAAAGTGACATCATGTGCACAAGACCCTTTGGTTTCTGGCAGATCTCAGCGCTGATGGTCGCTTGACTATTTGTTTGTTTGTTTGCAGTATTTAGGTTAATTAAAGTCAATCTAAAAAAAACTCTACTTACTGTAAAAGTCTCCCATGAACACCAGCAAGGATGCACAATATTCGCAACACCTCTCAGCATAAAACAACACTTTTCAGTTGTAATAAAGTTAAATCAAAACAAAACACTCATGTCAGTAGATTTAAAAAAAAATAAAAACCCAAGTTGCATTTGACTGCATGAGTTTTAGGTGCAGCTGTTAAACTGTCTGCTGAGTGTCTGTACAGGCATTCTCTTTGAATATCAACACTTTCTGAAGCCTTACAAAGACATTGGGTTAGAAATTTAATATGCTGCCTGTTATTTTTCTTGTGACAAATGCACAAACTCTGACAAAAAAAAAATTAAAAAAATTCTTTATGTTTTCTTGTTGAAAATTGAAAACGACATAAGTAGAAGCAGGAAAATTTAACAGTAAACTTCCATCAGTGGTTAATAATTTAGAAGCTGTTTCCATATTGCCATAAAACATTTCTTTGTATTTCTGTGTCATAGTATGTGATTGTACCAATTAGAGCTTAAAAATGTATGGAAAATTGCAATTTTTCTGACAGATATTACGATTTGATTTACATGCAATGGAGCGTTACCACGAGACACCATTGAAAGTGTGACTTGCACAAGGAAGACAGCATGAGTCTTGGGTCAGAGATGCTTCAGTGCTATTAAATGTCACTTAAACTACAATGTGCAGACAGAAGTAGTTTGTTTACATTGATCAATGGGCAGCATAGACAAGCCCTGAAAGTTTAAATTTGTTCAAATTAAAAATAACTAGAGGACCCTATCTGGTAGGATGTAGTTACCCCCTGTCAGCCATGACGGCACTGAGCTCCAGTAAACCTTTATTCCATCCAACTTACCACAACATAGGTGTTTTTTTTTGTTGTTTTTTTTTAAAATAATCATGGTTGACTGGTTGTTCGAGGTGAAATAGGTACTATCTATTTTGTTTAGCCTTTGTAGCTTTATTGGATAGTGCAGTGAGAGAGAGACAGGAAAGTGGGGGAGAAGAATGGGGGGAGGACGTGTGGGAAAGGGTCATGAGTGGGATTCAAACTCATGACCTCCACATTGGGACTGTAGCCCTGTACATGGGACGCCAGCTCAACCAGGTGAGCTAAAGCGGCGCCCTATACATGGCAGGTTATTTCAAATTTATCAACATTTTTTGACATTGAAATATCACCTAAGGTCAAATGCTACATCCCCAGTGGAAGGCCTACGTATGGTTTCTGATACAAACAATGTGTCTATACTGCAACGCTTTGAAGTTACAGCTCAGTCAAAATGTATGATCTTGACCTTCAAATATCATCTAAGGTCAAATGTAACATCACCAACAGGAAGCTCCAACATGGTTGCTTATCTGCACCAAATACTATAAATTTACCTTCCACTCTTTAGAAGGTACACAGCATTTTTGGAAAAGGGACCTTTGACCTCTAGTGGAGCTATTGTTGCACTGATTGATCTCAAAATCCAATCACTCTGGAGAGAGGTCATTCCTAGATCACCTGTAAAATATCTACGAGTTAGACTTCAGCACTGGAACTAGAGACTGTTCACAGTCAGACACACACCGGGACGGATTAGTCTATAATAATTACAGCATTAGTCTTTCTTAGAGGGTCACCAAAATGGCTGAGAAGGTCATTGGGTGCCCTCTACCCACAATGGAAGACCTTCATGGCTCTTTCTGCCTCAGCAGAGCCAACACCATCCTGAAGGACTCCTACCACCCAGGACATGTCCTGTTCAAGCTACTGCCGTCGGTACAGGGCCATCAAAACCAGGACCAACAGACTGAATAACAGCTTCTTTCCAACTGCTGTCAGAGCCATAAATGCCTCTTTGTCATAATAAGTGCAATATATTGTTAATATACAACTGCCACTGTCCAATGTCCACTCTATATCTGATCTATATCTAATGTGTGATAAGCCGATTCCGATCAGCAGGTATTCAAAAAACGAGGGTATGAAAAGATCAACGACAGAAGAGATGAATTCTTTTTCTAGTTTTATTGATGGTAATTACCCATGGTTTTAATTTTATCACTCATCCAGTAATAATCATGGCTTTAAAATTAAACTGACTTCCTTATCATCCAAAGTCACCCTCGTCCATTTAAACACGCAATAGAAAAATATATACTTAATACTTTGTACAATACTGGTTTTGGTCCAAACAAAAGTGGATCAGAAAAGCCAATATACCTTTAGTCATCAAAGGCTCTCCAATTTGCATTATAGCTCATTTTAAATGGATTCGGGCAACTTTGAATATAGGAATTTACATAATAAATTCTAAAGACAAAAATGCTGAATGCGGAGTTTGTAACACAAAAATTCAACTTCACAGATTAAAAAAAAATATCACTATTTACAGGTTTTTATAATAATATTCAAAGGCCAATTAAGAGAGAGAGAGAGAGATAAAGAGGGAGAGGCAGAGAGAGAGAGATAAAGGGAGAGTATAAGGAATCAGGAGGAGGGAGGGATGGAGAGAGAGAGCGAGCCAAGGGGACACAAAAAGCAGAGTTGTGGAGCGAACCAGAGAAAAATTAAACATGTAACAAGAGTTTCGAAACTATGCATTTACAAAGTCCTAAAAGGAGTAGAACGAGGGCATAAGCCTCCGGCCCGGTCCATCCTCCACAGTGCATGGATGCGTTTTCCCCTCTCCCAAAACCTGCCCTCCTTCCTTCCTCCCCTGGTTTTGTTTTTAAACATTCATTTGCTTGCTCACCTGCGGCGGCGCCGGCTAGCGGCCCAGGCGATAACTCTGTCGTTCAGTTTTCATACGCACACCGACACACAACCTCAGCATGTACAAAGAAACCAAACACACCTCAAGTCTGTACATAAGAGGGGGAAAAAAACACAAGCACTCTGCATTCGTCACAAAGATTACACGCTCATCCCTGTACATACAGCACACTGCACTGACACCGTGGCTACATCTCCAGCGGCGCCTCGGTTCCTGTGAAGGAGCAGTCTAAATCGTTTGCGGGGGTCACCGCTGGAGATTTGCCGCACAGCTCTCACTACCTCTCTGCATATCACAGCTCATAACCTGATCACCCATACTAATTAATAAGTGTACACTCGCAACTCTTTAAATTTGCAGTTTTTGCCTTTGTAATTTTATTACAAAAAGTCATGCCTAAAGTCTAGCAGACATTTGCCGGTGTTGAAAATATAGATATGACTGTCTTGCTTGTTTTTCATTTCGAGCATGGGGGTCTTTGCTTGATTGTTGTTTTCTAAGTCAGAGTCACTGTTGAGTCGACTGTTTTTTGTTTTTTTTTTTGTTTTATTTTTATTCATGTGAAGTCCTGTTGTGTGGTCTTTCATATTAACAGCTCTGGTCTACATGTGATAACACGTCTGAATAATCAGCCGAGCCTACAGCTAATACACGCCCGTCTGTCCAACAAAAGCACAGAGGGGCGTCCAAGCCTTGTTCCTTCTCCACGTGCCAAGCAATTTCAGTGTTTGTCCAGTTGAGACCTTCCAGGACCTCATTCAGCCTTCAGTGGGGGTTACAGTCGAGTCGAAGTCAAGTCTACTTTCTTGTCGAGGCCGCGGGGCTCTACTTCCTGCGCCGCACCGCTGTCTTGATCTTGCGCCCTGCAATTGCTTGCTGTCCAGCTGGAGAGGCAGTGAAGGATTTAGCTGACCTGGAAAGAAAAAAAGGCGTCTTCATTAAAGCAACACAACCAACAACACCACCAGTAACAGCTGTCAAATACAGATAGACCTCATCAAAAACTTCACATAGAGGGGACTAATACAAGTTCAACTGACACCAAAATGAGTCTGAAAAGGGAAAATTTTCTTTAAGTTTGGCGTTACACACCATCTCAACAATGATATCGACTGGTAATATTACAGTACAACTAAAATTCTGCTTTTACTATCATACTATAAACTGCTTAAATGTACATCAGACATGACATTTGCACTGTTGACTTGAGATCTGTCCAGAAATTGCCCTCAAGTGCCAGCTGAGCTTATTTGGGGCAATTAGTCGTGCAAAATAACATACATTTCTGTCCCTGTTTCTGCGTTTTGATAGTTGAAAAGGGAATTGCATGTTAATCACAACAAAAGCTGTTCAGGCATAGATATGAAGAAAGCTCAAAATTCAACACTAAGCTCTGCACCATGGCTCTCCTAATTAAAGGAGTGCAGCTCGTCATAGCGTCTTAGAAATACATCAGTAGCCAGCTATGGTTTAATTTAAAGGTGAAATCAAGAATGACGTTTTTAGTATTCCACATAGTTTCTTTATTCTAACTTGGACTCTACATGTTGAACTGTGTTTCTGATGTACACATTGTATGAAAACAGTGCATTGCCTGTTACATACCCAATGTTGAATGTCGGGGGTTGTGAAAAGTTGAATCCACCTCCGGGTGGTCCTGACTGGTTTGCGATGGAGGGGTTGGCAGATGGGGCAGGAGAGGCAGCTGATCCAGCTCCAAAGGTAAACACACCTGAGGCGTTGTTGGTGGCTCCAAATGCACTGGCTCCTCCAAACTGAAATCCTCCACCTGATGGAAACATGCCAAATTTAAGTGGCTGAACTAAATATAAACTCAACTTGTGATAAATATACTTGTTATACAAAAGGTCAGGCAGCACACGACTCTGAAGATAGCTTGAAAACAACATCAATGTTTACAGTGCCCCACCTGGTGCAGCATTAGCAGCGGCCCCAAAAACAGGTGTGGAGTTGGCCTGCTGTCCAAAGACGGGGGCAGCGTTGGGTTTAGCCCCGAACGCCGGGGTCTGGGAAGGTGTGGCTGTGAATGGGGACCCAAAGGATGCCCCGAATGAAGGAGTCTGGTTGGCCCCAAAACCACTGGAGGGGGCCGAGCTGAATACAAATGGGGAGGGAGCTGCAGATGCAGCTGTTAGTGGAAAAGAGAAAGGTTGGTAAATATAAGTACATGTACGGATTATAAACAAAGTAAAGGTTTAAACATATCTACTGCACATTTTTCATAGTTCTTGTTCAAACCCAAAAATGCATGTTCTGTCTAATATAATTCAGAGGAGAGAGAAAGATTCAAAGTAGCCAGAATGAGTGCAGACCTGATGAAGAGGCAGCAGAGGGTGCTGCTGCTCCAAAACCGAAGGACGGCGGAGCAGCAGCAGTAGGAGGAGCAGCATTGGCAGGAGCACCAAAGATGAAGGGCTGAGCTGCAGCTGGGGCTGGAGCCGAGTTCAGAGCAGCAGCTGACGGGGCGGCCGGCTGGCTGTCCTGACTCTGGCCAAAGACGAACGCTTTAGCTGGAGGACCGTCACTGGAGGCTGCAGCAGGCTGACCGAACATGAAAGTGCTGGGAGCTGCAGAAGGAGCTGGAGCCGGTGTAGAGCTGCTGCTGCTGCTGCTGGTGGCGGCGGTGGTGGTGGTGGTGCCAAACAGACTGGGAGTTGGGGTGGAGGATGATGAGGTTGTGGAGTCTGTGGTGCTGGTGGGATTACTAGCCATAAATGAAAATGCTGGTTTTGGAGCAGCAGCAGAATCTGTTCAGGAAGAGACCATGTTTATAGTGAAGTAGCAGCAACAGTACACTCAACTTAACACACTGTTTAAACAACGCAAGTTATTCTTGTGGTTGGTTCTTGCCACAGATTTTGCGGAGTTACTTCAACTAACAATGTTCTTAGTACCTGTACATAGATTCACTGCAAAAGGAAACAATGATAGAATAAATGGGGTTCCCTCGATTATCACTTTAAAACATCTATGACACCTCAATTTGTGTGTCCACCATGTCCTGAGGTCATAGCACATAACTGAGCAAGATAAATGTATAAAAGCAAAGAAAATATGGTGCAGGCTGAAAGAATGAATTTTCTTTGAAAGAATAGTTTTGACATTTGTGAAATTTGACCATTGACTATGACCATTTCAGATATTTTTTAGCCCCATGAGTTTAGAGCAGCTTCAAAGAAAAAAAAAAAAAAGGCAATAAAAACTTCTCTATACTAATGAACGAGCAGATGACGCTTTACAGTCATTTTTCTGTTTTCTGGTGGTGCATCTTCCAAAATAGCTCCTGAATGTTTTCTTTTCAGGTGCTTGTGTGCACTGTGCTGGTGCTGCAGTGGGATGACATCAAAACCTGACACAGTGTACAAACCACCTTTTTGTTCTGCGATACTTTGAAGTACTCCCATGCTTTCCAGGCCTTGGGCCTTTAGAAACTTAAACACTGAACCAAATCAGATGCTGCTGCAGCTGCTATTTTCAAAAACTAAATCTGAGCACAACCGACCAATGACTGAAGTCAGAAACTACTCAAGTCATGATGAAGTAATTATGTTGTGATATGAAAGCAAAACGCTGCACATAATCTTTGTGTCATGGATTATGCCAACCACTGTGGCAGCCCTAGAAAATACTTTCTTTCTGTGAGACTGGTACCACTGTCATTGCCGGTAAATATTTACCTACAGTCAACAGCTAGTTGGTAGGCAGCATGTAAACAAAACCTCCAACCAAAGCAAACTAATCTATCTCATCTGTGCACTCTATACAAAAACTGAAGTGGTCCTGGCAGCCTCACAGTGACAATAAGATTAATACTCTAAGTTCTGCTATTCCTTTAAGAAACTGCTCACAACAAAAACAGAATAGAAATACCTGTAGAACTTTGTCCAAAAGTGAAGGACGGCTTTTGGGCCTCTGAAGTAGAAGTTTCGCTCTTGTCTGCTGACTTGCCAAAAGGGTACGGCGGTGGAGGTTGTTCTGTTGGAACGCTGGGTTTGCTGAAGGAAAAGCCTCCTGTGGCGGCTGGTGCTGGTGCAGAATCTGCATCCTTACTTGCACCACCGAAAAGGAAGGTAGCTTCCTTCTTTTCCTCTGGCTTCCCAAAGGTAAAGGTGGGGGCAGCCGGCTCCTTGCCTCCCTGTAAGGATCCAAACGTAGAGCCCCCTTGTGGTGTGTTGGTCGGCTCACCCAGTCTCCCAAATACAGACCCAGTTGTGGTCGTTGTTGTGGTGGTTGAGTTGGTGTTTGTTGATGTGGTGTCGTTTGAAGATGCCACACTGTCACTCTTTTCTTGAGAAGACGAAGGAGGAGTGAAAGTAACACAGGATGAGGAGGTTGTGGTGGCGTCTGATGTTTTCTCTTCGGGTTTTGACAGTCCAAAGGTGAATCCGCCCTTAGAAGAGTTACTTTCTGTGCTAGATGATCCAGTTCCAAACGCTATCCCGCCGCTGCCTCCAAACTTAAACCCAGAACCTGTGGCGGGCTGGTCTGACTTTTTGTCATCACTAGTGGCAGTCCCAAATTTAAAGCCCTCAGATGAGCTGCCGAATTTGAACCCTGATGAGGCAGTAGTGTCTTTAGAAGTGGTTTCTGTAGAGGAGCTTCCAAATGGGGCTCCAAATTTGAATCCACCTGATGAAGAAGAGGAGGACGACTCCGTAAGCGTGCCGCCAAACTTGAAACCTCCAGATTCTGAAGAACTGTCTGATGTGCCAAACTTAAAGCCTCCAGAACTAGAGGTAGAAGAGCCAAAGCTAGAGGAGCCTGAAGTCGCACCAGCCGAGGAACCGAAAGAAGAACCAAAGGCTGACGAGAAACAAAGAATAACAAAAAAAATCAAAAATCAAAAACACTGGAAAGTGTATGTTAGGTGTGCTAAACTGAATATAAACTCTCTCTGGCATGATGCAATCAAATAAATTCGGCAACACAACATTTAGGTGGCATTAATATACAGCTCTAATGAAATGCATAGAATTGTGGCTAAGATTTCTATTACTACTTATATTGCCATTGCAAAATTGGGATTTTTTTTTACCCTTGGGCTCCACAGTAGCTCCAGGTTTGGCTGCCTGACAGGCAACACACTGCATATCAGCAGCCTTATTCTGCAGTAGACAGATGTCACAATCCCAGGCTCCCTCTTGCTTCTTGAACTTGTCTCCTAGTCCAAACACTGGAGCACTGCTGGCTGCTGAGGAGGCTCCTGCTGAAGCTCCTGCAGAGTGGATGAGGAAAGGATGACACTCAGCAAACCAACAGTTTCTTTTTTTGGCAGTGACACAGTTAATGAGATTACACTGGTGAATGAAAAAGGAGAAGTGGTATGACCAAAGGCCAAGATCCAGCAATTTGCAGAACAATAAACATCAATATTTCCATGGTTACGCTTTCATTACCTGGTTTAGGATTCGTGCAAGCCACACACTTAGTGTCCTCTGCCTTGTTCTGTACCATACATGTATCACATTCCCATGCACCCTCGGGTTTTTTGAATTTGTCTCCAAATCCGCTGAACCCTGTAGAAACAGGAGCCGCAGGAGCAGATACAGTCTTTACAGTTGAGAAGGCAGACGGAAGAGTCAGTGAGGGTTTGAGCCCTGTCCCGGGTTTGGCCGTTTCACAGGCCACACACTTTACTGCATCAGGTTTGTTATGAACAAGACACGTATCACACTCCCAGGTTCCTGCAGGTTTGGAAAACATTGTGCCAAACCCTGTTGTGGTTGTAGTGGTGGAGGTGGTGTTCGTGTTGCTGCTCTCCTGCCCAGCCGAGGTGGCAGGGGATTGTTTACTGTCCGTAGATTTGGATGAGTTAGGCTGTGGGGCAGCACAGCAAACACACTTTGTGTCTGATGACTTGTTCGAAACCAAGCAGACATCGCAGCTCCAGTCTGTTGAGGCTTTGAACAAACTACCGAACCCTGTTGAAGCAGCGAGGGAGGAGGAGGTTGTAGAGGTGGAGGAGGAGGCAGTGGATTGTGTAGACGTTTGCTGGGGTGCAGCGTCTGGGCTTGGGGAAATCTGAGCAACAGGAGAGGCAAAGCCTGGAAAGAGCAGACAAAGAATTAAAGCAATGAACTCCATGTTTCAGTCGAGGAATAATGCTCAACCATGAAAAACATTAAAGGATCGCAAAGATTCTAACCAGGTGCTTTGAGAAGATCCAGCACACTGCCCTGCTTCAGGGCTTTGGCTGGTTTGAAAGGTCCTTCAAAGTCTTCTGTGCTTTTGTTTGTTGATGGCTTCACTGTAAAACAAGGAAACACAAAGATCAAAACTGAGTTTAAATTTTCTAAGCTGACACAGGTCGCAACTGGCCAACTGCAAGAAAACTCTTACCTGCTGCCGCTATGGGTGTGGCCAGCTTTCCATTTAACATGGAGGGACCTAATTTTGCCACAGGGGCACTGAAAGTAAATCCAGCCTACAAAGAAGAAAGGCCATTGTTATCACCTATGTAACTGTTGCAATCTAGAAACTGGTGAGAAAGACATAAAATATTTACTTACAGAAGGGGAAAAGGAAGGTGGGCTAGCAGCAGTGGCTTTGACAATTGGGGAGGAAAATGTAAAAGGTACACATGGGGGTGTTGAGGCCTTTGGTGGATCCTGGGGAGAAAAGTGAATTAGCAAAATGTTGTATACCATGAAACTTGTTTTATCAGCAGAGTATAATCAGACCGTTTTAAGACAGACCTTATTTATGACAGTTTCCTTAGCAGGAGTAACAGCCATGATCTTGGGGGTGGAGCTAACGGTAGTGGAGGTGGTGATGGGCGGCAGGGGAGAGGAGAAGCTGAAGGTGGGCAAGGCAGATGTGCTGATGGGAAGTGAAATGGTTGGGAGGTCTGGTACTTCAGCCACCTATGATCAGAAAACAAGCAAATATATCACAATATTTATGGTAGCTTTAAGGATTAACAGGATTAATAACCAACAAAAGATGACTTTTGGACATGAAAAGCTCTCACCTCATCATCTTCCTGGTGTTTGGAGGAGGGTCGTGCACTGCTCCTTTCTCTCTTCATCTTGCCGCCTCCGGAGCCCACGCTGCTGGCTGCAGGTGTGCTGGACAGAGGATAGACTGGGCCGCTAGAACTCATTGTGCTAGAAGACAAGTAAAGCAAATTTAGTAAGTACACAAACATATAGAACGCAGACAAAGCAGTTTGGCATCTAAACTCAATAACAACTCCACACAAGGGATGCTGTGACTTGGTCCTGTAGGTTTGTTAGTTTGAAGATACTTGGGATTATGCTGTTAAATGGAGAAGCTCCTCCCCTGTGATATTCCTCAAATCTTTCAATACAGAAAGATTAGAGAATAACGATCAGGTAAATCCAGGGAAATAACTGTTTCCCAGTGACACAATGTGCAAAACAAACAAGCAGAAAACAAACCCCCACACACACAGACACACTAAGTTTACTAAACAGGAAATCCACATGGAAAAGCAACAGAACCACCAATGATGTGCTCAATTTATTATTTTCAAAGAGAGTAGTGACTCAAACTTGTGCCACCTGAGCAGCCGTGTCTTACCTTTGCGATGGACCAGGGGTTGCTTCAGGTAGTTGTGGTGATTGTCTTGTGGGCTGTGGGGAAAAATGCAAAAACAAAATTAGTTTTCATCAGGCACATTCGGCGACATTTGATACAGAAGAAACATGGCGTGGTAGAAAATAATGCAGCACTGTGCTACTAACTGTCTCTCTCATGGTCCTGTCCAGAGTTCGGCTCACTCCTCCAGGGGTCAAAGTGGCCCTGAAGGACACAGAGCGATTTCCTGACACAGATGCTGTGGCAGGAACAACAAGCTTCTGCACCGGGGGGAGGGTTGACTCCATCTGGATTTAAGAAATTGTAAAAGAAAGTATGGATTAAAATTCACATCAGAAGGCGCCAAAGTTGGCAGGGCTTCACTCATAGTCTTACTGTGTTACACAGCGAACGTCATCATGCCACAGAACTCAATGGATGTAAAAACGCAATTAAAACACAAAAGGATCAAATCATTGCAATTAGGCATTTAGACAGTGTATTCCTCTCAACTATTTACACATAAAACTATGTCCCAGAGCAATAACATTTCATTTTAGATTTGCAGAACCAGAGCCAGACCAATATATCAGCAACATTCTGTATTTATTAGTACCAATGTATCTGCTGGTTAACTGGACACTGTGGTACAGAAATGACAAACCAGATTTCCGATAAAATCTCTCCACTACATCACTTCTTTACCAGAGAGGACTGCTAACTTTATTTTTACAACAGCAAAATAAGGGATCTGTATCAAGACTGTTTAAGTGAAAGACTGCTATTGGTTCAATGGGCACAACTTAAATGGTTGGGATATAGTCTGAACCCTGCCAAGGTGACACAGCGATCAGTCATTAAAGCCACAGCTGGATGGCGGGTTTTCTTGTTTTGGACCTGGGACGGTCAATACACCATTGTTTTATCCTTTACAAAGCAGCTGTCACAGCTGGGAATGCCTGACAGTTATTACTGAGGACTAGTCCAGTCCACAACTGGCACAAGTCAACAATGGACTACACTTAAGACACAGCACACCAACACACTTTCATACATCCGTCCAGCAGAGTTTTGCCCACAAGTGTATGTACACAGGGTTGGATAGCTGTCTTTGTAGTACATTCAGTAAAGTATTCCCTTTCCCCTTACCTTAACCATCAGAACAAAGTGTCCTACCTAAACCTAATTCCAACAATGCTCCTAAAATCAAGCCTTAATCCTCAAACAGCCCTTTGATGTGGTCTAATAACTTTAGAATTAGCCAAACTGCAATGGTCTGAAACAGAGTGGCCCTCATAAATACAGTTGTACCTAAACACACACACACACAGTGGTGAACAGCTGAGAACAGTCCTGTTAATGAGTGTAAAGGAGGCCAGCAGGCAGTCGGACAGGAAATGGCAGAAAGACAAACCGCAACAAGTGCTAGTGGGTTTGTACAATGATATCCCTGTTCACATCCCTAAGCGCACCACACAGCACACACAACACGAAGCTCCGTTGTTGATCGGCATACATACGTGTTAAGTCATACGAGGACATGCAACACTGTGATCATACAATCAGAAAAACGCAGCTAAATGGAGACAGCAATGAGCAAGTTCAATTTTTGATGGACAAGACGTGAAGGAATTTGACCACAGGAATTTTAAGTTTCGTACTTACCCGTTTCTTTTTGGACTGGAAATGTGAAGCATCTAGATTCATGCCATCCACTGACTGCAGAAAAAAGCTCATGTGAGAGGACTTTTATTGGCAGAATTTTGTGCGATCAGTATTTGATGTTAACCTGCATTCTTTGTCATCATCACGTCATGTGTTTGCACTGTAAAACACGTGACGATAATGACGTGTAAAACATTAAAAACACTTACTGGTGATCGGGGGGATGAGGCTGCAGCAGGGATTCTCTTAGCATCCTGGAGATGAAGAGAAATAAAAATGCAGCTATGTTAGAGAAACCTGCCAGGACATTATGACAACAATCTTGCATTTCTGAGTTCACTGCCAGCATATTCTATAGCATACAAATCTCTGAGATGAAGGTGTATGTCTGGTGTTTACTCACAGCCAGTGGGCTCGACATGCGCTCCAAGGACTGCAGGATGCGTCTGGCTGTGGCGCTGGTCACCCCACAGGGCTGAGCACCAGCAGGCTTGGCCTTGATCTGTCTCCTCACTGGAGCCTGCATATCAGATGAGCTAATTTAGTGTTCAGTTAAATCAATAACATTCACACTTCAGTCACACCGACGCTGTGAAGTCAGCGTCAGAATTTAACGGCTTACTTACAAAACCTTACCAGCTCGGACACCCTGTAAATGCATGCGTAGACTGAATAGAACTAAGTGTGCTGGTTCACTTCTGTATTTTTTATTTCTAGATAAAAACTGAAGCACTGTTCGCCTTGATACACAAGTTTCTACGCTGCACATAAACCGCAGTAGCTCACTTGGTACGGTGTTCCAGGACGAGTTCGGGAACTTCTGACTGCAGCTGCTCCACCGTACGTGGTCTTCCCGGGATAGAACGGTGAATCTCCAAGCTGGCTGGAGTTCAGCACTGTGCTGTTTAATGTGGACTGGAGAAGAGAGGGTTATGTTAAAATCAATTAGGTCAAAGTAATTTTTTTAAAATCATATTTCAAATCACTGGCATTGAACTACTACATATGAACTACTTTACATGTTTTTGCAATGCGTAAGAAAATCAAAAAACAAATCAATTGCACAAGTTAAACAGCAAACTACGATGCCGTCAATAATCAAAGATATTTGAACTTCTGCACCCACATGAGGACAAAGGCATACTTCTGCTAGATAAGTTCTGACAAATGTTGTTCTTAAAAGACGTAAATAGGTTACCATCTCCGGTGGCTTAAAATGGTAGCTATTAACTGTAATGTCTAAATACTCTTAAACACATCTGACAAGCTCAAACTTGTTTTAGGTGTCACTCTGTATTTTGTTTTGATAATTCTCATCATCCGTTTGTTCTTACATTGTTAAAATCTGAGTCACACTGCACACAAAAGGCGGCTACTTGCTATGGGTTGACAGACTTGTGTTGCTTGGTATGCTGCCATGTAACTAGGAGTAGATGCACAACGTACTGATCACACAGGTAAAACTGTATGAACAACTGAAGATACTGTGCACCTCTGTGATGTGTGACAATATCACAGATTTTGCTGTCAATTCTTAATAATTTAAGCTAAAACTTGATTTATCAACATTTAACCACACATCTAAAACCACTGATCAGTGCATCTGTAGTTTATATGACTTTGACATGCGGGTCTCATTCACCAGTTTCAATTCTAGAGTGAAACTTTATATTTAAGAGGCTGAAATCCTAAGTTGCTAAAATTCCAAGCTTTGCAGTTCTGTTTCTTTTATAAAGCCTTTCACTGGTGGTACATGCTGACAGACTCTTGATGGACAGGCAGATACTCACGTTGGAGGAGGTTCCAAAGACGGACAGGTTGAAAGCAGGCTTTTTCAGACTGGACTGGGAGGGCTGAGGCCCAGAGTTTGTTCTGTCTGTCTCTGGGGACCAAAGCTGAGGAAGTGACGCCGTTTTGGAAGTGGGGACATCTGAAAAAAAGGAGACACTGAAACCTTTAGAAATCTCAGACACTTTGTAGAGTACCAGTGAATTCATCCATCTAAGCAGTCTTGGTATTCAATCGCCTTTGCAGGTAGTTTTCCCTCAACTGGAACATTTGGAAAATCTTCAGACACTTTGTGCTTCATAGCATGGTACTCGACTTCTTAGGGGTCATTATTGTAAATTCTGAAGTTATTCCAGACAGACTGTATTCACATGCTTGACTGCTTCCACATCTCACTAGTACAGTTGCAAGTTGTCAGCCTGTCACATGGTCTCATGCCACCATCTTAATGTCAATTCTGGTAACGTTAGATGTCAGCAATGATGCACTGAGAATAAATATCCTTGTCTGAGAATAACTTACAACTGATTTTGATGAATAATTAATCATGTTGGATTACCAGCTTGTAATAAAAATCAGTGTTTAGATACTTTTCTTCATTTGGTTATCAGTTTACTAGCTGCGTGTGACTGTATGTTTGGGTAAAGGTGTTAAACGAAGGCAGCCACGCACAATGCTTGGTTTCATCCAACAAATTACTTTAAAGTCAGCAATCAAAGGTGCAGTCCTGAAATAAGCACATGGTTTATATATCAGCCTGCCCATGCTAATTTATGCAAACTATGCACATTGTGCTGAATGCTAGTGTGTGTGGTCGTGGCCATGAGTCTAAATCGATACTTTGAACAGAAACCAAACAGTGTGAACACAGAGACCAATTTGTCTGCATAACATTGATCTCAGGAACTAAATACTGAGGTGCAAAGTCTAACAGATCCCCTGTGGAAATAAAAGACTGAAAACATTCCTTAAGTCAGCTGACAGCATTTTAATTTCAGTTGTTTAATTACAGTTCCCCACCATGGAGGGTAGCTGTGCGTTGATTGTTAAAGAAGCCATGTTACATCCAGCCATTTGTTTAAGACTTGATTAATTCAACTAGATGTTGCCATCATACCTTTAAAAACCAATAAATAATCAAATCTATTTGAAAAGAATGGTCTTGGCTTAAATGGTAAGGATCTACCTTTGTCAGATGCGCGGGAGGAGAATCCGCTTGTGGTGGAGATGTTATCATCTTCATGTTGTGAGAGGTTGTCCTTGATTTCTTTCACCAAGGAGAAGCCTGTGGAAAAAGGTCCTGGAGCTGAGGAGGTGGAGGGCTGGGAGAAGAGGCTGCTGGAGGCCCCCAGGGTTGGGGCAGAGGGATCCAGCGGGGTAAAGTGGAGGTGAGAGCGACTCAGAGGAGGTCGTAAGAGTACATATTCCTGAAAGTTCAGGGATGCCCGGCTGGTTGAGGGCTCTGTTCCGGAGAGAAAGGAGCCAAAGGTGAGCATGGTGGTAGAGTTGAATAAAAACTGCCATGAAAACATCTGGTTCACGCTCATGCAAGGGGTATAAAATCCCCCAGCGAGCCTTATGGATGACCGAAGAAACCAAATATTCCCTCACCTGTGTTACTGGTGCTAGGCTCCGGGGAGTCGCGTCCATCAAGGGGAGGAGGTCCCTCTTCGCTGCCATTAGGAGGAGGAGGTGGTGGTGGCTGGCAGTTCCGGTTTGTCCCCTGTACAGCCTCTGCTCCTTCAGGAGCATCTTCATTCTTAAAGTATTTCTGCAGCCAGGAAGGAACGATGCTCTTTACTGTGTCTGTCACTCGACTGATGAGGCCTGACTGCTGCTGATAAAAACATGAACAAGGGAGAGGAAGCCGTGAACAGGGGATGAGATGAGTGACAGACGGAGACAAATGTATATAAAAACCAAAGAACCATCAACTCAAGACATTATCTGTGTCCTTTACAGTAGAAAAAAATCCACAGACAATTCACACTGGATAAATGTAGTGCATGTAAAAAGTTTTCTTTGCTGGGTCTTGTGGCTGTATTTCTCAACTTCTAACACCTAGAAAAAATTAAATACTGATGCTTGTATTTGTGGTGTCCAAAAACAATAATGACTTTGTGGCAAAACAACTCTGCAAAATTTCTTTTGAGGCCCTGTGAAAATTACATAAGATAATTAACTCTTGTGATTAGCAAAATACAGCAATCAACAGTGTATTTTATTATTTGAATCAACTGCACAGCCCCACTTGCAGGGAGAGACTATTTTTCTTTCCAAGTACAAAACAAAACACACGCTCAGTATGACAGAAAGTGGGTCAGGCACTGTGAACGCTTCTACGAAACACTGAGCAAGTGACGCTGGTCTGCACTGAACTGAGGTCTAATACTGGATGAATTCCAGTCAATACGGATGACTCCCATCTCCTACACGACGCACAGAATGTAACTGCGTTTCCAGGATTTTAGTATCTAGCAAGCTCTCTTCTGGAAAACCTATAAGCTGTAGCAACCTCCCGAAAATACATTCCACATTTAAGGCACTTTTCTTAAACACTGTCTTAAAGGGCTAACTAATATGAAAGACCTAATTCATGATATCTTGATTGAATAGAACAAATGTGAGGTTGCAGCAGGGGAGTATGGGAGAACAGCCAAGAAACAACATTTATTACATTAATGCAATGGCCTGTTAAAGAAAATGATGCATTGGGGGGGAGTAAATAAGGCTATGTAGGTACAAATGTATTTATATAATTTCCTTAATTCCAAGTCTGGTGCTGGGACTCTTCTTGGATGTCTTCAGATTAGAGCAATGCTGTCCTATGTTGCGCTAAGAAAATAGTTGGATAGGACAAAAGATGAATAAAGGTGCTAGTTAGTCGGTGCCTCTCTTCACATGGACCCCGCGGCAGCTTTCAACACCTGATAACAGCCATATGTGCCTCTTGGTTTCTGCTTATCTATGATTTACACCTGTGGACCACACTGAACTTTACCCTATGTGCAAATACACCAAACATTAACAAGTCATGAATGAGTGAAATAGCCACCATAGGGCTGGTTTTTACCCAGCGTTACAAAAGCGATTGTCATAGGGATTTAAGGGTTTTCTGCTGTGGACATGGTCATGTGACTAACAGAGACCTATAAAGTCGTATGAACAATTGCAGCCTCACTCTTGAGAAGCTATCACGCTGAGCTGGAAAACACACAGAGCATTTGACTGAATATGACAATACCTGACCAGATCAGTGCATTTAGCTTTTCAAGGAAAAACAAACAAACAAACAAAAAAAAAAACACATGAATGAATGTTGTTGCTGTGAGCTCTTACATCTGATCAAGTTATTGAGACATAAAGGTGTTCAGTCAGTTCTGACAGAAAACTCTCACTTTCAACTTGCAAGCAATAACAGAAATTCGGAGGTGACTGAAGGCAGCAATGGTACAAACACTGCATGTCTCTTCAAGCTCCTTCTGCCTATTATCCAGCAGTGTTGTGTAAACCAAGCTACTGAAGAAAAGCTAAGACCATCGTTTAAACAACTGTCGCTGAGATTTGGATAATTATTGTTTTTGGCTGACTGGACTTCACCTGTAATTTCAAAGACGTTGAAACATTTTAAAATGATTTGCTTCAAAATCAATATATGAGCATAACAAAATCTAACTATGACCGCTATGTGACATGACTGAAGAAATGCTGAATTCATTTTAATATTTATTCAAACAAAATACTAGTTTAAGAGTTATTGTATTTGCTTTTTGGTGGCATGAAAGCCATCTATTTAAATTTCAACATTGTGCATAAAATTTTCTTTTTTTGGTCAAATATATACAATAAATTCTTACTAAATCAAAGTTGGGCTGATGATGAAGTGGGATATAGTGTCAAGCGGATTTACCATAACACTGCCACAACATGCAGCATCAGCAGCATTTGTAAGAGAAACGACAGGACTGCTTTGTGCACAATGTATTGCTAAAAGTAAAATACTAGACGAAGCTCTAATATTTACTCAGCTGACAGCTTATTAAGTCTTATCCAAAACTAATGGAGTTAAACATCAGCCTTAGACCTGCACTAAATGACAATGTGCAGTTTTTATCCAAACAGTTGTAGAGAGGTAATACATTGTATTTTATAGGAGGTAGTTTGTAATGTTGCTGAACTGTTATACTGCTTAGAATGTTTTCTGACTCCATTTCCATCAATAACTGTCGACTAAGAATCTCACAAAGAGGTAACCATGCTAAAACCAACAATGCCGAACAAATACAATAACTGACCAACTTAATCTTGGAATATTTTGCTTGTATAAATCACTGTCACTTTGATCATATTTTGTAACAGTACATGTTTGGCTCGAACATGTGGGTGAAGTCTGCATTTATATGCATAACTGATGTCAGCTGTGTATGTAAGCATTTCCTCTCCATTCAAAATATAGCCTAGTCGGCGAACCTAAAAACTGCCATTTGGGTCTATTTGACATCCTTTTGCTAGTAAATACTAATCAACTGATTGTAAAACACTCAACATATAGAGTGCTGTCAGAGACACAAGCTGACAAATCGTTTTAGGTTAGCTTCCCATTTAATGTGTCCCTCCAGTGAGAGCCGGTTGCCATTTACATCAACAAACTTGTGGTTTGCTAGAATTTTCTTAGTGATGACAAATGGGTCAAAGGATCTGCCACATATAAACCCACGTCTTGTCTACTGTTAACATAACGCACGGGTTTCAAAGTCATCAACACTGGTGTCCAAGCAGCAAGTGAATCCATTCAGGCAACCATGTGGGCTCCAGTCAGCCAACGTTTCCTGCGCAATTCAACTGGCTGAGATTTGGCTAACGGTAGCTAACATCTAAAATGTTTCCCCAACAGGGCAGCGACACAATATTAAAATGTCTTTGCACCAAAGACCGGTATGCGTAGCTGTGGGGAGGCACAATTTAGAGCCAAATGATCATGTCACGTCTACCTGCAACGGTGCGATGCCTTTAAACTTATGAACCTAAGACAACAATGCGTTGCTCGCCGATGCTAACTTGCTAGCTCGCATTAGCTACAACGGCTAATACGTAGAATTCTACTTCCTTGCTTTCCGCTAACTTCGCTAACAGCTAAGAACTAGCGAAGTAGCACAAGGTTGGTTATCTGGGCTTGTCGCCTGCGCACTGGCAACTAAACAGATACTGGTTATCGGGCCTAATCGACACACAACGCCGTGATTTGACCTGTCAAGTCCGCCTGGTTTTGCTAAGCTATAAGCCAGCTTGCTAAATCATTAGCATTTCCTGAACATGCTAGCAGCGCGTGGAGGCCACGAGCGCTAACGGCAGGCCATAAAATGTCTCCAACAAAACAATAACAAGAGCTGCGAGATACTAGCACTGCAGTCGTCATAACCTCTTCGATTTGTGCTTTTAACGCGAAAACTTTTACTCGGTTTACCTGTTTACTCTTGGCGTAAGGTTTAGAGGCGATGTGATATCTCCTGCTTCTAATTTTCCCTCCACCCGTGGCCGCCATGGCTCTTTCGTCTGAGTGTCTATCGGTGTTTCGGCGCCGGATAGCTGTCATCCAGCACGGCGGCCACTCACAGGGGAACTCTGGGAAATGTAGTAGCTGAATCTAACAAAGGAGGCATGTCTCACCACATGGCACTAACATGAGGCTATTTTGTGATAAGTGATCAGCTTTTTTATTTTTTATTTTTTTTTCAACGACAAGCAAAATCTAGACATTTTAGTGGAGCTTCTTTTTATTATTATTTTTTATTTTTTACAGTCTGTGGTAGAGGCTTGAACAAATACTGACACGAAGCAGAGATCAAAATATTCAAGTGAAAATTAACATCTCCAACAATTTTGATGATAAATGAATCACTTGTGAATAGTCTGGTCTCAGTTTCACAAATGGAAAGATTTCCATTTTTTAAAATCTTGTTACATAATTGAAAATTATATATTTAGTTGAGACAATACGTGAAAGATGTGGCACAGGTCAGTATTTCTGATGCTTTATAGACCACAAAATTAACCTCATTTTGTCTCACATGTACTGTTGTTAAACCCAGAGTGAATCTCAAAATCAGCAAAGTATAATGAAGATGTTAAGAGTACAGATAGATAGATAGATAGATAGATAGATAGATAGATAGATAGATAGATAGATAGATAGATAGATAGATAGATAGATAGATAGATAGATAGCATAATTAATAGTACACATATATAAATATCTAAAAAAAAAAAAAACAATGATATGGGCAACAGTATGAGCAACCTCTACTGATTCAAATTCATACTGCAGAATTCTGTATCTTCCACCTGATGGGAGCAGCCCACTCAGTCTACAGGATGTGAGATTCATCACTGATTATTCTCTTTACCTGTGTGCGTGTGCACTGGGCAAAAATAAACTGTCGGTTGAAATGATGTAACCTTAGTGTAGGAGGTCATTTCAGTAGTTTGCAGAATTATATCACAGGTGAATGACGACACTTAGCTATTCCCATACAGTGGAATTTATCGTGTGGAACGGCTGTGAAGTGGTTTGTACACTATGTATTGCACACTATGCCTTTGCACACATCAAGAGGAAATCAAATTATGCACAACAGTGACAAACTGTTTCTTTGGATCTGTCTACAAATACTTTCAGTTTTTTCCATTATTGTAAATGCCACATGGAAATTAGGGTGGGGACACTCATGTGAGTCAGTCTGCTGCTGCAGACCTGTCAAAGACAAGAAGGAGAATAAAACATCCTTAAGACTGTACACAAAACACAGTTTGTTATCTGTAGTCATTTATTTATGCATACAAAACAAGCAAGCCCACCCATCAGTGACAAAACACATTGGAGGTCCCAACTACCATTTTGTTTTCTTTTTTAACCATTTTATTTGAAAAACAGTGTAGTTTTCAGTACAAACACGGAATATGTCCAAAAGACTGGAATCTGAGGCAGGTAACTATTAATACAACGTCTGCAACTACTGCACACTCAACAATGATAGGAACAGCTTATGTGGACCGTCACATTCTGTGTTATTAAAGTCACATTTTATTAATATGGATCACTAAAAAAAAACGAAATAAATTGCCCATTTCACACGTGATTATCTTCTGCTACTGAATGTCATCAGGGTGCTATTATATTAAAGGTCTGGCTATCCTCTGTCCTATACACCATACATATACACACACTGCATCTACTTATGAACACATAAAATGGTGAAAATAACACACGTTTCAACTGTTCTAATAACAGGGGTATGAATAACATGTGCAGGCCACAGTTGGTTCCTGTGTGTCCTTTCATTTGAAATAGACAAATATTAAATTTCCTGATGACACTATGTTGATGGAAGAAAATCACGTATACCACGACTTTACTGTCTTGTAGCCAATTGAAAATATAATCAGCTATGGCAAATATTACCAACACAAATATTTTAAATCAACAAAGCTAACAAACAATCATTTAAATAATTTACAAAATGCCAAACACGATAATGTTTTTGTAAAGCTTTCAACCATTAAGTGGAGTTTTATAATTAACTTTACGGCACACAAAGCCACTAATTTATTTTTTAATTTGGTTAAACTATGAGGCAATAGTGCAAGTTTTTACGAACATCCTTTGTTTTTTTGTTAGTCACAAGAGGATTGCTGATTTTGTATTATTTTCCACAGCAACACCTCTAGAACAACAGGCTAGGGATTTCAGATATTTAAAATGTTGGAGACACATATAGCCTTGGTCCAGTATTGACATTGGGCACAGTTGAATAAAATGTCTGTTTTAATATTTTCACCTCAGTTCAGTATCCTTGTTACCTCGTCTCCCCTCCCTTTTACTCTCTCTCACACACACAAACCCACACATACTACTACCACCAACAGTTCTGTTTATTATTATATTATTTACATGTCTTAAAGTCTGTACAAAAGGCAGATGATATTCAATTGTATTTTATAACATCCAACAAAAGAAATATATTCAAAATGTGATGCCTGAAACTTTTCACAGCTTAGCAGTTCACAAACAGAAATTTATGCAAATTGTAATTAAGAGGAATATATACCTACAAAACTTTAATGACAAAACTGCATAGCAATGTAATTTATCCTCCACAACAGTGCTGAAGAGTTCTTGACTTGGTGGCAGCTCCTAATTTGTGGGTTGAAGTGAAGGTTCTCTTCAACACAACATGTCTCAAATAAGGGTTTAGTTGTTCCTAAATGGTCAGAAAAGATCCGTTTCATCACTGCATGGTACTATCCATTAAGTGTAAACACCAGCAGTAATCAGCATGTGATGAGGTGCTTTAATTATTCAGTTCATTGGCTTCAAGTTGCTTTCTGTCACTTCTCATGGAAGGCTTTACAACAGTGGATGTGATGGGAGAATGGCATGTCCCACACATCACTGTTACCCTCTTTCTGCAATGTCTTCAACCTGAATAGTGGCCTTTTTCATCATAGCAGAGTATTTTGGCCACACTTGCATTTTGTGTAGAGGTTGTTGTCTGGAGTACTTCATCCAGTACACCCTCACATCTCGAGGAGGTCTGTTGGCCTCTCTATGCCTCTGCAGGACTTGTGGTTTGGAGAAACAATGCTTTCTGTAATGTCACATCTGGCATGAACCTGAAAAATTGGAACCTCTTTGGAATGAATCTTGATGCAGTGGTAGCTTTTGCTTTGGTCCTTTCTGTCAACGACTCCCATGTTTGTGCTGTAATAACTCACAACTCTGGGGTTGACCGTCCTCCTTCTGTGTGTGTGTGTGCTTGGAATAGGGAGCAACCTTCTTGTTAGGCATTACAGCCCAGCGGGACAACTACCTAGAAGCAGGGGGACTACAGCTTAGCCTGGATTGTTTTGGTCTTCAGGTCCTTCACATGATTAGCCTTCAGGGTTCCTGTGGTACAGGTTCCCTTCACACAGAGGGAATGAAGCAAGGGGAGGGATGTTAAGAAGTTGTCCAAAGTGAACTGAAATCTTACATCCTTTGGCAGTGAACCTAAAAGCTCCATAACCATGGAGCCATCAAGCCCGATATCCAGCACTCTGGCACACTTCCCAGTGTCGGGTTGGCACTGGATAAGGTATCCTGGATTGTGCCAGGCACCATATCGTGTGTCCAACCGTATTGATTTTCCCTTGATGAAATGCGTGGTGAAATGTTTGCTATAGTAAGGGATCATTGGCTCATCCATGCTGCTCAGAGAAATGTTTGGCAAATCTCTGATCCATCATATTTACCAGGGGTGTCACTTGGCCAAGTTTGTCACCAGGGGAACACTGCTGTGATCCGCTAGGTGTAGAGACTTGATGATGTCTTACAATGTCTTCCAGGTCAATAGCTGGGACACAGCAGGATTTTAGAAATCACTATTACCTTCCCACTTCATGCGATTCTATGGCACTGTGCTGTAGCTATTTATCAGCAGCCCTACAAAGAAAGCTCTCACTTGTGGAAACATTGGGGTTGTGGCTCCCTTTGTAAATGAAAATGGGTTGCTTTGGTGAAACTCAACAATCAGTTTGCTGTATAAGAACTCCTCAAATAGTTCCCACTACACAAATTTCTCCTTTTCTCTCTTGGGGAGATATCCCTTTTGTCACATTTTTTTGGGGTTCAATCTCACTGTCAGCAATCAGCTGTGTCCTTGAGTAGGCCCTCCTCATTCTGTGCATTGTTAGTGTTGGAACTAGTCCTAGCCACTTGTAGTGTCTCTTCATCTTCAGCAACTCATCATCATCATTAATTTGGTCCTTTTCTCTATTTTTGTAGAGGATCAAATCTGCCACAACGTCTAAGCTGACGACCAGAAAAGTTTGTCCAGACTTCCACAAATCTCCTCGTCTCCACTGTCCCCTGCACTGTAACCGCTCTCACAAGCTGGAGACTGAACAAAAATGCCTCCCAGTGTCAACAATATTCTGTCAGCGTCGTCAACTGATGCTATCAATTCAATCACCTCTTGAACAATGGATCAAGAATTAGCCATCTCTCACTTGGAGCAACTCTTCCCCTGCGACTGCCAGCAAGACTGACAGTTGCTAATGGCACCAAAACAGATACATGAATAAAACATTTATTAGTGCCATAATTTCAAACAAGTGCCACAAAAAAATCTGGCTTTGGGCTCTCTTCCATGCACCGTCTCTCTCTCTTTGTGTGTCTGGTCCATTTATTGCTCGTGTCAGGCAGATCTAAATCTGTTTACACAGTCACATTATAGGGATGTGCCTTCCTTATGGGGGCGAAAAGCGAGTCCCAGTAACATAAATCATGACATTTTAATGTGAAGACATGCTTTAAGGTTAGAGGAGGGTTAGGTTCAGGCAAGGAGTAGTTATGGTTAAGATTAAAGTAAGTCTCCAGGAAATCAATGTAAGTTAATGGCTCAACCTGGGTATTAACTGTATGCAGCTTTTTTGAACATGTGATCATTGGAACCTGTATTTCCACTTGTGTTTTTTTTCTGAAAAATGATAAAACAAGTAATGCCACGTACTAACTCCTAATATAGTATGGCACAGATATTGTTGTATTTCAAAAACTAAGATATGTATCAAATGTTTGCAATGTTGGATTCAAAATAACTTCAATTTAAGTGATATGTGTTTTGATCCAGCCTAAATCTATTATTTAGCATGTCAAATTACTGTTACTCTTATTTTTGTGATTTGTTTTCATCCAAAAAATCCAAAAATGTAATTTTGGTATGTGTAGACAAATGCCATTTTGGGTTTCCAACTCCAACATTAAAAATTCTGCAGGAATGTTCTTTAACACACAAAATACAGCTGTTAGTCAAAAACCAATACATATTCAAAAACGTAACAGTCAACGAGGTTAAGTGCAAAAGGTGCTTGTAGCATATGCTGTGTGGTGTCTTAGACTGGTTTGTACGCTACACATATTTGCCTGTCTCACAGTAAAAAGAATTCAAACAACATTCATTCTTCTGTTAAATAGAGATGCTAAAGCTAACATGCTAGTTTCTACAGTGCAACTAGTGCTGTTTTCTCTTTCAAAATCCAGTGTATACTACATTGTTATTTAGGTCTGCTTAGAAAAGTCCGTCACATTAAATACAAAAAAAAGAAGAAACTCTACAAAGAATCAGGACCCCAGACTGTAGGTCTATAAATCAGCTCATTGTCGTGTTTTGCATTTGACTCCCACATCTACTGGAACTTTAAACACGATACTGAGCCTTTTTGGTGTGACTTTGGCTTATGCTAATGCTTTGTGCATGCTGAGATTCATTAAACCACTGATGCAACTTAAAGCAAATTTAGCTGCATACTGTATTCCTCTGGTTGAATCTCCTTCACAGAGGACGTGAATACTCAGCGTCAGTGTTGCTTATTGTCTCTTTCCTCCGTGTCCATTCACAAATCGGTTTCTTCCAGACGCCTTCCTCCGTTTTGTAGGTTGTAAACTTCTCGAGGAATCCCTCTGAGCTGCAGAGCGATGAAACATAATCATGTTAAATGTTTAGGATGGAGCTGAGTGAAGAGTTGTCACCAGTGTGCCTGTTATGAGACTGACCTGCAAGGCCATCTGGGATGAAACCGCATGAGTCAACAACACTGCTGTCTGTACAGTCCTCACTTTGTACAGAAGTGTTCTGTCAACAGAAGGAAGCTCAGAGTGAATGGCATTTCTGACAACCACAAATAAGCTGCAAACTCTTCAACATCTAGATTAAAAAAAAAACGTATTTCTCTGACCTCATCTGCTTCAAAGTTTCAAAACATTTTGATATGTCACAGCAGAAAAAACACAGGTTTAAATAATAAGATTAATCATGCCACAGTCAAGGCCATGTCAATGTTGTTATTATTGTTATTAGTAACACCTGTAAATTTCCTACTGTGACTTGTCAAAATGTCAGATGTAAAAAAGCTCTATTGTGAAAATTTTAACCTCCAACATGCAGGCAAAAGAAGATTTTAAGATATTCTTGAAACATTTTGTTAAATAAAACAAAAAAATATATATCATTGACATATTCTCAGAAGAACCAAAACAACATCTCACCTTCATTTTATTTTGCTCATACCACACCATCCCATACAAACACAGAAGTGTGATGAGTGCCTACAGAGGACGAGAAAAAAAGATGAGCTTCAAATTGAGTCTTCAAACTAGTAATAATCATAATCCTGCTCCTGCAGCATCCGAGTGTATATTTGCATAACTTAGAAACAAAAGGCTGTTGCAAATTACTAACATTTGGCATTTTTAATATACCGTCTTCCTCCCAGGGAGTCAACACAGCTTTTATTATATTTACACAGCAAATGTTTGTGCATAATACTGATGTATCTATTGAGGACTGATTGAAGTCGCACATATGTTTTAATAGCACACATAAACACACAATAACACACTTCTTACCAGACAGAGCAGCCACAGGAGCACGTAGCGAATTTGCGTCTTGGAAAACAAATCATGGCCAAATTTCACACAAGCGAGAGCCTCCAGGAAAGCGATAGCTCTTCAGGGAAATATAAGAATACAATTAGATAAACATTGTGTTTGATTTGACCACTTTAAGAACAGAGTGCTGTATTTAACAATGGCCCCCTCTATAGGCGATGCCTTTCCACTGCAGTGTCTGGATGTATAGCACTTGTGGCACAAGAGTCCAAATGCATGTTCTCTACAATATTGTTCCCCACTGTTCCAGCCCATAACCTATATTCACTTGCCACACAGCGTTGGAAAACTCTCTTTCAGTTTTAAAGGTTACGCTGCAGGAGTAAACCTCAGACAAGACAGAGTCTCACAGTTGAGTAATTCATGCTGTTGTAGAGTGCTCGTCTGGTTTCTATAGCAACTGGAGCAGACTGGGAGCATCAGCAGCTTTGTGTCTGAGATGAGGTCAATAACTACATAAGGTTGTGAATTTCAATTGAGTGGAAACTAAATGAAACGAAAAAAACCTACTGAAATGTTTAAATGAAAATGTAATTAATACTCATGTAGGCTAATGAGACCAGTGCAAGGTGGCCTGCTTTAAGTCTGGCTGAACTGGTGCCACTGGTCAGTTTAAGATGTGTGAGAACTTTGATTGGCTGTTCTATTTGAATTTACAACATCCATTGTTTTGCCCGCCAACACGATTCAACCACAAAGAGGAGAAACACGTGACACTGTTGATAAGCGGCACAGTCGTCAAGTTGCCAACACAGACACAACCTGTTCACTGTGATCCATGCCGACCAGATCAAAGACAACCTTCCAGACTCTGGACAAAGTTCAGTTTGCTTACCAGACTCCTCCGTTCACTGCTACTAATCAGTTTTGTGGGATAACTAAGCGGCAGATTCAAGCAAATTTTGCCCAAAACATGGCCAGTGTAACGGAAAATATAGTAAAATGCTTTGTATTTTTTGATAGTCCTTAAAAGTATTCATACAGGGGCACATGGAGTGTTTTAAAACTACTATTCAAACAGACAAAAGACATGAAAAGATTGACAGGACAAAAGATACTCACCCAAACACCCAACACTGTGTGCCGACTCGTTTACACTGGGTGTCTGTCAGGTACGCATAATATTGTCTGAAAAGGTTTTAAGAAGCGTTTTGTCAAGAATCAAGCAAGCACTGATAGTGTCATTTAAAATTGGCACTGCTTTTTTTTTTTTATATATATCCCAGAACTATTTGTGAGGCCAGGATATGTTACTGCCTGCAAGGATTCAAGGAAAGCTGGTGTTTTTTTTTTTTTTAGCTATTCAACATGTATTCAAATTCAGTATATCATAATTACTACTGCTAATAGGTTGAGTGTAAAGATGTCATTGTGATGTTTGAACATACCGTACGGTGGGCGCAGTGATGATTCCGACAAGGAGGATACGACACCAGCTGAGAGGGTGAGAGGCTTGAAAGATGAAGATGTGCTTGAGGAAGAACGTGTTCAACTCTGTCAGCTGTGGATATAAAGAATGTAAAGAGACTGGACTTAAATGGTTTTTAGATAAAAGTGTTGTGTATTTACTAAAAATGTTGGACTGCAAGACAACACGTAAAACTGAGCGGCTTTTCTTAAATACGAGATTCTTTCATACAATTAAATGAAAGATCATAGGCTGATTAATAACCTTCAGCCACTGCCCAAACACCTGGTACTGACTGTGACAGATAATTCTGAGTCAAAGGTCAAAGCATACAGTACCTGCCAGAGGATCATAAAGAGATAGATGCCTGCTAGTCTCTGGAAGGAGGACATTGGGTCAAACCAGCGTACAAATGTCCAGCTGGCTGGAGTAAACTGGAGCACAGCTCTCTTTATCTTCCCCGTGGTGGAGTGGATCTCCCTGAACAGAAACCATAGTCGTACAATCATAAGGATATAGACATAAATATAAACATGTAGTCTTGCTTCAAACATGAACAACAAGGAACAAAATCATCATTAATGCCATTAGTTCCATCTGTGCTTTTTTGCTTTGTCAAGTGATAAGTTCTGCTGTTAAAACATCTCTGAATGTGATTCATTTGGGAGACTTGCACTAATAATGACAGGAAAGAAAATATTCTGTTAACTGCTGATGCTCATGGAGTCATCAGATCAGCCAAATCCAATAGGTGAAGTATGTCTTGGTTCAAAGTTTATTGCCAAAGAAGCAGAATAGTTTGTATCTCAGGCAAAATGTGACTTTTTGTTGTGTGTTTTTTTGCGTAACAGAACTTAATACTAGTATCGTTACTGTTTCATTAAAAATTTGTGGGAATTTCAGAAACAGTTTTGGATCCTTGGCAAGTTGTAAATACAAGTAGAAGTTAAAGTTGTCTCTATGGTCCTTGATTAAACTACAGAAACTCACCTCCTTGTACATACCTGAATAGTGATTTTTTAAAAGTTTTTTTCCCATTAAAATAATACCTCCCTGCCCTAAAACAGCTTTACATCACTCTACACTTTTGCTTACTTCTTTCTACACTCGCCCCTCCACACTCACCACAACTGGAGCACACCGGCTCACCTACAACTCTCCTTAAAATGCTGTAAAACTACTTCACAATTACAAGAGTAATTAAGCCATACACATTCAACACAGAAACCAATTCTGAAAAATGATTCCTGCTCTAAAAACTGATGGGATTGACGTTCCTGAGGGTATTAACATATGAATTCCCACAGGTCTGGTTATTTCACTTATCATGTGTGTTCCCCTATAAGCACTTTTGCTTATATTATTGCTTTTATCACATTAATATAGAAAAAGACAGAGGTGAAAACACTGACTTGATGCTGGCCCAGCGGTAGGTCCTCATTTCCAGAAAGTGACAGGCTGTCATGCCCAGCCAGATTCCTCCTCCGTTACACAACAGTATGTCCAGTATCACCTGATCCCACCAGCACTCCGCAAAGTTAGGCAGGAGGTGCATGAAGAACAGCTGTAAAAACAAAAAAAATGTTGAAAGGAGACAGAAAATTAAAATTATTAGATATTTATATCTTGAGGGAATTAAATACATGGAGAATGAAAATATAAAACATTTTTTCAATCACTTTCTGATAATAAACTGTACATTCCTGTGCTATTTGAAAAGCTGAAGCACTCTGTTTGGTCACAAGGTCTGTGACACAGTCGATTCAGTGATGAGTAAATCTGGTATTAGGTTAGGTCACGTAATCTAATCCTCCAGTCAACAATTGGCAGCAGTCAAGGCAACAGCTCCTGTTATGTGCAGAAGCTCCTGCTCGTACTACTGTTCTGTTATGATGAGTTTCTCCCGTTACAAAAAAATCCCTGTGGCCTGCACGGACTAATCTGAAATTAATCTGTTTTCTTTCATGAGTTGGGTCACAGAGCGAAGGCAGGGGACACCCTGGACAGGTCACCAGTCTATCACAGGGCTACACTTAGAGACAGACAACCAAGCACACTCACATTCACACCTACGGACAATTTAGAATCACCAATTAACCTCAACATGTTTCTGGACTGTGTGGGGGAAAGCCGGAGAACCCGGAGAGAACCCACGCTGCACGGGGAGAACATGCAAACTCCACGCAGAAAGATCCCGGGTGTCCTCACCAGGACGCGAACCCGCGACCTTCTTGCTGCGAGGCAGCGATGCTAACCACCAATCCACCTTGCAGCCCCTGCATAAATATGTGCATGATTTAAATTGCAATTTTTTAATGCAAGGCAGATCAAGCCTTACATTATCTTGACCACATGCACACACACACACATGCATGTTACCTCAGTGAGTTCCCAGGTGATGCTGATGGTCCAACACAAGCCATAACTGCGGATCAGGACAGCCTTCATGGCCCACCCGGCAAAGTGGCCGAATGCAAAGATGTCAAAGTGGCTCAGTATGCGTTCCCACGTTATCACTGTACAGTTTACAGCATATTCCTGTAGAATGAAAACAAACAAAAACTCATCTTACATCAGAAATGCTCAGAAATGTTTATCTTTTCATTGTAAGAGACATCTTCACATGTGTCACAATTAATGTAGGTTCATTTTATTTAACATTAAAGGTTTTTATGTCGCGTTTACGTCACTCTGCTCAGTAACCATAAGGTCTGTTACAGGAGCATCACTGTAGTAAGGAGCTACGTGTTCATGTTTGAACAGATTTAGTCTAAACAACACATTTTCAGCAAATGTGAAAACAAATTTTATTTAAATTTCATTAGAACAAAAACGAAAGAAACATTGTGGATTCTAACTTGTACCAAGAGCTTTTCTAAACTACCTACAAATTATGTGAAAGCCACCCAGAAAACTATATTTATGTCTGAAAACATTTTAGATCATGTGTATTAAATTATCCTTGTTAGGACCAAAATGGGAAGGAGAGCACCAGAGATAAGAGAGTCAAGTAAAGTCAGGCCGGGTTTATCTATAAAACTTATGTTTTAAAAGGATATACAGAGTAGAATATGAGAACAGAGCTTGATAGAGCCTGTAACTTCTGATTTTTCACATTCATACAGAAATCTTGAGAAAGTAGGAACATGTATCTGGGAATGGGACAGATCTGACACAGAGAGGGCATCCCATGGCCTCCAAACCTCATTCTGACATCGACTAACATACAAAATGTGATGGTCTGATGGTTCACATGTGACCAAAGTTCAAAACCATGCTTACCATGATGTCAGCTTCCCGTTTGGCATAGCGCAGATTTGGGTCAAGCCAGTACATCAGAGTCTTCACTTGGTCCCAGTTCAGGAAGATGAGGAAGACGAGGAACAAAAAGTAGAGCACACTGAGACCTGCAGGAGACAAGGGACAGAGAGTGAAGATAATGACAAGAGAAAACTGTATCTAAGTTATAAAAAAAAGCTGCATCTCTTTAAACACTCACCAAATACCATTCGCCATATGGCAGGGTGCGGCCTGGTGAAGGGACCTGATAGAGAAAAGATCGTTCGAGAACTTTACTGTGCTCGTTGTTTTTCATAGGATAGACAAAAATCTGAACTGAAGTAGGGCTGCAACTAACAATTACTTATATCATCTGGCAATTATTGTCCTGATAAAACAAATTGTTCATTATTTTTTGGTCAAATGGGAGAAAAAATGTCACAAAATCCTAAAGCCTGTGGTGACATATTTAAATCAATTACCAAACACAAAATATTCTATTTACTGTCACATAAGTGACCAAATACACACATTTCAAAGGCTACAAGCAGAGAACAGTTGACATCTGAAGTTTTAAAAAAAATGACTTAAACTACTAACTAACTATCAAAAGAGTCAACTGATATTTCACACCAGTAGACCCACTGTTTTTAGAACTACACTGGGACACTCGATCACATACCATTTAATCCTGGAGCCAGTGTAGGTGTGCTTACCATTAGGAAACGCCAGGACACTGACGACCAAGAAGAAGGACACAACCACCAATAAACCAACACGGAGGTTGTTGTCTGGCTGTTCATCATCCCTGTAAGAACACAATCCCTCACGTTCATACAAAAAGGAAACCTTGCATTAAAACTGATATAAAACTACCCAATGTAAATGTCTCGTTGATATTTACCTGGTGAAAACAAAGTACATCAAGCTGAGCACGGTCCCTGTCAGCAGTGTGATAGTGTGTGGCTTATAGAAGAAGTCTATGCAGATATCCTCCACTTGTTGCTCGTTTATCATTCGGAAATGTAACTTGTAGCTGGCGTCATCCCTCCGCGGTGTCCAGGAACCAGCGGTGGCCGCCATGTCGCTGCTGTGGGCTACTTTTTTTTTTTAATTTTACTGGTTTAACTTCAACAACTAAACTTAAAAGTTGTCAGACAAAATGATGTCAAGAAGACAGCAACGAAGACAGGAACCTTGAAGACGGACTGGACCACTGTGGTTCAAGGGGTGTTTGTGTGCGAACATGAGTACGAAAGCTTCCACCAAAATAAATAGTGTTAACTGCAACGATGTTACTTTGTAGAATTTTGTTTTTAAATATTTTTAATAACATAGCTTATCAAATTTATTGTCCAAATTAGTATATTCAGGACATCTGTTACCCGCATAGACACACCGCTTTGGTACATCCCATACGGTGACGTTTCCGTGGACTTCTTCCGGTAATGTGCACGTGAAGATAGTTGACATTGCGGACGGTGATAAAGCAGAGAACGTCAGAGGATCAAATTCAGTGATTCTCAAATTGTAAGTTAAATGTTAACTATTTTAAATTATGCTGGGGTTTTGGCTCTTTTTACAAGAATTAAGAGAATGATAATTGTTCTGGCTTGCTAGCTTTTAACGGTGTATCTGGGACAAGCTAGCTAACTATCAGTCTCAAATTTGTGTTATACATCTTCATTAGCTTAGCTAGCAAAAGACAAGGAAAACAATGTGCATGTCGCTCTGTAAACATAAACAATACCGGTGTTTACTTCTTCCTAAATTCCACACCATCCCTACACAGATGCTGTGAAAGACATTGCAATATGAAATCAGCTTGCTGTCCTCTATGTTGCATGGTATCAAATACACAGCACTTCAACATGTACACAATCAGAAAAACTAAATCTTACTGGACAATCTATCACTATCCTCCATTTAACGTGCCTCGCAGTACACACAGACTAAAAACACACTAGTGGAGTTAATAGGAAAAGCTTACACATTGCTACAAACTGTTTAGCTTTTCAGAAAGTGCAAATATGTGCATGTGTGAGTGTTAAGTACTTCACTGTATTATTTTAATGGTAGTTGAAAAGGGAAGATGATGAACTGTCATTGTCATAATTGAACCAAACCAGCATGTGCTTACATACTATACCTTCAAATATATACACATAAAACCAGCCCTCTATATAAAGGAGTTGACCACGTATACAATGATTTTTTTCTAAATTATTTTAATTGTATAAAATCAATTTATAACTACCTGCTATACACATATATATATAAAACGTCATCCAATGATTGCCTGTAGTTAAATTTGTGCGGTTGTTTTTGTTTCTTAGTATATCTGTATTTCTGTTTATTATTTATTACTACTTATAATTCCTTGTATGTGTCAAAATTCTTGGCCTAAAAATGGGAGTCTGATTATTCTCTGGTATTGACTTTGAAACTAGTCACTGTTTTTTAGGAAGCTGTATCGATGAAGCTAGTCCACTGACTGTTTTATTATGATATAACTTCATGGTTTGATGATTCTAAGCTTTCAGAATATGCTCTTGTCAGACAGAGTGGAGTGATGTTGACGATAGAGCAGAGTAATTCCTACATTGGATGGAATGCCTCTAAAACATGTACTTTTTTTTTTTTTTTTTTTTTAACAGGATGACCATGGCCTCTACCTATGCACAGCTGTGTCTGAGATGCAGAAGTCATATTTGCTCTAAGACACTGACCAGTGCGGGACAGTACTACACTCAAGTTCGGCATTGTAATACAGTGACAAGGGTACCGACCAAAATCAGCAATGGATTATCCATCTGGGGGAATCGCACGACAACTCAGACAAGACTGAGGTGGAAACAGCACATGTGCTATTACAATGACTTCACAGCCAAATATCTCACAACTGAGGCTACCAAAGGCAAGCCTGCAGAAGATTTGGCAAGAACGGATGGTGCTGCATACCAAACCCCCCTGGTGCCAAACAGTGATGCTGTGCCAGTGACTGAAAATCATTTGGTTTCATTAGGTAGATATTGCTTGTTCCTTTTAATCAAATAAACCTTCATTCAGCACCATCATTTATAATTAGATAGATTGTTTTACTTCTGGGTGTGGAATTGTCTCAATCTGTATTTCCTTCATTAACCAGATCTGGATGCCGCTGCTGAATTTTCAGCATTAGAGGAAATCACTGATGAAGAGGCTGTCAGTATATCTCCTCCTTCTTTCATGCCTCCAGCTTCCACCTCTCTTAGAGACTACGTTGACAAGTCTGAGACGCTTAGCAAGCTGGTACAACTAGGTAATCGAATTGTGGATAAATTGTTGAAAACATTTTAGTTTTAGTTAGAGTTACTGCATGATAATAAACGCTCTTCAAGTTGTGAATTTGCCCAAAACGTTTTTTTTCTGATAATTTCTCCTACTTTTCTAATTGCAGGAGTGAATCTGTGGAAGCTGGAACAGAGGCCCAACGTAGGCTCAATGCTGCTGAGACTCGATTTTAACAAAGATGTGGCTCCACGACTGCTGTTTCTCAAAGAAATTGGGGTGGAGGACTCTCACTTTGGCTATATGATCACACACAATCCCTTCTTTCTTACAGAGACTTTGGAGAACCTACAGACCAGGTAGCATGAAAGGATATCAGAAACACTACAGGCTTTCATATATACCATTGATTTACTCTAAATGCGGCTGAATAACATGGAAATGTATAACCTTACATACTTTCTGTTGCAGTAATGACAGGTCATTTTACTTCTCTGCAGGCGCATTGGCTATGACACTGTCTTAATAATGTTCTCTTCTGTTTGTACAGGGTGAAGTATCTTAAATCAAAGAAGTTCAGCTCTGTCACTGTTGCATCCATGGTGTCCAAAGCTCCTTATCTGCTCAACTTCAGTGTGAAGAGGCTGGACAACAGACTGGGTTTTTACCAGCAGCAACTCAAACTCAGTGCTTTCCATGTACGCAGCTGATCTCATTTAGAAGCTGAACTATGTTTAAGCAAAAGAAATCACGTTTCATTTTGTATTATAATGCCCTGTTGAGGTACAGTTTCAAAAGGAAATTGAAAAGTGACTTTGTTGGTAGAAAAAGAAACAGTAAATTGTAGCAAATGCCGTCTCTTTCCTCAGACACGGAACATTGTTGCTCGTCTTCCCAGATTACTGTGTGGCAGCTTGGAGCCTGTGAAAGAAAATTTGAAGGTACTGAATGAAATTATTAGAAAGTATATTTTGAGTAGTTTTGGTTTCTTGTACTTCATACTTTTTGTATACGTGTTCCACAGGTATGTGAAATAGAGCTCGGCTTTAAGGCAAATGAGATCCAGCACATAGTTATTGTCGTCCCTAAAGTGCTGACTGCCAATAAAAGGAAGCTAACCCAGATATTTGACTTCCTGCACAACACCATGAAGGTTCCCCATCACCTGATCGTCAAGTTTCCACAGGTAGAGTGCTGCTTTTTTTTTTTTCAATCTGTTTATAGTAAATGTTAACAAATTTTCTGTTTTGTCCAGATTCAGAACTATAATTCAAGTATCTACTATATCCTCTTGTAGGTCCTCAATACCAAATACTTGCGACTGAGAGAGCGTCACCAGTTCCTTGACTACCTCGGAAAAGCTCAGTATGACCCATCCCAGCCGAACTACATCGCCCTGGACCGCTTAGCGTCTTTACCAGATGAGACTTTCTGCACTGAGTTGGCTTTGGCTACATTAGAAGATTTTTATTTGTTCCAAAAGACACTTTAATTCCTTATGAGGGAATTTGAAAAAGGACTTTAAAACACAAGTGATCAAGGATACCCGATAAATATCATAACATCAGCACACGCACATGCATACATGAAAGTCTAAATATACAAAGCTTGAAATACAATGTTTTGTAAATATGATGTTTAATAAATGTACATGATGTATATCACCTGTTCTGCTTGGATTACTGCACTTCTTTACCAGCACTGTGGAACTGAAGAGACTATAAATTTGATTAAAGTTATGTTCATTCTAATGTGTGTCTAAGATTTACTTTGACTCATCAGTCTATAAAATGATTAGGCCTTGAAAACTGCCTCATAAAGAGAAGAATTAGGATTAATTTGTTTAGAATTTGTCTGAATGTATTCAACTGCAAGGTGGTTCGGTGGTTAGCACCGTTGCCTCGCAGCAAGAAGGTCGCTGGTTCGCGTCCTGGTGAGGACACTCGGGATCTTTCTGCATGTTCTCCCCGTGCAGCTCCTCCCACAAAGCCAAAAACATGTTGAGGTTAATTGGTGATTCTAAATTGTCCGTAGGTGTGAATGTGAGTGTGCTTGGTTGTCTGTCTCTAAGTGTAGCCCTGTGATAGACTGGCGACCTGTCCAGGTGTCCCCTGCCTTCACCCTAAGTCAGCTGGGATAGACTCCAGCCCCCCATGACCCTAGTGAGGATTAAGCTTAATCTTGGGTACATCCATCCATTATCTATACACCACTAGTGGTGTATAGATAATGGATGGATGTACCCAAGTACATTTCTTTTTAATCAGATTGTAATTCACTTGTAAATTGAAATTCAGTGTGCTACTTCATAGCTATGCACCACTATCATACTTTTTTCTCCACTACATTCGTCGTACGCTAATAGTTTCTGCAGAATCATCTTACACAGTGTAATGTGTTGTTGGTGCAGTATATTTTAACTGACCTTTATAGCTGCTGAAAAACATTTAAAATTATACACGTTAATCAGAACTGAAAATTACTGAAGTATATATAAGACGTTTAAGCAAACCTGTCTGTTGCAACAATAGTACTTTCAGTGTTTTGCATACGTTTTAAATGCATAAAATTTACTTTTAAGTGAATATTTTTTGCATTCAACCAAAACCACAAGTAAAGCACCAGAATCCCAATACTACTTCTGCATTTTCTTATTTACCTCCACTATAATTACTCCACTTTAATGTGACAACATATCCGTGGTAAGAGATTAAAAGTAGGTGTTTCTTGAATCTCTTTTTTATGTTTTGTTTTTTTTTTTAAGTTCTAAACTACTATCAAGAGCAAGGATTCTGGTGTAATCTAAGCTCGTATGAAAATAAATGCGATGCTTTGTGCTCTACGTTTGTTTTGTACACTATGTTAGTTTGAATCTTATATGAATGTGAAATATGAAGCTCATCGATTAAGTGACCGGAGAAATTTCCAGAGCGTGACGTATCATGAAGCTGCCCGATGACCGGAACACTGTTACCCACAATGCACAGCGGTTGTTCTTCTCAGTTGTTAACATGGCGGCGAGGGCACCAAGTAAGTAAACAGCGCTCCTTTTTGATATTTTCAATTTAGATTCACTAAAGTTTGCGTCGCGGTACTATGACATGACCATTGATATAATGCAGTCCGTAGCTTTGTGTTATTTTGATCTTTTCTGCCTGGAAATTTCTCTTAATGCATTCAACTTGTGTGTCCTTTCGTGTCCCCGTGCTAACTGATGCTAACGGGTACTGATTAGCTAATGTTAGCTCAGCGCTCGCTGTTGGAGCACCTCATAATAATGTAATTTGTAACCTTCGCCTCCTCTAAAATTGCTAAAAACTGCTGAAGGTGTTTCGTTAAATAACTACTATCGCGCCCAACTGGTATTATGCTATAAAATACATATGTGGGTATCGTCTTGCTAGCGTTAGCTGTTTAGCTGCAGAGGTTAATTGAGATTTGCTTTGGCTGTTGTGTAATTTAATCTGTCTTTTCAACGCGTATGAAAGACGCTAACTTTGTAATGTTAGTTGGACAAGTAATATATTGCTTCTCCATTTAAAGTGTATTGTCTTATCTGAGAAGTAGAAAACACAAGGTGAACCAAAAAGTAAAGTCCAATTGCCTTTCACAGAAGTTCGTGACCTGGATGACACATAGACATACGCAGTCAGATATGTGCTTGATATTGATTGTACTTTTACTTTTTGATGTAAACAAGTGTTCACATGGTGTACCATTTTTAAAATGTCTAAAAGGTTTCATGAGGATCCAACATAAATCTGTGCTTTAGTAGCTGTCAGTCTAAACCGCTTTTCCTTCCTCCCCATATCTATGCATGGATTGACAATCTGCTCCTTCTTAAAATCAAGTTCATGTTGCCTGACTGACCCTGTGTGTGTGTCTTTCATATTCTGTTTACAGCGGTGGCAGCCAGGTTCGGGCTCGAGTTCCGTAAATGGTACTACAACTTATGTGGCTTCAACAAGATGGGTAAGGCCAAAGAATAACGTATTGATTAAAACAATCAAACAGTTTTTAACCTTATATTATTATCATTGGTTTTCATTTCTAGTTTTACTGATTCCAGCACACATGATTTCTGTTTCAGGTTTAATGCATGATGACACGCTCTATGAGGATGCGGATGTGGAAGAGGCCATCAGGAGGCTTCCAGAGAATGTTGCCAGCGACAGGACCTTCAGGATCAAGAGGGCCCTGGATCTCTCCATGAAGCATCAGATTCTCCCCAAGGAGCAGTGGACGAAATATGAGGAAGTAAGTTCACATGAGCAGATTTAAATATGTGTTTTATTCAGGAAGAGGACGACTGTAGAAAAAAGATGGTGTAGTGCATTGCTTTTCATTATGTAGTTTTAAATGATATGTATAGATGCAAAATCATTTCACCTTCATCTGCTGAAGCTCAGTGTAAAGTATGACATTGTTGTCAAACTTTGAAATTGGAGAAAGTTACACATTTTTGGGTGGATTTAAACTGTGATCTGGATTTATCTTGATTTTAGTCATTTAGTCATATGTTTTTATTTTTCTGTTTTCCCTTCAGGACTACCCCTACCTGAGGCCGTATCTGGAGGAGGTGATCCGTGAGAGAAAGGAAAAAGAAGAGTGGTTTAAGAAATAAAAAGTTAGCAGTCACAGCTGTTAATCTGGTCTTCGCTCCGTGCATGGTCGTCCCCTGGTGTAATATTTAAATGAAATGTAACCTATATCAGACAGTGCTAATTAAAGAAATGTACATTTTGAAAGATGTTTAAGTGTCCCTTTTTATGTAATGGACAGCAGGTTATTTGAAGATTTGATTTACTGGTATGACAAAATGAAACACATTTGTATGCTTCCTAATATACAATCTGTGACATGTTGCATTATTGTGCTGTTTACAAATCTGATTATATACAAAATTTAAAACAGAATATAGACATAAGAACATGTACAATAGATACATTAGGAAAAATATCTTAGTAACCAATATCCATTAGGGTAGTTACATCTTTTTGCACTGCATGTTTGTCTGTTTTACAGACTGTAAGAGGTGCTGGAAGAAAGTATTGATCCTGGATGAGATAAAACAGTAAAATCATATAGTATGGAATTTCTGTATGTATGATGTTAATTTATAGCCAGATAGACCTGGCTTATTAAATCTGTTTTCACAGTCAAGCACAGACCAGAGGGGACAGTTTAGTGCAGCCTAAGAACACATCCTCATAGAAACAAACTGTCCACAGGGGCCGTCATAGTCAGCATGCAATGACATTTCTATAAGCTTTAAAGATCTGCTTCACACAAATGTCCAAGTTTATATATAATCTGAACTCAAAACCTTTTTCCCTGCGCCAATTTATCTTTGTACAGGAAACCTCATTAGTCATCTTTGTGAGCCTGTGATCTCCTGCTGTCCACGTCAGTTATGGTACCTATAAAGTTCCCAATGACATTGTTAAAAGATTTCAACATAGACACCCCAAGTTCATTGCTGGTTTCATGAATGTCTGGATCGTAGGCCCCCAGGAGGGGAGTGCACACTTCCACACTTCCTCTACCAGCTCCTTCCAGGATGCCCATCAGCTGACTCCTGATCTCCTCAAACAATTCCCTGTTGTAATGCAGCAAGACTGCATCATCAAGAGGATAAGTGACATCCTCAGAGTAGCATTCACGGGGCACTGGTAACTCAATGTACCTTAACTTAGGAAAGCCTGCGGATAGTGTGGAGAATAACCTCCGTAGGGCAGCAGAGGTCAGAGGGTTTCCCAGGAGCTTGAGCTCCTCCAGTCCCTGACAGAGAGCCAAAGCACCAATGAAGGGGTCCATGTGCTCGTCCGTTATGCTGCATTCTTCGAGGGCCAGGCTCACCAGTGTTGCAGAGCAACGACTGAGCAGTTTGTGGACAGAGGTGGAGAAAGAGCCGAAGATGTCATGTCCACTGATGTCCAGCCGAACCAGGGCTTCGCTGTGGAGGCTGTTGGCCAAGTATGTCATGTCGACACGGTTCAGGCAGCAGTTGGCCAACTCCAGGCACTGCAGTGGTGTGTTGAGAGGACTGGATGAAGGAAACAGGTAAATGGAAACATTACATTTTTTTGTTCACAGTCGTATAGTGGATAGAGAGCATTTATGTGCTCTGTTACACTGTAATCATCTATTCAGTAATCCTACAAATGATGATGTTCCTTGCTCTGATCTGGTAAGCATTGTTACAAATACTTGTTTGTATTCACATGTTTTGTTTTTCCAACATTTCTCCACGTTTACATTCTGAAATTTGAATCAGCGAAATCAAATGCCATATTCGCCTCCTGTTCTATTTAAATGTGACCTGTGAAGAATATCAAGCAGGTTTCAGGCTGACCTGCAGCTGTTTGTCCTCATATTGGCATCATGTCAGCAATTTTAACAACAAAATACCTTCCACTGTTAAACAAGAGCCTTAAAGCTGGAATGTGCTGTGCCGCTGGTTAAAGGTGATTATTGTGAGCTATATTAAAGCTCTTGATGCTGCAGGGTGCATGTAGTATAGAAATCAGAGCCACCAGCAGCATCCATCACCTCACTTGCATGAAGATGCAGACAAAGGACACCTTGTTGTCTGTCTTTATCTCTCCGTCTGTCTGTTTACTCACATGAGCAGTCTTCGTAGGTGTCCGGTGAGTGTCGAAAACCCAATGTAGAGCTCGGTGAGTCTGCTCAGCTGTGCCAGCAGGTTGCCAAGGGTGGCCAGCAGATCACCATCTAAAGAGTTCAGCCTCCTCACATCCAGCGCCCCGGCCGGCAGCGTTAGAGACTGTAATTTAGGGAATTCCACTCTGGATAGCAGCACCTCCAGGTGTACGGCCTCCAGGGGGATGTTGTGGACCACCTCCAGCTTTGTGATGGACTCAGGCTCTGCTAGGCGAAGAACGTAGAACAGCTGCTTGAGAGCGAGAGAATCGGCCCTGAAACTAACAAAACGGAGCTTCAGAGGACAGTAGCGGAGAAGCATGAAGGCCTGAGCCACCAGCTCGTAGTTGCGTCCAGTGACGAAGCCGTTCAGACGGATGTCGATGGATGTTTCGAAGGCAGATCGGGACACGTCGCTGGCTTGCATGGCCACCATTGTCTCATAGCACATCTGGGTCAGGAGCTGGGTTCTTGCCCATCGACCCAGCGTGGACCGACAGGGGCAGGCCTGCTGCTCAATGTCCTTAAGGGCTGTCAGGTCCACCACGTGCAGGTTCTTGGCATAAGTTCTTGGAGGAGACAGCACATAATCCTAATAAAACAAGGGAATATTATTGGGAAGTCTTTTAAGGTAATTATCTAGTTAATCTTGGAGAATATTTGCAAATTAAAGGCATTAACACGAGAAATGCACCTATAACATGAGGATGAAATGAATATTATTAAGCATGCTGTAATCACAACTACTTAGGTACCTTGAGGCCGGTCAGAATTGCTACCAGACAAGTCCGGCAGGTGCGAGAGGTGAGATCCAAGTCACAGTCGATTGTCTTTCCCAGGAGTCTTTGTAGGTTGAGCTCAGGAAGAGGCCAAGTCTGGACCAAAGCATTCAGCAAGTCGGCCTGCTCATGGAGATAGCAGGCCTTGAAGAGAAGAGGGTAGAGGTTAAAAGACACACAGCTGAGGTTCTCCAGAGCACTTGGACCAGTTTGGGTGAAGCCCTCAGCAGCGAGGAATCGCAGGGACTTCATGTTTTCAGTGATTTCTTGTCAGCAGGTGTGTGAGTTTCTTGGCTGGTCGTTGAGAGCTGCTTTCAGACAGCTCTGCGTTTCAGTGTTTGGCCTCCTCTGGAGCTGCTGCTGTGTTGATCTCCCGTGTTGCTGCCTGTCTGGCTGTTTGGCATTTGTTTAGGACCAGGCTCGCTGTGGTGAGAAAGAAACAAGGCATGGGGACCTCGTGGTAGGTAAAGAGGGGCGACTGAGTTTATTAATAGAAGCAGCTGTCTCACGTCCTTCGTCGGACACGGTGTCTATTTGCAACTTTTGGCAGAGAGATAAGTAGAAGCAACCTTTAAATGCTGGGGGGAGGCTTCACTTCACTGGTCACAACACCATGTTGTGAGGCTGCACATGAGCTGAATAATCCATAAATAATCCAAGCCTGAGCTGTGATATTATCTCTGTTTGATGCTTAATGCAATTTAACAACCATGTTATTATGAAGTGCTTCAGTTTACTATCTAATTAATAATTGTTTTTACAACTCAGCTGCTATATGCAACATAGGTTTGCAATGCATCATGGTCTGACTCCTATAAGGGTGAGGTTTTTTGTTACTGTGGACACCTAAAATATATCCTGCTTGCCTTACGTTACTGAACATATCTCAGTGTGACATTATGATGTGCAGTTTGTGTGAAAATTAGAATTCCAAACAGACAAACTGTGCCCAGAAATGCAGAATATATTGCAGACATCTGTTATGTACAGCTGATAACTAGTAAGTGATGCCATCAAGAAGAGAAAATTATAAACTTGCTCTGATTCTAATATGTAGTATGAAACTAATTAAATTGTTAAATATTCCATCCATTCATTATCTATACACCGCTTAATCCTCACTAGGGTCATGGGGGGGCTGGAGGCTATCCCAGCTGACTTAGAGTGAAGGCAGGTTCACCTGGACAGGTCACCAGTCTATCACAGGGCTACACTTAGAGACAGTCAACCAAGCACATTCACATTCACACCTATGACAATTTAGAATCACCAATTAACCTCAGCATGTTTTTGGACTTTGTGGGAGGAAGCCAGAAAACCCGGAGAGAACCCATGCTGCACGGAGAGAACACGCAAACTCCACGCAAACTCCACGCAAACTCCACTGGGACGTGAACCGGCGACCTTCTTGCTACGAGACAATACTGCTACCAACTGCGCTACCTTAGTTCCATTAATTACATATCAGCCCAGAAAGAAAATATGTCATCATGTCAGGATAAACAACACACCTTTATATGACGTTTTAGTATCCTCAACATGAAAAGTCACACATACTTAATTTTACGTGATGAAAATACATAGTTTTAGTCAAAATATGGGCAATATGCAGTGTAAATATAGGGAATTTAACTTTTAAATAGTGTTATGTTTTAATACACCTGACATGAATTGCTCTATAAAGTGGTATTCAGACAACAACAAATGAACTCACCTTCCAGGATTTAAGTGTGTAATCTTACACAATTTTCTTTGCATTAGATAAAAATGCATTTTCTTAGCTGCGTATAATATAACAGAGTAAATCCAAGGACCAGCTGAGTGGCCTTGAATATACTGAGAACACCAGCTCCTCTTACCTGTCTCTTATATGTGTAATATGCAGTTAGGAGGGGTGATAGTGGTGGTGATGATGGTGATGCTCGTGGTGGTGATGGTGCTCGTGTCTCTGGGCCAGAGGGACCCCGCAGGAAGGCTGAAGATTAGAAAACACTTCTCGTGCTGGCTGAGCCTTGAAGCCAGGGTGTCTGAGGGGTGAGGCAGCTCCTTGTGCCTTGGAGTGAAGCCTCCTGCTGTGTGAACTGTGTGAGGCTGGAGTCTGGCTAGGATGGCACTCTGAAGCAGAGTGTTGGCCATGTAACCTGCAGGGCCTTCCCTCCACTCTGCTCTTTTCTCTCCCCGCCGGCATGGCTTTGCTTTTCAAGGAGTGAACAATGGAGAGGCCTCGAGGAGAGAGAGGGGACGTGCAGTTGTCCCTGAAAGCCCCTAGGTGATGCTGAAGAGCCTGGCTGGTCTCTGCAGAGGGCAGCTCTAAAGAAAAAAACAAGAAAAACAACTAAAACTAGAGGGAAAAGAAAAGACACCAGCTTGTCAAGTATTTATAGATTCATTCATAGTAATGGAGGAGTTTCTATACCTGTGTTGTCAAACTTGGAGGTGTAGTTTTCAATGCCAGCCAGATCCATGTAGTGTTTTCTGCGTTCTATGTTTTCATCCGCGCAATAGATCCTTCTTAGCGGGCCTCTTCCCTCCTGTGATTCACTCTGGTCTTTCTCTGCAGCTGTTTTCAGTGACAGCAGGTTGTTAACATCACAACAATGACAACAGTCTGCCATATATATATATATATATATATGTATGTCCAATAAATTCAGTAAAAATGTAACTTCTGTTTACTTGAGCAAGCTGAAGGAGACACAACCAGCTTGATCTTCAGGGGTCTGGTGCCACCGTAAGGCTGCTTCACTGATGCCTCTAGAACCTCGTACATGGAGTGTATGAGACTGGACATGTCCTGTCAAACACACATACAATGTTCAGAGATGCTTTAAATTTAATTTATGCCAACAGAAATCAAAAAATGGAGCTACCTCCTTTGTGACTTTGCCGGTGTTGTCAAAGTTGTACAATGTGAAGACCCACTCCTGCCGAGATTCATCCTCCAGCACCACCTCTGTGTCCTGTCAATATGAGCACACGATGAAAGAACAACGAGTTCACTGAAACTGTACGAGACATTTAGTGCAGTTTTAGGGATTTAGGGAAATTTACTTCATTGCTTTCTTGTCTAGCGGTAGATGAGAAGATTAATCATGATACCATGGTTATAACTGTCTGTTAAATAAAGGCTACAGCCAGAAGTTTATTAGTTCAGCTTAACATAAAGACTGGAAGCAGCTACATAACAACACAATATACCAGGTTTGTGACAAGTGTAGTATTTTGTGGTGGGTTGTGTGCAGGTTTAAACGCTATTGTTGTTGGGGTTCTGGTAGAGTTTGGCAGTTTATTGTTGGTTTTGTTCTGCTGTGATGTGCTGTGCATGTTTTTTCAGGCTGGGCGGGGCCGTGGCCGAGGAGGACTCGCTTGTTAATTCACCACACCTGTCTCCTGTTGTAATCGGCGCTGCTCTTAAGCTGGTTTCTCCCCGCACTGCAGCGCCAGACGATTCACTCTGCTTCGAGCGGTAGATCGGCCAAAGAACAGTTCTCTAGATCTCGAGTTGTTGTTTGTTCCTGATTGTTAATCCTTTCCTCTCGTTTCCTTCGCCTACCCTAGAGCCTCTTCAGCCTGAGGCCTCATCCAGCCCTGCCACCACGACTCCGCCACCAGCCGCAGCACTCCGATTCGCATTCACAGGTTTTTCCAGGCATCAAGCACTTCTCCCCTGGAGCAAGGATTTCCCCTGCACTGGACTACTTCCCTGGAGTCCCCGAATCCCCCCTCACCTCCTCCACTGAAGGATCGACGAGCACGGACACTTCTCTCCCCCCCGCTTCCTTGGTGTCTCACAATAAACCTTTTTGTTATCACTCCTGCTTCCTCTGTCGCATTCTGGGTCACTCAACACACATTAGGAGTATCTCCTAACAATTGTCTTATAAAAACTACACTAAACTATACCATTAGAGAAGGTCGAACCTATGAAGGACATCCTTGTTGAAGTGTGCAACCTTCTACTTCTCTGCAAATGACCCACACACTGCATAAACTCAAAGCAGAGCTGTGGCTCTCGTTTCGCTTCAGCCAGCCTGCGACCACGACATGTTGGAGCTTCACAACGAGAGGAAGAGGCACTCACTGTCCCGTCAGCTTCAGCACGTTCTTGTCGTGGTCATAACTTTAAAAAAAAATATTCACTTCACGTCACAGATTCATTTTGGAATCCAAACATGTTGATGAAGCACAAGAAGGGAAAATAGTAAATTCCACAACTTCCTTGTAGGTCTGCTGGTTCGCTCATGCCAACTTAGTTACAACAAACAAGCCCAAAAAAGGAAATAGTTGTATTTCCCATCAGCGAGTATGCAAAACAGAGAACAACCCATAAGCAAGACAGCAATATATGTAAAAACTATACTAGGTTTTCCTTTTCCGGTTTGTTCCAGTTATTATTTTGGTTTTACTTCATCTACAAAGCCCTGCAGAGGATAGTTAGAGGAGCTGAGAGGGTCATCAGAGTTTCCCTCACCTCTGTCCAAGACGTTTTCCAGAGCTGCTGCAGGAGCAGGACCCTGAACATTGTCAGAGACTCCTCACACCCTCTCCATAAACTGTTTGAACTGCTGCCATCAAGCAAACGTTTCTGGAGCGTTAAAGGGAGAACCTCCAGACTGATCAACAGCTTCATTCCTCAAGCTGTCAGAATGCTGAAGTGCTGATCCCGATATGCAAACACTTGTTTATTTAAATTGCTTTAAGTTATTGGATCCTGAAGAAACACTCTCTCATCTTGCCTGTACTACTGTGTATGAACAGCAAAATGACAATAAATCTGATTTAATTTTGATGTCCCATCATTTTTTTCGTGGTCAGCTGTCATAACTATGGCTTCATTTAATCTGATTTCATTCTTACTTTAATAGTCTTGATTCACATGTCTGCTTAGATTTATTAATAGCTGGTAGCTGCTCTTAATTAATATATTTTCTTACTGGATATTAACTCACATGTATTATTCATGACTTTGACTGTGTTTTCATATGTTTTATCCTCACATAGGTGTTGTTACTTCTCTGGCAGTTCAGGCTTTTTGCAGGACATTGTGCTTCTACATGGAATGAAATCTACATTATAGATGAAGTTTTGCTTGCCTGCTCTGACACTTTTTGACCAGAAGCAGGACTCTTATCGTCTTGTTTCCACTTAACTCGCAGAAACTGTGAGAGGTCAGGTCCTGTTTTCAGGCTTGATGCTTAGCTACATTAATACCTGTTACTAAAAACTGTATTTCTGGGGATTGCAATCATTTGTGTGTTGCATGAGACAAACCTTGTGGACTAAAACAACACTGTGTACGCAGACGGTTGATATAATTATACAAACATATCAGAACGCTAAGAAACTTTAAACTGAAACACTCACAGCAGCGTGGTCATTCCTCTTCTTTGGTTGTTTCCTGATCTGGAAGCTGAAGCTGTTCTTTCTGTCAGGTATCTTCTCTGGTGGCAGAACCACTAAACAGCACATAAAGTTAGGCTGTAATTATAGTCATTTAGTCAGCCCTAAGTCAGCCGTATGTGTTGTGTTAACAGGCTGTGTATCTTTAAGTAATTTCGTTTTCACTGAATGTTTCGCAGAGGGGAAACTGAAACCTGACCGAAAGCTGTACATCCAAAGGTCGAAGCTTTCCCACACAAATATAAAACAGATGTCGATAATTTCACTATTTCCTTCTCTCATGGGAAACTTTTAACGTCTCGGATGAAACTGACACAATGAAACAACAATTCATAACACGTAGAAGGAGAGTCAGTGTAACGTACGGGGGTCTCTACTCACCCTTGAGGTTGCCGTTATGGTCAGACTTGTTTTCCCTCAACTCTACGTACAAGTTCTGTGAAAAAGAGCATAAATTACCAGAGAGCACACGTGTAAGAGAGGGAGAGGGAGGAAGCAATTAAGTGATTTTCATGTCCCGCGAGTGTGCGGGTAGAACTCCAGATGTGAACAACGCCGAACAACGTTTGAGCTCCTGTGGATTTTGCCTGTTGTTCGTTTCCCACCAGTTCTTTCTGACGGGATTACATCACGCACAGGAAAACGCAGAGAAATGGGGCAGAAATAAGGAAACAGGAAGAGAAAAGTGTCAGTTTGGATAGTAGTTTAGCTTCGTCTCTTTTAACTGTTGACATCTTGACCTTTTCTTCCCCATCACATGTAACTGAAGTTTAACATGTTCTCTTAAACCTCCTGGGCCCTGGCCACGAGTGTATTGGATGTCTTTGTTAAAAAAAAAAGTTTAAGAAGAAAAATGAAATCCACGATCAATTTTACAACACTGTATACCTCTATAGAAGTGATTGGTTTCCTCAAACCTGTAGACCAGGTGTCAAGTAACACGCAAAAGCTTTTTCTATCATGAATGAATAAAGATGACTAAAGATTCTAGAGGGTCAAATTTACAATAATGATGGCAGATATCTAAATTGGAATGGAAAAGAAAACTGAAGTGTTAAATGTGAACATCCAAAACTGCACTCCCATATATTCTGTATTCTCACTTCTTTAGCTATACGTCAAACCAGACAGGGTCAGTTTTCAAACAATGTAGCTGATTATATAAAAAAATAAAGCACTCAATAAAACATATTTGACTTCATTGTCATGGCCATTCTCTGTGATAATTATTTCCACACTAAATGTTTATTTTTTTAATTTTTAAATCCATAAAAAAAAACCTGAAAATCTGGCAGCAAGGATGCCAAATATTAAGAAATGGTGGAATACTGAAATGTTCAAAAGCTGTAAAAACTGTGAAAATGATGGCAAACATCTGTAAAACTATGTTGTTTTTAGCAAATTTAAATACAGTAAAGCTGTGTAATGTTATGGCCACACATTGTAAAAGAACAAATCACTGTTGTGTTTTTTTTTGTTTTTTGTTTTCCTTTGGTGGAGATTTTACTGGATATTGTAAGTAATTAAGCAACAATCTGTGAAATAATTAAATAATAGTTTAACTTTTTTTTTTAAACAAATATATATCTTCCATCAAACATTGGCAAACGTCAGTAAAATACTGATATTTTTTGCAGATTTAAATGCAGTAGGAAATTTAAGGTGAAACTCTGCAAAAGAACAAATTAGCATCATTGATTGATTGATTGAAAATTACACCTAAAACTCTTAAAAGCTTGTTTTTTTCTTCCTTGTTTTACACAGTGTACTGCAAAACAAGGAAACACTGAACCCACAACACGACAAACGTCACCAGTGTCACACTGATGCTTTGGCAGATGAAGAGGAGCATCAAAAACAAAGATAAGAAGACGTCCACATACATGCTCAGATGCACACAGTGCGACTGGTGTTTCATTACACCCTCATGTCTCCGTCTGTCACGCTCCGCCTGTCGGCTGTGAAGCTTCGGTTTGACTTCCACGGAAAGAAGGCGCAACGCCAAAGAGTGATAACAATGATGCAGGTAACAGAAAGGAGCGTTTGTGTTAGAACGACAGTGTTTTTCTGCTTCCTTCTCTGTTGGACTAACTCATTACACGTACTCCATTCATGCACACATCCTGATCAACAAGTGAGTTTTTTAGGTACAAAAATGGAACAAATCACACCTTTTCTATACATGCAACACAAAGAAGAGAATCAACATATGCAAGGTTAGAAAACACACGCACAGGAGCTTTAAACCTAATGCACAGCTTCTGATATTCAGTGTGGGGTTTATTACGAGGTGACACAGTGGTTAGCACCGTTGCCTCACAGCTAGAAGGTCGCCGGTTCGCGTCCCAGATCTTTCTGCATGGAGTTTGCATGTTCTCCTCAAAAACATGTTGAGGTTAATTGGTGATTCTAAACTGTCTGTAGGTGTGAATGTGAGTGTGCTTGGTTGTCTGTCTCTAAGTGTAGCCCTGTGATAGACTGGTGACCTGTCCAGGGTGGGATAGACTCCATTAGCTGGAATCCAGTTAGATAGATAATACCATGGTAGACTCATGTATTCGACCAGCTGAACAGTCCCTACTAGTAGTCAGATGCAAACATTCATCACACCAACAAATAGCTTGTTTTTTTAAACATATATATTGGATGTAACAGGACAAACCAAAGCTCGGTTTATAATTGGCTTGTAAGGATGAATTTAGCCCAAATATAATCCTCCCTGTGGGCACCTAAAAGACAAACAGAGGCTAAACCGAGAAACACGTTTGGATCCACTGAACTCAGGTACGGATTCAACGTCCGTCTCCAAAGTATTTACAAGTGGGATAGTTTGTTTTAAAACTTGAAACCAACCACTCCTCGTTCTGTCACATAATACTCGGCTAACACTTTGGGAGATTAAAATCCTGCTCATGATGTTTGCTCTCCAAAGTGACAACATTTACTGACACTGCAAGTCAGCCCTCCTCACACACACACACACACACACACGCCATGAAAACATCATAGCAAAGCAAACAGGTTTGTGGTTTTTTTTAAAAGTTTCGTTGTCAACACCTGAGCCTGACTCACTGGAATTTGGCAGGTAAGTATGTAAACATTCAGTTAATAGGGAAGGGAGGCTTCATTTTGTTTTCCTACATTTAACTCACTGGACAATAGATGTCATTGTGTGCTTATTTGTGTGTTTGTTAAAGTTTTAAGATTGGTTCTACTTCCAAAAACCATTCAAAAACATTGTCAGTGTGTTGGTTTATTTGAAAACTGTGGCACTGAAATGCTTTAATGTAATATTAAGAGCTAAGTTAACACAAAAAAAACAGGACTCATGACTCCAGAAGCTGCTAGAAAACATTATAAGATGAGTTAACACAGCCAGACTTCTTTGCCATTCGCAGCTCTCAGCGGCGCTGTCACGGAGGATGAAACTATATTAGGCTGGAAAATCTAATCGCAGGAAGTTCTGTGCCATTAATGAGCGCAGAAACTCCACCACGGAGCCTTTAAACATCTTGGCAGAGTCCGTTTTTTTTTTTTTTTCCAAAGTGCAAAACTTTCCAGAGCTTTCATGTAAGCACTGTACAAATACTGTGCTCAGCCTCGGACTTTATTAACCTCAAAACAACAAGTTGAAGTGAAGAGAAGTGAAAATGATGGTTGGATAAGTGAATTAACTGTTTCTGAAAGGGGACCCTTTGAAGCAAATGAGATGCCCGTGATTTGTTGTCACCACAAGATCTGGTTACACAGATTCAATCGGGTGAATTGTCACCAGACTCCGGACCATAAAGCAGCTTCTCTCAATTATGTTGCACCATTTTTTCTTTTTACTCACAAGCATCCGGGCGTTAAACATACATGCCAACCATCTACATGTGATGCCATTTACGCAACAGCCTCACACTCTCTCCCCCCACCACCACCACCTCCAAACCTCGCAGTCCGTCTGGCTGGAGAAGGAAAGCAGTACCAGATGTGGAGTTTTTTTTTTTTTTTTTTTTCAGTGCAGTTGGGTATAAAGACCTTGCTGTCTGGAGGGGGTGGGTGTGTCGCACATCACAGGGCTTGGAAGTCTCTTTATAGAGATGGAGGAGGAAGGGCGGAAGAATAAATAAACGGCCGCCTCCAAACATGTTTTATGTCTCCTTCATGTGATGTGAGCAAATACTGTTTGTCCCCGATCTGAAATCGAGCTGCTGGCGCTACTGATGTGAAGAAGCTGAATGTGATTTTACAGCTTGTTTTTGTTTTTCTGCAGCTATGAGCACATAGCCCTGGGTTTAATGTTCATGCATTTATTGGGATGTTGTGGAGGAGAAATCTGCTGTCAGCTACAAATCTGTGTTTAGGGTTGAATCTGGTTGTTTTTAAGTATATAGTTCAAAATCACACACATTTTGCGGCGTCTAGACTTTCTAAACTCTCCTTAAAACTTTGGTACTTTCAATTAAATCATTTTTATGCCACTTTTACTCATTAGATTTAAACTTGCTTGTACTTTAGTTCTATTTTAGACTTTATCTTTATAGTTTTCTGCTCTTTTTAACGTCTTCAATCTGTTCTTTTTACTGTTTTAATCCACTGATGATTTGTAAAGCACTTTAAAATCACCAGCAGTTTTAAATTAAATGCACTTTCCCGTGAATATTGAGTAAATCTTAAGACATAGAGAGTCTAAATTAACTAATTTACCAACAAAATACATAAAACCTGGCTGCAATTTTCTTATAAAGCTGGTTTGGTTTCCATCCATCACTGCTTCAATCTTAAATCTATCAATACCAGATCGATTAAAGACAATCAAAACAAGCACTGTGAGTTGTTTAATTGCTGGATCAATACCCATGTTAGACTATTTTAAAAGCATGTAAAGAAAATCAGATTTTTTTCATCTACCTCTGTCAGTCTGGTTTTGTGGATGTGGCTGCGCTCCAGCTCCCTCTGACAGGTCAGCACACTGGAAGCCAAACTAACACCTGAAAAAAACACACACACACAAGAATAAACATTATAAAAACACATATACAACATCTTTCCTGAAACATTCTGTGACCGTGTTGACTGTCTTACCTTCTGGACTCTGTCTGCGTTTCGGAGCTGTCCACAGAATGAGAGAAAAGTGAGCGCTGGTAATTTCATTTTCTTAAAAAACAGGCTAATTTAATGCAACTTCTCACCATGTTTGGAGTGACATTTCCCCATCCTTCGATCAAGAGACGCTCACGATGTCCAAGCCAGGAAGGTAAATTACATTTGGCATCAGAGAAACGTCCATTGGGGGACTTTGAGTCACTTCACAGACGAGCAGAGCTTCAAATGTTTGACTGGGATGTTCGTCAAAGAGTCCGGAGGCGCAGCGAGAGGCTTCCCTGCTGCGCAACTGCTGCTCCGGTTTGGGAGGATGTCGGGGCTCTAGTGGCAGAAATGCAATATAATGTTCTTAATTATGTTTTCATTAGTGTAAACACAGCTTTTCCTTTTCCTTTCTTTGTTTAAAAGCGTTCTGAGAAAGTTGTACAGACTTTTAATAATGTTAGCAATTAGTTTCTAGAATGTTCTAAATCAAGAATAAAGTCATCCAAAAAAATCAAAATATGTAATTCCTTAAACATTTGCCAGTGTTGCATTTAGTGTCCTTCCTTTATTATCATGCAACATTATCGCAACGTTTTTCAAATCTTGTGACGTGTTCCCTCAACAACATTCCCAAAACATGATCAGTTCTGCCTTTGTTAATATGTGGCATTACAGGAACATTTCATAGAAAACATTCTGTCATCTGAGGATCTGATAACATCTGGAAAACATTTTTGGAATGTCTGTTTGTTCTGCTTTTGTTATTATGTAACATAACTTCTGTTATCATCCTCCAAAAATCCTCTGAATGTTCTAAATAAAAAGTTCTGTCTTGTTTCACTTTTAACCTTAATGGAACATTATTTGAAAATAGATTTTCTTTTTTTTAAAGTGATCTTTGCACATCAGATTAAAATGTTTTCTATTAAACAATGTTATTGTTGTTGTTTCCTGTTGTGAAGGGAATTCTGAAAACAGCATCAGATGAAGTGTGAGTAGCTAATGCAGCCTCCATCCAGTGAGTCAGACTATCAGGAGATATAACGCGCATGTACGTGCACCTGGGCCGGCTGTGGCTCAGGTGGTTGTCTACTGATGGCAAGGTTGGTCCCCCCTCCTTTCTTTTGAGAGAGATGCCACTAAATCCATCCATCCATCCACTATCTATACATCTATTAATCCTCACTTAAGGGTCATGGGTGGGCTGGAATCTATCCCAGTTGACTCAGGGTGAAGGCAGGGGACACCCTGGACAGGTCACCAGTCTATCACAGGGCTACACTTAGAGACAGACAACCAAGCACACTCACATTCACACCTACGGACAATTTAGAATCACCAATTAACCTCAACATGTTTTTGGACTGTGGGAGGAAGCTGGAGAACCCGGAGAGAACCCACGCTGCACGGGGAGAACATGCAAACTTCACACAGAAAGATCCCGGGTGTCCTCATCAGGACGCAAACCGGCGACCTTCTTGCTGCGAGGCAACAGAACTAACCACTGCTCCACCTTGCAAGCCCCGCCACTAAATCCTACACACTAAAATAATCATAATAATGTGTTTATATTGTGTATGCATTTACTCACTTCTAATCAGTATGAGATGGAGCCTGTAAAATGGCTGTTGCCACCTTAAACTTACCTGTTTGTGGGTTGCTGTTTTGACACCTTTAGTGTAGAATTGAGCTGTGAGAACTTCACACACAGCATTATGGTAGTGGCTTGTCAATTGTAAGGTAGCCACGTGCTAAAACATGCCTTGCTTTATTGCCTATTTCCTTCTAAACGGAACCTTACTTTACTAAATAAAGACCACGCTACATTCAGAGTGTCTTGAAACTAGCAGCTGAGATCATAAACTTATCAGAAAAATGTTTACTGAGGTAACAGCTCAAGTGAGAAATTGGGTCATTTTCCCAAAGACTTCCACATAATCTGACTTAATCTTATAGCCAAAGGAGTCGTCCCCTGCTGGCTGTTACGAAGAACACCAGTTTAAGGTGCTTCTGCATCAGTTTCACTTTTCAGACCTGAAGGCTATATCCATCTTTTATACAGTCTATCATGAAAATGCATGATGTGCAACAGAATAATAGAACTGCAACATGAATTAAGAATACTGGATGTTAAAACTTAGCTATAAATTTGGTAAACTTCATCAAGCAGAACTGGAACAAGACACGTCAAATCATGAACTGCAGCATCTCTTTATGCTCTGATTAAAAGCATGACATGTTGAACAATAATTACACTTCTTTACTGTTTCTATTATTTGAGCTTTTCCAACATTATTTTATTGTTCTCAGTCTAATTCAGTAAAAATATAAAACATTTAGTAAAAGTCATTGGCAAACTGGGAGGTTAAAAAAAGAGCTTTTTGTTTAATACCAAATACAAAAGTAATATTTCAGTGTCACTGCTGTTTCCTTCGTATCAAATTACAACTCATCTTTACACTTTAGTAATGGCTGTGGTTGACGACCATTATTGTTTTCATTATCTTACATAACTGTACATTTATCTGTTTAAAAAGCAACGGACTCAGTCCGTATCACAGTCCTGTTAACTGCTGCCGCTGACAGACTCTTTGACGGTGAGGGCCGGTGTGGGTCCTATGTGGGCCCAGATGTAGCCTTTCTCCGGTCGTATGGGGATGGTGGGGAACGGAGAGCTCCGTGACTTGAAATATTCAGAGGGAGCGTGGCACACAAACTCCAGGTACTCCATCTTTCTGGGCAGATCCTCCTCTGGACCTGAGACAACACACATGGTTCTTTCAGCAAAATCCAACAAATCACACTTTGAAACAAAGAAAATGACTTAAATTCTGAACAACTGCTCACCAACAATGTACGTCCCAGGATCAAACTGGTCCTTTGGGCTCGCCTGAGTGGGGATGAGCCAAGTCAGTGCTGCACTTTTTTCACAGTACTGGTCCTGTACGAAGCCTCGGATCTGAGCATAGTAAGGCTTCCCGTCTTCCTCATCTGTTACCTTGATCACGTCTCCTGTTTGGTAGTAAACACCCTGTAAACAGAGCGTGACAGTGGTCTGACTCCTTCTCTCACATGCATCACAGGGGCTAAGTTTTACTACAACAGTGCTGCTGTTAGATTAAGAAATGCTGAAACCAGATCAGGACATGTGCTCCAATCAGAATGTTGTAGATTATAATATGATCATTTTTAACATATGAGGTGTGTCAGAAAACTTCCAGGACTGGAGGCACAAAACATATAATGTAAACCCAAACTACAAACTACAAGTTTTCCCCTTCAGCGATCAACCAGCTTGTCTACAAAGAGATCCTGCAGCGTTTGCTTCGTTTAGAAGAGGCGAGAGTTGTGGCAGGACAAGTTGTGGCTGCTTCACCATGACAACGCACTTGCTCAGAACACCCTGAGCATCCGACAGTTCCTGGCTGAGAAGAACATCTCTGTGCTGGAGCAACCTCCCTACTCACCCCACCTGGCTCCATGGGATTTTTTTCCTCTTCCCCAAGCTCCAGGGAGTCATCAAGGGGACCAGTTTACAAGACGTGGACGACATCAAGATGGCTGTGACGACGGAGCTGCGGAGGATCCCAGAAGAATCCTTCCAGGAGTGCATGACGGCGTGGCAGAGAAGGCTGGGAAAGTGGGTTAGACTCCAGGGGGATTACTTCGAAGGGGAAAACTTGTAGTTTGGATTTGAAATATATCTTATGTGACACCAGTCCTGAAACTTTCCTGCCACATGTCGTATGGCAGAAAAATCTGATTATTTTTGCTCAGTAAGGATAAACACTGTACCTTATAAAATACGGATTCTGATGTGATGATTGTTGCTACAGATTCTGGTGCTTTGATTGGCTAAGGAAAGAGATCACACACAAGGGTCAAAAGCAGAAACTCTTTGTGGAGGGAAAAAAACTCAATTACATATCTGTAACTTACATTTTTGAGTTTGAATATGTGTCTCCTTCCCTTTCCTTTTGTTGACACTTTCTTCTCAGATGCAGGAGCTTTGTACTTGGTGCTTCTCAGCCGCGCAGACCTCCTGTGGATCTCCTGCTTTGACTGCAAACGAACACAAGAACGGATATCAGACATTCAGATGATACTGATTTATGGTTCGGTCTACGACAAATCAGAAAAATATAGAGTTCTGACATTTTATATGCAACAACGTAAAACTGGAATTGAAACAAATTTCCAAATTTTTGAAGCTGAAACCACCAAAACATTTCTTGACAAATAAATGAAACAATGAATCTGTTACTTGTAACTACATGTTTCTGTTAAATGCTTCTCAGTAATCTGGACCAGGGTCTCTTTGAGAGAAGTCCAACTCTAGGAATTCTGTCAAATGACACATCATTGCAGCAACCGAATTTACCTTGTGCTGCTGTAGTGATTTTAAAAATTATCCACAAACACATATAATGTATTCGCAGTGATATATATTTGGGGTATTGTGTTGCAGGACTTTGTGGGTTGTCTTTATGCACTCACCACCAAATGCATCTCTTCTCCTGGACCAAACAGCACTTTAAATAGTACTTTACTCAAATTACTATTAAATTAAACTCATGAAAACATGTAATTCCAAGGTGCAGCTTTGCATATGACTGTATCATCATGAATAAAACTAATTCAAAGGCACACAGTGTGAGAAGCCCTGGTGTTAGCAGCCTGCACTCACTGTGATATTATGATGGATAAAGGGTTGAGCACACAAAGAAAGTAGGATGACCTGACTTTGCCTTGTGCATAAACATTTTAGCTTTATTTTGCTATGAAATAAAAGTGTAAAATAGTACAACTATGAGGTTAAACCCTGAAGATTTCTGGGCGTGCACCCCTCAACACGCAGGCCCTGTGGAGGAAGCCTGTGACTGACCTGCTTCCCCCCGCCATTGCTGGGCTGAGTGTTGGAGGACATGGAGGGTCCTGACGGTCCGCCGCTGCTGCTCTTCCCTGTGCAGTTGTTGCAGAGGATTTCTCCCTGGTTTCCTTTCTTCCACATGGAGGAAGAGTTGGTCTTGCAAACAGCACAGCATGGTTTCAAACCCAGCGGCATCCTCAGCGCTCACAAAACGACGCCAGCGTACGACGAAACGAACGCAGCTCAACAATGAGATGAAACTGCTCCTGCTGACTTTTTAGCGTCAATGTCCGACAACCGTGACTCCCAAATCTGACACCAACAAATAAAATCTCCTTCCTGCAACACGCTGACCCTAGGCTGTCAGATACGACAGTAAATTACGCGTGACAATAACCAAAATAAATTGCAACCATGATTGTTTATTTGTGTAGCGCCATTGCTAGCGCCACTGTTCTTCTTCGGTGCTTTCGACTGAAATACTCTTCTTCTACGGTTGATATTCGGGCATTTGCCAAAGCCAAACGCCACCACTGGACTGGATGACACTGCACAGAGCTCAGTTTGTGAATATGTTTAATTTTTTAAACATTTTATCTTACCTAGATTTTATATTATGATTTGAGCCACTATGGAACGTTTCCATTACTGTCACCCTTGAGGAGAGCACTACCATGAGGATTGAAATGTTTCAGTGTATGACAAAAGTGATTATTCAGAACAGCTGTGTATTGGTTTGCAGCGGTCCTTGTGAAGGTTTGTGATATTTGTTTCACATTTTATTACTAAAATCCGAAAACAAGATTGGAAACAGTTGCTTTCAGACATAGAGTCGTCCTCAAATTTATTCATACTCTTCCATTAAAGAAAAAGCAAAATTCACAATAATCCCTCAAATAACTAGAAACTGAAAAAAGTAAGAATAAATAGAAATTTGATAAATTATAGTTTAGCGAAATGAAACATTGCTTTTGGATTGTGGTTGACAAGAATAAAAAAGCAAAAAACAAAAAAAAAAAACTGTCCTGGACAAATTAGAGCACTTTGCTGATGAGCAGTGGACCAAAATAGCTATCAACAGTTGCAGAAATCTGATTGAGAGTTACAGAAAACACTTGATTGCAGTGATTGGCTCAAAGGGTTGTTCAACAAAATACTAGTTTACGGGTCCCATCATGCTTGTTTGCTTGTTGTTGTTTTTTTCTTATATTTCTGCTGAACCACAATTCAAAAGCAATGTCATGATTTTCACTAAATATTTATTTATTTTTACTTTTGTCCATTTCAACTTATTTCAGTGACAGCAGTTTTTTTCCTTCTTTAACTGGAGAGTATGAATACATTTGAGGATGACTGTAAACACATCTTTCAATCTTGGCTCCTCCTGTCCGGCAGGTGGCGCTGCTGCAGAGAAAAAGCCGCCAAACATCGTTAACTCGAAGAAGAAATGACGTCACCGTTCAAAACAATACTTGAAGTTCCGGCTGACTGGCGCCGCGTCCTCATGAAGATGTCCCAAAATACTCCCGATAAAGACGACCAAACGTCGAGCACCAAAAAGACAATCTCCCTGCCGATCTCCAGGGTGAGGCTGATCATGAAGAGCTCCCCGGACGTGTCCAGCATCAACCAGGATGCTCTGTTTCTCACCACCAAGGCGACAGTAAGCTGCTAAACCGCCGCTTCACTGAGCTAACCAGCCGTTCATCCGCTGCTGCTAGCGGGGGTTAGCACCGTTAGCTGCCCTGTTAGCTGTGAGCTATTCTGTTGAAATAGGCGGTGAGTTGCTGACTTTTTGTATGTGTTTTTGAAGGAGCTGTTCGTCCAGCATCTGGCTCTGTCCTCGTTCAACAACGGCTCCGGGAAAGAAACCAACAGTCTGTCGTACAGCGACCTAGCTAACACCGCGGAGGAGACCGAGACCTTCCACTTTCTCACAGGTGAGGCAGACACACCTGGATGCCGGGTGCCTACAGCCTGAGCAGCAGCTCACAAGGCCCTCAGCCACCAAATCATCAGAGTGACCTGAAATCTTGATGCATCTGAGCTGAGCTATGGTTTAAATATTATTTTAAAAGTTGCGATGTAACCTAAATTATACAACAGCTTGAAAAGTAAGGGTTTAGATAAAGATAAAGCGGTATACCCAGAAGTCAACATAACAGCAGTGAAGCTACATTTAAAACCAAAAGAGGGGTGCAAAACTCAGAATGTCAATATTAATAGATGCAACTAAACAATTGGCATATTTCACTCTGCTGCAGCATCAACACATTCAAACCTATGTTTATTTTGTACTCTTAAAAGTTCTTTACATATAGAGGACTCTTTCTATTATCACAGTTTTACGCTTGGAGAAGAATCTGTGGTATAGATAAGGTCTGTGTAACATCAGTGTTCATATATCCTGTCCCCCGAACACTACAACTTAATAAAGACTTATTTTAAAATAATTAAAGCAGTAAAACGCTAACAGTCAAGTCACCATTATTTATATTGCATATTTTCATCAACTGCCTTTGTGCGTTGTTGTGTTCCAGTAGAAAAATAAGACTGATCTGAAAAGGAACAATTTTAAAGTTAAGATCCAACAGTATTATATTGAATAAAAATTAAACTATTAAAGTTAAGACGAACAATGTTGTCAAATATGCGAATTAACATGACTAATTTAGTTTATATTCTCAGTTAGTCAGGTCATTTTGTTTTTCTATTGGCCAAATATGTGAACACATACAAGGAACAGTGTTTTCTCTACTCTCACAGTACTGCCACAAAATATCATGCATGTCCATTTAAATAAGGGCAGTGGGTGACAGAAGGAATACAAGAGTTTAATTAACTACTACGTACAACTATAGATATGTTTAATAGAGCATGTTTAAAGAGTTTTTAGAGCAAAATTGCAGTAAACCCAAAGTTTCGTGCAAATGCAGTTATTGACACGATGCATGTGACGTAAACAGTATATACAGTTTGTGTATAATATTGTAGGGTCTTGATTTTAATACCTAAAGTTAAGATCTTACAAAATATACACGACAAACCCAATGAATGTAAAAGTTCTCTAAAAGCAAGCATATTGACCACAGTGGAAGAAGAAGAGCTCAGTTTTACCAGTAAGAGACCTCAAGCAGAACCAGGTTGAGGGAGGAAAGGAAAGCAGAGACAAACAGAGAGAATATAAACACTAAACAGGCTGGTGAGAGCAGCAGTCGCAGATTAGAGTTGTGCTACCGGAGAGCCAGAAATACATGCATAACCAGAGAGGAGAAAGCACAAACGACAGCAGTAGTAAGCAGTAAAAAAAAACACACGTAATAAGCAATAAAGAGACAACTTCACGTAAACATAAGTCAATAAAAATGGGTTTTAAGAAGTGTTTTAAAAGAGGTTTTGTCTCCTCAGACAGGTTGTTTCAAAGCTGAGGGGTCCTGATTGCAAAAATACTGTTACCTTTAGATGTAAACCTAGATTTCATGGGAAGAAGAACGATATCAGTCCTCCTCAATATTCAGAACGCATGCAATTGGCCTCCCCAAGAAAAACATGAATGAAGCAAAGAACTTTTTATTGCAAATAACTGGTACAGCCTTTACTCATGCAGCTCAAATCTGACGAATCCCTGTTGCCTAAGAAAACCTGGGTTGATTCAAGAAATGAACCCTGTGTCCTGACTTGCCCTCAGTGACACATACTTTTCTATACATAACATGCGTTCTTGAAAAATAGACTTGAGGACTGTACAACTAAGCAAGCTCAACAAAGCCAGGCTTTCTTTGAGTTAACTTGCTTAACAAAACTTAAATTCCCAGTCGAAGTTAACGAGTATCACGCCGTAGGTATTCCTCTTGCGGCTCAGTGCACATAAAAGGGGATGTTTGATGGGTCATTTGACTCTTCTTCCACACAAATGGACCAATCACGTTCCGCCTACTGCATTCAGAGAAGCAGGTTGTTGTAATGGAGAGCAATGAGGAGCATAAAACTTTATTGTCCTACCACTAAGTGAAGCTATTTATTCCTAATGTGACAGCTGCACATTAGAGCTCATAGTCTTTAAACTTAATACATTCAAACAATAAATGAAGAAGTGCATTTAGGTCTGATGCTGTTCCACAATGAGTGATACTTGGAAATCACCTACGTTAAGTCAAAATAAAATAAATGTTACTGACTCTCTGTGATAAACACCAATAGACTGATGATTTCTCTGACCTGTTTCCTCTTGGCTCCAGTAACAGCAGAGTAAAAGAGACACGAAAACATCTATTTTCTGCATCATAAATTGTTTTTGCTGGTAGTGCTGATGTCCTGTTCATTTTTCATCCTAGTTATTTTGGATGCCCAATTTTTATTATAATATATCGAAAGATCTTAAGGCACGACAACAAAATAGTAGCAAAGAAACAAACTGGTGTCTTTTAAGGTAAAATATAAAGTAGTGTAAAGATTTTTTATTTTATTTTTGTGGCCTTTATTTAATAGGAAATTCAAGAGAGTGACAGGAAAGTGGGGGACAAGAATGTTGGAAGGACCTGCAGGAAAGAGCCCTGAGGGAGACTAGAACCCATGACCTCTAGCCCCTGAACATGGGACGCCAGCTCAACCAGTTGAGCTATCATGAAAATATAAAGTAGTTTAACCAATAGTCATCATGTTTTCTGTGTTAGTGCATGTACTGCCATGAGCTAAAACCATCTGAAGGTTTCTGTAGCTCTGAATTATTATCGCTTCCGTACTAAAAGATTTATTACTACAACTACGCATCCTCCACGGAAACATTTATGGAGGACGTGAGCACAGTTTCATAACACATCATGACTTAATCAGTTCTCAGTCTGACTGTTGCCAAATGTTTTTGCTTTTTTTTAGCAATTAAGATGAAACCGAATGTTTCTCAGAGGACAAGTAATGACTCAGTGTGATGTTGTTGTTTTCTTTTTACCGTGACAGACATCCTGCCGAAGAAGATCTTGGCTCGGGACTATCTCAAGACTTTGGAGCAAATGCAAGAGGAGGAAGGTGATTTTTAAAAAAAGAAGGAAAGCTGGATGAATTTCCCGTCTGGACAGATGTTATCACACGTCCTTGCCTGTCATTGAGAGTAAAGTGGCTGGCACGAGAGACGCTTTGAACTTTCTCAGTGCTTTTAAACACTGACTGAGTTCATCTGTAGGGCTTTTGGGAGGAGTTAGAGGACACGGAGCTGAACGTAAACCCATACGGGATCGATGTGAAATCAAGTGAAGACTGAAAGATCAACTTTAAACAACACTGAGAGTCTTAGAGAAATGTAGACATTGTACCATAAATCTATGATATATAGTTGATGTTGACAAACTAAATTTATGACAATGGCCTAAACAAAGCAGCCATGAGCAAATCAGAATTCCCCTGAGGTTTTCTGCATAATTGATTCCCTCTACAAAGGCATATATTTGAAACTACTATCATCGTTATTAGGTGATACAAACATTTTAGGAGTTCACAATGAGTTTACATATAGCTAGACTGAAGGTTTTCTGGTAGCAAAGTCTTAAACTTTACGCTCGTTTTGCATGCACCGCCATCAGGAGAAGAGAAATGAGCTCCCTCCATGTGAAAGACCGAGGCATGGAAATCCATTCCACGCAGCTGCAGCGCAGATGTCTCAGCTCCTGAGTTACTATCGCCTTTAAAATACGACTGAGTGAACTCTTTATTTTGGGGACGTTGTCAAGCATTATTTTCTGAGCAACTTATGCTGTTACTGATAATAGGTATGATAGTGTAGGTTTATTTTTGTTGTTTTTAAGCGATGCGGTCGTGTTTTGAGCTCTGAGTAGGTAAATACTTGAAATTTGTTGGAACTAATCAAAAAAATACCTCTGTTTTACCAGCGTAACTACAACATAACTGCTGTCTTTCCAAATGAAACATTCACACTCAGCCGAATAGATGTGAATATTTAACGTGTATGCAGCATAGAAGGCATCCTACGTGTGGTTTTGATTTGATATGAAAATAAAGATTCGTGCTGTGTGACATTTATTTTGCACTGAATGCTTTTTTTTTTTTTTTATATCCTGAAGAGACACATGTGAAAGTAGTTTATAAACTCTGAATGGGGTGTTTAACAGCATGCTTATTCTCTTCCCAGCTTCACGAGCATCTTCCTGTTTTTACTAGAGGTTTAATGTGACCATGAAATCTCCACATGCTTCCAAATGACACTCGATTTTACAGTAACATATCCATCAAACACTCCCTGATAACGTGAGGTTTATTTATCTTACAGGTTACATTTTTGGTACATGTGCTGATGACATAATAAGGTGCATATCAAATGTTTTTTTTTTCTTTTCTTTTCTTCTCGTATTACAAACTACAATAATCCTGAGCATGCATTCGCCGGCTACATTGTCGTACATTCATGTATAAATACAGTTCGAATAAGGGGAATCGGCGTCTACGGCACCGTTGCTGTCAGATGAGCTTGCTGAGTCGAAGCTGCATGTTGAGCAGGTTGTTCTCTAAAGTAGAAAACTGCCTCTCCAGGTGGTTCACCATGTTCTCTCTGCCGTCTATGGCGTCCCTCGTGTTGGCCAGATGCTCCTTCATGCTAAATAGGATGAGAAACTGTTAGGATCATATATTTTTGATTCATGGTTTGATCATCTCATATTATTCTCTTATTATCTTAAGGCAGGGATCCCCAACTCTGGACCTCGTGAGCTACTCTACAGGAGGTTTTAGATGTTTCCGTACTGCAACACACCTGACTCAAATGAATGGATCGTTGTGTAGAACTTGACAACAAGCTGTTGGAGATCCATTAATCTGAGTCAGGTGTGTTGCAGTACGGAAACATCTAAAACCTGCAGGACAGTAGCTCATGAGGACCGGAGTTGGGGACCCCTGTCTTAAGGCATAATCAACATAACTTGTAAACAATTGTAGCATGAGAAAACATAGGTGGAAACAAGACTTGGTAGTTTGTGTATATCTTTCCCTGTCACAAGCAGCTATCTGCAGGAGGGAGGAACTGAAGGTGCTCAACAGTTCGGTGCTGAGTGGCAAGTTTCTGCACCTACGAGATAGTACAGGGGTGGGCAATCCTGGTCCTCGAGGGCCACAATCCTGCATGTTTTAGATGTTTCTCTCTTCCAACACACCTGATTCAAATGATCAGCTCATCATCAAGCTCTGCAGAAGCCTGATAACGATCCTAATCATTTGAATCAGGTGTGTTGGAAGAAGGAAACATCTAAAACATGCAGGATTGTGGCCCTCGAGGACCAGGATTGCCCACCCTTGAGATAGTGGAAGAAGGCCCAAGGACACAGAGGAACCAATCAGCTGGCTGCAACACAATCTGTGCTCATCCTCATATAATGGTATAAGTACACTGGATCAGGGAGAGGCAGTCCGTCAGACTTGGTGCCCTGACATTACCCCTGTTGGTGCTAGGGTGAGATCCAGAGCTCTGTATGCTTATTCAACTATCTGCTAAACAAATACATTGAGTGAGACCTAAATATTTTCTCTTATTGCTTCATTAAACGAATGCGCAGGAGCGATCTCACACATAGTTTAATTTCTGGTAGATTGGGATTCAGCTCCGACAAGTAAATATGAGACTTTTGTCAAAAAAAAAAAAAACATGTTCCCCCAAATCCACGACTTTCCAAAACCTGGTCTGTTCTTACATCTCTGCGTTCAATGCTAAATGATCTACAGCGCCAGAGCCTCGTCTCAGCCAGATGTCCCGACAAATGACTGTTGGAAAATACTTGAAATGACTCAGCTTGTCTGGGAGATGTTTCCACTCCGTCTTCAGTCTGTGTTTTTTTTTCCCCTCCACAAACAAGCAACACTGATCCAGGGTTCCCAAGCCCCTCACCAGTAATAATAATTTAGGTCTAGCCCCCACAGCTGGCCTTGGAAGAGTTTTTGGATTCAAGGCCAGCTGGAAATGTCGCCGCTTTCCTTCTGTAGTGTGTGGCTCGAAGCTGTTTATTGTGACTGATCTCTGCAAAGTACAGTAGATTTAGTCTGTATGTAAATATAGATGTGCTAAAACCACAGATACATGTATTTAGTCCAACATCATTAAAGAGGAAATAAGCGGGTAAATATTCACATTATCACCACTTATTCAGCTTCTACACTTTTTATATTGTTGGATTGCAGGTTTCCGAACATGCAGGAGTTTGGCTTTCAAGAAACATTCACAACTCGAGGTTAAGAGATTATATGAACATTATTTGTTCCAGATCGGAGGGGTTACGTATGTTTAGTAGGCTTTAGAGATTACAGCATTGGCCTGTTGCTCCACTACTTTTGTTCACACTGAATATCTCAACAACTGTTGTGTGGCAGCGGCTGAGCAGTCAAACAGTTGCAGCACATAAAACACAACTCCAGGCTTGGGTTCAGCTCTAGCTGCGTCGCTCTCCTGCAGCGTGTTTCTTGTCTGACTAGACTGTCCAATAATGGAAGAAATGACAGCAATATAATCCTAAAAAGAAAACCACTACTAGATAGATTGCCGTGACATTTTGTACAAACAGTCGTGGTCCCCAGAGGATGAACCGGTATTATGTTGATGGTTACCTGACTGAAATCTTCTCTTATCCTGTGAATTATCTTCATGTCTGCTAAAAGATTTGGGACATTGATGGCTCCCAGACTAATCATATACTCTAATGACTCTAATGATCTAATAAGGATTCCTTGCTGTTTAATCTGGAGTTACCATCAGGTCATGATTTCAGTTTGTCTGTGACTTGGAAAATCACTGATATTCTCATCAGCTGACTTTGTGTTTACAGTTGCTTTCATACTAACATGCTGAACTAATGTGGTTTAGTTAGTTCACAGTGAACCTGCGAATTGTCATCTCTGTCTCAATTCAACAGGCTGCTTCTTTTTTAACTGGGATTTAATTCACTAAATGTCTTCTTAAAACATTCTTTTTTTTCAGAAAAGCTCTCATATTTGGGTAAATTTATAAATCTATTTGATTTCTGATTTATGGTGTTTTTCTTGTTTTGTTCTTTTCTTGTTGCTGTTTTTAATTATTTTGGGAAGCATGTTTTAACTTTGTTGAAGAAGTATTAGACAATAAATCAAACTTATCATCATTATTAGGCCTCAGAGAGACATTAGCATGGCTGTAGAATATTAATCTTGTTTCTTTTTTTAAAGAACATGGTTTTTCTTCTCCTTATCCTGGATTAATTCTTTGCTTGTAAAAAAAAAAAAAAAAACAAAAAAAAACTGTGAACATGTTTTCCAAAAAAGAACACAGTTTAAAACGCAAAGATGGACGTCTTTGGAATAGGTGTCTGGGAGAAACGTCTCTCACATCCATACGTCATGACATTTGTCTCAGGTATCTAATCCATCCATCCATCCATCCATCCATCCATCCATCCATTACAAACAAGTTGACACTTAACCAAGCATTGTGATAAAGTGTTGAAAGATAGGGCTGCTGCACTGGATTCTTGAGAACATCCATCCATTATCTATACACCGCTCAGTCCTCACTCATATATATCAGACAAAAGCATGACTTAATTCATGTGTACTTTAAGTATTTTGGGGAAAAATTTTCATTAGCTACCACTGAGCTGCTGCCGGAGCTTGTTTCACCTGCGGCTGTGGTCATAAGAAACCTTTTGTTTAAACATTTTTAATTAGAACTAAAGCTTATAGCTGAGATTTTACCCATTTGGTTATCCATCCATACAGACATGACTTGTTCTGGGATATTGGGGTCAAAGGTCATAAGAACATTTGGAACCTAGAACCTTTTCTTAAAATATAAATACAAGATTTGTACCGTTCCTGAAGTTACTCTGCCCATAGACCAGATCAATAGATTCTCTACAGGTGCCAGTTTCTCACCTCGTCAGGACTCCCTGGTCCTTCCCCTCCTTCCTCTTCTCAGCCAGACCAACAAACACCGTCTCCATGGTTTGCATAGTTTCTACCATGTTCTGGTGTTCTGAGCGGATCCCCTGGACCTCCTCTCTGGCCTGGTAGTCGTAGGAGACTCCTCCCTCCTCCACCCCGCTGGAGGTGGACACGGCCTGCAGCGCGGCCCTGTTCTGCAGGACGAGTAGACGGGACTTGGCGAACTCTTCGGGTCCGGCAATGTTTTCCCAGCAGATCGGAGGGGAAGGCGGTAACCAGAAGCGCTGGGTGCAGTTAACTGGTTTTTCTGGGGTCTCTGTTATGAAGGGGCTGTCGGCGGGGAAGCTGTGGAGCAGGTGCAGGAGAGATGATCCGGATCCCCACTCCAGGTCCTCTACATCTGGCTCCCCTGACACTTGCTCATGGGGAAGAGGACCTGCTGATCCTGCATCCTCTGCTGGGGAACAGACAGCCAACAGCAGGCAGCAGGACAGGCAGAGCCAAGCCCTGCTCGCTGTCCGCTGGAGCATCTCCAAACCACCTGAAACATGGAGGAACAGACTAGCTGGCATCATGACAGACAGTTTATATTCACTAAACATCATCTTCCTGATCCAAGCTATTGTTTTGTTATACAGTCTACATGTCCTGAAGTTCTTTTACCAGCGACAATAAACTAAATACATGCATTTAGGATGAAATTCCAGGACAGACTATGTTGTGTGGAGGACAAACTGAGACAAAGAAATTTCTACTGATTAATACAAAAGTGAAGAATAATGTTAATGCTGTGATTTTCCCTTCAAAATAAAAGTCTAAATGATTTTGCAAAAGACTCAGTTTATGACTTTAGTTGACGGAGATGCACACACAGACAGAAACATTAACAGTAGCTGAAGTTTAGCTTTTTGCTTCCAGCTGTTTGTAGGAGTTTTTCCTCTGAGTTGATTACATATCTGCAGCATCAAGCAACAGCGAGATCCATATGAGCATCTCCAATGTGAGAGATAACACAATACAGCAGTAACTTCATTGATTACTAATAAATTATCCCCGACATGCAGACAGGATCGATCAGGTCACACTTTGTGCTTTTCTTAGTCACTGTTTATCAGCTGCAGTTAAATTATTTTTTACACATTTGAATCCTGAACACCATCCCAGTTGGACATTATTGTACTGAAAACATCTGATCTATCTACCAAAGTCAAACTATTACTCCGTCATATCAGATTGTTAAATTAGGGATATTTTTCTGTTTCACATTTGCAGCAGTGATGTCATTGTGCACATGGATGCATTACAGAGCATGACTTGTCTAATTCTTAAATTAACAACTAAACTATGAAAGCAGGTAGCCGGGTAGCAAAACACATTTTACTGTTGCTGTAGTTTGATAAATTATCATCACATGAGGACAAAATTTTCAATAATGAAATGATAAATAATCTGCTTCTTTAGCCAACATATGAACTTTTTTCCCCTTTTTGTTTCTGTTTTTTGTTACTTTGAACAATAGTCACCGTAGGAAGCAAAATGCAAACTGCATCTCTATTCCTCTGTGTTCATCAGATAATGAGGAACATTTAATGTAAAATAAGAAACCAAAACAGCCTCAATACTACACTGTAAATAGGGACTGCTGTATACCAGTTTTCTATCAGTTTTTTTTGGACAATTTGCTGTTTATTTTTCACCTGATTTTTCCTATTTTGTTAAGCCACAGATTTTAAGTAGTACAAATAATTTAAAAAGTGTTAATTTACTCCATGACTGCTTTTTTTTTTTTTGAAGAAGTCATTTTTTTCTTACAACTTTTGACTGTAAAATGACACCATTTTACTGTATTTAAATCGGCTAAAAACAAACAAACAATAAAAACAGTATTTTACAGATATTTGCATTTATTTTCATTTTATTTATTTATTTACAATTTTGGCAGATTTTTTTTTCAACAGATTGTTTCTGGCATCCCAGGCCAGAATTTTATTTTAATTTTATTTTTAAAAAAATGTATTTAATGTAGAAATAATTATCACCAAGAATGGTCACAACCAAAAGATGCCATATGTTTTATTGTATTGTAATATAACAATAATATATCTTTTTAAAACAATAATTAAAATGGAATCAAGTGGTCTGAGCTTTTGTAATTAACTAAATCCTCTGAAAAGTGACCCTGTCTGGTGTGACTTTTGAAGAAGTGAGAATACAGAATATGTGGTGCAGTTTAGGAGGTTTACTCTCAACATTAGCTGTCATTTATTGTTTCCAAGAAATCTGGCTCCATTGTTTTTCAGTTTAACGTCTAGAGTCTCTTGTCATGAATGTCAGCAAAAGCTTTTGCCTGTTTCTTGACAGATATTACTTAAGGTGTATTTCCTGGCTACTGATCTTCAACCTGCAGCTGATTTTCAATCTGCTTTCAATAACAAGAATTCCTAAAATTCAGTTTTGGCTTTAGAGTTTTGGTGTGTTGGCTCCAGACTTCCAGAGTCTCCATCTGGCAAACGTGAGGAAACATTTCTGGACTCGTCTCTGCCTTTAAAAACGCAACAAACTGAACAGATCGCTCTATAAAATACACCGTGTAGTCGCGATTCTTTAAATTAAAAATCCACCAGGACATGCAGCAGAAAGTCGCGTTTTTATTTCTCACAGTTTCACCCGAACTTTAATTGTTGCAGCTTCGTCGTTGCCAACAATGAAAAACTGCACAGTAGCGAATCACAGAGACTCCTGATCAACACAATAACGCTCACAAACACAAACCTAAGTCCTAATAATTCTATTATAAGCATAAATGATCTTACCTTGCAAAGAAACCGCAGCGGCAGAGCAGTGTGTGTGTGTGTGTGTGTGTGTGTCTGTATGTGTGTGTGTGTGTGTGTGTGTGTGTGTTAGACGCTCCTCTGCTGCCTCAAGTCGTCGGAAAAAGTGAGTCGTTTGACTGCAGCCTGTTACATGCAATCGGAATCACTTTTTACTGGCCCGGCAACAGCTCAGTCAGGAGGGTTTTCCTCCACAGTCTGAGGAGGCAATCATGGAAAAGTTACCGCAGAGAATGCAAAATACACTTTGTAGTTTTAATGTCTCCTGCAAGTGCAAACGTCTCTGTGGAAAAACAAAGTGCCTGTGGTCGTCTCTTTTTCTGCAAATCATGCCTCATAAAAGTCTGTCAGTGTGAAATATCTTTGCTGAAATGTTGTCTTTGGTTTCTTTTTCCCCTTACATCTTTGTGAATGAAGTGGCAGGAGGAGGAGGAGGAGGAGATGAGCTGCTCCTGGTATTTATGAGCCATTTCACTGAGTCCTAAACAGAACCAGTGTTCAATTTGGATGTTTTAAAATTCAAATATTCCAGCTGCTTTCACTGTGCTGCCCTCACTGGACACTGATCAAACTGTTTTCCTTGATTTCAACTAAAGACACAGGTTCTAAAAGGTACCCAAACTGTCCAAGAGCCTGCGATTAACCATCTGTATTTATTTAGTGAATATCCAGGGAATGGATTTATATAGCCAGAGGCTCGCACCCTGACATAAGCAACCAGGAATGGGACATATTTTGGCGCAAACAAGCGAGAGTGTTGTAATTTCAGGGGAGGAAAGGACACGAGGCACAAAACACCAGCCTCTGAGACTGAACTGTGAATTTAGGGATGAATTGTTGAACTTGGACTTTGTAACTCCTATGAAGGGTGGGACTGAAGGACGCCGTATCATATCACCTCTCAGTTCAACAAAAGTCCTCCTGCTGCCTTGAAATGTGAGTTAACGAAACTCGATGGAAAAGTTGGACAAATGTGAAACCAGCTGAGTTCAGTTCACATGATACAAAGAACTTCAGATGTTAAACGTAATCTGTTGAAACTGTCTTCACATTGACTCTATTTACATTTGATCATTTGGAGGAGTCACATTTTCATCTGGCTCCTCTTAGAGCAACTTTATACCCTCATATTATTAAAGTAACAACATGTGAGATCCCAGTGACCTTGTTAAAGCCCAAAGGCTCGTTTCCAGCTAACATTTCTTTTGTTCTACAAATGTTCTGAGAAAGTTCTGCAAAGTTCTCAAAATGCTTTTAGAAGTTTTTTTTTTAGATCCCAGAATGTTCTTCTTAAAGGCAGGATAACGTTCTCTGAAGATTTTTCTCTATTGCATTGAGAACGTCTTTCCTTTGTAATCATGTAACATTGTGGAAACGTTCTATGGAAGAACGTTCTAGATTGTGTTCTTCGGCAACATCCCCAGAACATCCTCAGAATGTGGCAGGAAAAATGTTCCACCTTTGTCAATATACCGCAGTACAGGAACATTTTCTGAAAAACATTCTGTCTTGTGAGGCCTTGATGACATCTTGCAAACATTTTTTAAAAACTTATTTGACAACCGTATTTTTTTTAAATCATTGAACATATTGTGACAGAAACTTCCAAACATCCTCAAAATGCTCTAATTAAAACATTCTGTCATCGTTAACTTTACAGGAACTTTATTTGCAATGAAAAACATCCTTAAAACATTCTTAGAACACTGCATTAAAATGTTTACTTTAAAACATTTACTTTAAAACATTACTTTAAAACATTACTTACACAGATACTATATGTATATATATATATATATATATGTATCGAAGTATATTACTATACTATGCTACTATACTACACTACACTGCACTATACTATACTATACTATACTATAGTATACTATAGCATAGCATACTATACTATACTACTATACTACACTACACTATACTATAGTATAGTAGTACTATAGTATAGCATAGTATAGTATACTATACTACGATACTACACTACACTACACTATACTATAGAACAGTATACTATAGTACAGTAATACTATAGTATAGTATCGTATACTATACTATGCTATGCTATACTATACTATACTATATACTACGATATTATATATTACTAACAGCCAATTAAAAGTTGCAACTAGTGTCACATGTGGTGTGATGTCAGTGATTTTACATTGCATCTGAACACACAATATGGGGGCAACTCCAGGATCCTGTGCTACATACTTGTTGGTCATTGGCAGACATGTTTGTCTCTGAATTTTCTAATTTTCTATCGTCATCAGTTTTTTGTGCTGCTTAAAGTGACGTAATCACAATTAATTTATTGTGACATCTTAAATCTGAATAATTTTTGAAGCACTAGAAATGCAGCGAGAGATACAATGTTATTTGTCTAGTTCTTCATTACATTGGAAGATTGGAATTTGAAACTAGTCTTCATCATGAGTCACATATTTTAGCATTCTTATTACAAGAACTAGATTTACCATGTGTAAAGGCACACAACAGGTTTCCACCATTCAGATTTATAGTATATATAAGTATAAAACAAAGGGCTCTCTAGAGAGTTAAACAAAAGCATGCAGGGAGGTCTTCTATCACACTGATAAGGTTTCTTTCTAATGAACTCCCATCAGCTCATTCATTCAACTCGTTCTTTCACTCGGAGTCAGAACAACTCATGTTTATAAATGCTGAACTGGTCTGAGACAGAAAACTCTGAATCTAACACTAAATTTACTTGAAAGAGGTGATTCCTCTCTGGCTTTGGTTTACAGCTGGTTTTGGCAGCCAGATGTTGTTTTTCAGGTCCTGCGAACAATTTCCAAACCATTCAGAGATCAAAAGGAAGCAGTTGGGATTATCACTTCCGTCCAGATGAAGAAAGTCTGTGTTTCTGTCTCGGCAGCGAAACAACTAAAGTGGAAGAGCAACGGAAATAGTGACACAGTCGTTGGATTACTGCTGCAGAATTTGAAAAGAAAGACATGACTGACTGGGCTTTTTGTGCTCAAGTCTTTGTTCCTACAAAAGGTAGAAATGTCTTTTAGGTTACTTCAACTGCAACGAATCACCAGAACATGGAGGAAACCCGTCTCACAGCAACAGCACAACAACAGGCCCAATCTAATATGACTTGTGGTCACAACAAACAGCCAGAGTGTGTATAAAAAGACACGAGTGTACACTGATCTCATTATTGTGGGTCCCGTGTGAGTTACATTAGCAATATGGTGTCTGCACTGTGATGCCTACCAGGTCTAGTAAAGTCAGTTTTATTTACCACAACGGCTACAATAAATGAAACTCTTTTTAGATGCTTGAGTTGGAAAAGGAGAAATAACACCACAAAAAAACCTATAATGTGGAAAAATTAAAAGAGGAAAACTCAGGAAGAGCAACTGAGGACAAACATGTAAGGCTGCAGCGGCAAAATGACATTATGGAGAAACAGAATGAGAATATAAAGTATACCTAACAAACATACGACAAAAAGAACAACGCTTTCTGACACAGGGCTCTTTTTATAATATAAATAATGTCTCTGTGCTCAAGAATCCACTGCAGCAGCCTTTTCTTTCAATATTTTATCACAATGCTTAGTTAAGTGTCCCTTTGTTTTAGTATTCAACCATTTTGTAAACTTGAAACACACTGATGCTTCTTTACAACATAGCAATGTAAGAAACAAAACAAGATGTGAGCACACAAGTTGGAAACTTTGATTAGATTGACCCTAAAAATATCCATCCATTATCCATTATCTATTATCTATATACCGCTTAATCCTCACTAGGGTCACGGGGGGCTAAAAATATTAAAAGGCAAAATTAACAGAATAATAAAACCATTAGGATTAATTAGAGCATTTAAAATTTAAGGCAAATCAATGATTTAACACAACAATGACTAAAGCCAACAGCCTAAATTGCCTCAATAATAAATAAGAATCAAGTTTTAGATTGTCCTACATGTTATTCCAAGTTGAGGATGCAGAGGGAGTAACTGGATTATCCAATCTCAGTGAAGAAAACCGACACCTGCAGCATAATCTAATCATTTGAGAGTGTTTAATTACTGCCATCATCAAATGACAGGAAGGAAATAATCTTAGGTGGTCGAGAAAAAAGCAAGAATCTTATGAATCAAGATGGATGAATCTGCGTATAGTAAGTCTGAGAGTGAGTTTGACAATTATCATTTTAAGTCCGAGAATGAAATTCAATTTTTAATATATGGTTTTAAATCAATAACATGTCTTTCATACAGGATTCTACTTCTGCCTTCATCCTCATTTGTTCTTTGGGTTTTCATCTTGATCATCTGGACTGAAATCTGGTTGGTAAAACACAACAAACCATAAAGAACTGCTGCTCATATGTGCAAGGCCACTGCTAATGGTGAAGTTGTTTTACAGATCTTGGGTGAGTTGTTTTCTGCATTTCTTTGGCTTTGGGAAACACTGACTGACATTTCCCCTATTTTATGACATTTTATAGAACAAATAACTAATCGATTGATCAAGGAAATAATGAACATATTCATCAACAATGAAACTATTTGTTATTTGCAGCCTTGATCATCGACCTGCTGCCTTATATGATGTCAGATTAGTTTTTTTTTTTTTTACATTTGTTGAATCTGAGTGTAAAATTATCATAGTTAGCACATTGGCCCATTCAGCTAAACTTAAATCCAATACAACTTTATTTATTCATGTCAGGGTGATGTTCGCTGCAGCTTCCAGACAGATCAATAGATAAACGGACATTAAACAAGAAAACAGACCTAAAATCAATCAAACCCTGCAACCTCAAAGACCCACATGTGGGATGTGTAATAACTGGGGCTGAATAATGAAGTGACTTCAAATCAAATTCGTAATTTGAGACAATGCAATTACAAAGGCTGCAAATGTAGATTTTATGTTATGGAGTGTGTCTTAACCAGGTTGATGTTTTACAAACTCATGCTGTCCTCTTTGTGTGTGTGACAGTCAAGGTTTGGATGGTGTCTCATGTGATAATGCTCCAACACGTTTTACATTGTGAATATTAAACTGAAGCTTGACTTGACAGCAAATCAAGCTACAATCACAATATCTGACATCTCCTCCACACTGCTGAGCCTGAGAGACATGATGAGGTTTCTCTGTATCTGCTGGATGAGTAACTAAGGAACTGTTTGCCTCATTATAAGTTGATTGAACTCAGTGAAATTCTCCAAAAAATGTACATGCATGTGCTTCTGTCACACAAAAACTCACAATTAAGTGCTGAAAATGGATCTAAAAAGATGTACAATCAACAGAAAATGCACAAGATAATGATGCAGGAAAAAAACATCCATCCATCCATCATCTATACACCGCTTAATCCTCACTAGGGTTGTGGGGGGCTGGAGTCTATCCCAGCTGACTCAGGCTGAAGGCAGGGGGCACCTGGACAGGTCACCAGTCTATCACAGGGCTACACTTAGAGACAGACAACCAAGCACACTCACATTCACACCTACGGACAATTTAGAATCACCAATTAACCTCAACATGTTCTAGGACAGTGGGAGGAAGCCGGAGAACCCGGAGAACCCGGAGAGAACCCACGCTGCACGGGGAGAACATGCAAACTCCACGCAGAAAGATCCCGGTAGTCCTCACTAGAGGAGAACACGAACTGGCGACCTTCTAGCTGCGAGGCAATGATGATAACCACCTTTCCACCTTGCAGCCCAATTGCAAAAACAGATAACTCCATCTTCACAAACCTTCAGAAAACCCACTTTTCCATCGTCTACCTGAGACAATATCAATCAAACTTAAGCAATCTCTATTTTTGTCATTTCTACTGAGACAAATCCACTCAACTTCAGTTTGATTGATATTATCTCAAACAAACAACAACAGCAAAAAGATTTCTGAAAATCTACAATGATGGAGTTATCTATTTTTGCAAATGAACTCTTCAAATGTTCTCAGTAATCCTACAGTGACATCTAGTGGCATCTATTTGTCTCACTATTGATTTCTCATCATTAAATCCCTGAAACTTGATCTTCTTGTTTGGATCCCTGCAGGATTTTCAAGCAGTTACAGCTGATAATTTATGACTTAAATCCCAATAATGTCGTTCGGGTTCATAAGTCTACAATGCATTTGATTTAATAAACTTTCCGGACCTATTTTTCCAGCTAAATTCCCTCACAGTGTGATCCAGCCCGGTCCATGAGCGCTGCCCAGGCCCAGGGCCATGTCTGGGGAAGGGGCGGGGAGCGCACGGAGCTCCGCCCCCTCCAGGCTGCCGTCGCCGGGGCTGCTGCTGCTGCTGCTGGACCGGAGCTCCCACAACCAGCCGCCGGCTGCTCCTCCGCGCTGAGGGAAGACTCTGGTGCAGCCCAGGAGCCTCCCGTCGTCTGCTCACGGTTACCGACATGGCCTCCGACGGCATGGACGAGCGATCTCCGCTGCTGTCGGGCCCCAACTCGGAGAATGTGACCCCCACGGCTCCCCCGTACCTGCAGGATTCAAGTCCCCGAGGTAAACACAGCAGCTGCCTGCATGCTGAATCATTTCTAGGGCGTATCGGGTTTGTGCGTAAATAAAACTGCGGCGAGGGCTAAAGCAAGGGCATCGGTGGGAAACGCATCCAGGGAAAGGTGGAGCTTTCCTCTGTGAGAACTGGAGCAGTGGGTTAGACAGAGGGGCCTACAATAAACAGCACACCGTGTTTTTAGAGCAGAAATGCCTGCATCACGACTCGCTGCATGGGGCCTGTGGTGTTTTGCACAAAAAAAAATGACTGGATGAAGCCCTCAGTAGATTAATGTTGTCGACTGCAGATGAAGGCAGCCTTTTGTCCCAGCTGCAAATCAACAACAACAACAAAAATACCCAGATGTGGCCTTTCGTGGATCAATTGCACGACATGATTAAAATGCCATTAATGATGTCAGTTTGCTTATTTGCATGAGAATAGAACTGTTGATCTTTTGCAGGCAGCTTGGATAAACTCGCACACTCCCATACTGTCTGTTATAGCTCCAAGTCTGTGTTCATATTATGCTTTATGTAGGTTACAGTAGCATCAATTACATCCCATAAATCCAGCATCCACTCAGGCTAGATGCAGCCATCTACACTGACCTTTGCACTGAATTTACTCTCATCAAATTCAGATTGTAGGGAGCAGAAGAGAGATTTTAACCCCATGATCACACATGCTTTACATTTTTACTGCTTTGTTGGCTCTAGATCTTGCCCGAGGTTTTAATTTTGAGAAACATCCAGATCAGATTCCCGTGTTAGAGCTTTTGGTTTTCTTGTTTTACATCTTCTATCAGCAACAGATGATTTCCTTTCGAGAGAAAAGTCCATTTAGTTTCCCCTCATGTGTGCCTTTTTTCTGTTAATTGGCTCATTTCTGGTGGTTCTGCAGCAGATGAATGGATTCATTGACCGTGTAATAATCTTTTAGGAGCATTTCAGGACAAACGGCTAACGTCAAACAAACAGGAAAAAAATGTTTGTTGTTCTGGAGTCGTCTAATCTTGCAAAATTCATATTTCACCACCGGATTAATGCATAAAGTCTTTAACTCTGGACTGTAAGTAATCTGTGAGGTGACAGCCTGTTTGGATGGTACAACAGTGACTGAGCAAAGCCGGAATGAATGTCAGTATGTTTCTCCCTCCTCCCTCGCTGCAGCCTGGATTATTGGCTAATTCCAGTTTGGGTTTGTTGGACAATCAGCCAGTTTGTAAGATGGATTAATTAGAGCCAAAGATGCCAAAAAAACTGCTTCTAAAAACACAGTGACTGAGACGGTGCTTTCACTAATATTTAGCTGCTTTTTGTCAAATTAGATCAATTATCTGTGATTAGAGTCATTTCTGAACATCTGTGCTGCCTTCACGTCCTTAATATTTGCTGAACAGTCGATCCACAGTCGGTTTTTAATCACCTTTTTGCTGTATTTTGCTCCAGTGAGCACAGTGTGGGCTTGGTGAGGGGTGGAGTCCAGTGACCTTGGCTGCATCTGATTTTGATTTTGCCACTTGCTTCATATTTTTTGCGCTTGAGCGGCAGAACAAAGGGACGGCCACAAAAGGCAGCATCAGGCTCTTTTAACCCATTGAGGACAAATGCACTCCTCAGTTTTATTTTCAAACTGCGAATTTTCAAAAATTTTATCCAGTTTGCGAGCCAGAAATTGCAGCAGAGGATTCAAAGGTGAAATCAGAATGCATTGCTTGAGAGAAAACACAATAATTAAAGCACATCTGATGATGACAGAACCTAAAAACAAGCATTGTGCATGTATCCAAACCCTGATATCAGAACTCCATTGATGTCTAAAACCTGCATCAGTGAGCCACGCTGCAGCACTGAAATGAAGGGAGTTAATGGAGTTTATTTTCATTTTCCATCCTGCTGCTGTACATGGTGGCTCTAGTAGGGCTTTTCCAAATCATACTGTACATGAAAACACAAGCATAAACACATTTCTTCTGCTTTCACCACCGAGTAACTGCCTCCAACGAAGGTGCAACTTCGTAAGTGTGGAAGCGGTTCAGTAACAAGAACCTTTACTCTGATAGAAAGTAGCATTATGCATGAAATTCCCCCCAAAATCTTCACTTACATGAAGAGATGTAAACATTACAAGTGTTTGATCACAGTGCTGTGAATGCATGCTAATTACAACAGGAAAAAAAAGGGTTTAAAGTTGTTATCATAGGCTGAATTGATATGTGGTTTTCACTGTCATCAGTTCTGAGTCATCGCATATCAAGCAGAGCCTGCTGAGCTCAGTGTGGTCACAGCCTCAGCGACACTCATCGGTGCAGAGGAAGGACCGGCTTACTGGAATTCAGCTGAACTTTTTCATAGCTGGAAGCAAATAGTACAAAAAGTCCCCCAAATTATAATCTGCAAAGTAAAATAAAAAGAACATCTCAGCTGGGCAGATGAATAATACCAGCGCCGCTTCAAGGAAGAAAAAAAGATCAGACGCTACATCACAGGAAGTCCAGACACGCCGTTATCCAGCGAATGAATTAAGCACGAGACGAGACGCGCTGTGATGGGATTTAACTCTGGTGACAGCAGCCGTGTCCCCGCTCCGTGGTTATTAATCACATTATGTTGAGAAAATAAAGACATCTGAGTTTGTACAAGTTAAGAAAACACCAGACTGAAGATAATCGGATTCACAACAATAATCTGAAACATCATAAATGCCATTGTTGTTTTCATCAGAGCTGCAGCTTAAAATAGTCCCAGACAAAAGCACAGTTTACTCCTGTTTCCTAAAATCTACAGTGCCCAGCTGTTTGAGGGAATTACCGAGCCTTTTACTTAAAAAATAACCTTTAAATATGTTGCTAGTTTTTACCGATATTTACGAGCTGTGTGGCACAGCGTAGCAGGTGAAGGCGCTGAGAAATCCCCTGACACATTACCGTGTTTATTGTTGTTTACAATGACTAAATTACAGAGTGATTGTACCCTTTAAGGCCATTTTTAACACATGGTCAACTGGAATTTAAAGACAAAACCAAAAACATTTGGGAGCAGCTACTATCTGCATACCAGCTGTTCAGTTGGGTTGAATCTACCCCACAGACCTCACGGACCCGCAGCCAGCGACTGTAATACCGGCCGTGATGGAGGCTGGATGTTGTGGTGCTGCTGGTGGTGGTTGTAGTAAAGCGTCTTCTCGTCTTACCTCTGGCTCCGGGGACAGCCGGTGAAAACCTATAGCGGCCGTATACAGTTTCTGACGTGCATTAGAACAGCAAAGAAGCAGGAGTAGAAAGGGCCCGAGATTGAGCGCTGGTGGCTGATGACAAATAACCAAGTGCTGATTTGAATTTAAGGTGCTGATTGGGATTTAATTTAGTCGTTCTTATATAAGAATTAAGGGTTAAAGACAAGAATACATTGTGCATCTGACTACACAGTGTTTTGGATTAAAAAAGCAAAGTAGAGGGTGACTCATTGAGGCCTTTTTCTGTGTGTGAAGAGCCAACTGCTGCCTGCACACAGTGGGAGTGTCCAGGCTTTGGCATGCTCCGGTCGTGTTTCCAGCCAGGTTTGTCCCATCATGGACGGGGTGTCCCATCTGTCCCCGCAGTGTCAACCGGTTAAGAGTCCCTGGATCTCAGAGCCAAGCTCGTTTACCCGGTGACTCGTCCCATTATCTCACTCAGAGAGACAAGAGGGGAATTGGTTGATTGTCAGATTAGATAGCTTCTCTGTGTTCGCTCAGTTGTCCTCAGTCAGACCAACACAGACCCGGTAAAGCATCACAAGACGCTCTATGTACCGATAAGAGTCTGATATACGGTATCGGTCAGTTATTCAATTCTATAACTAACGATTCCTTCCATTATCAATTCATCTGTTAGGCATTTTCACAATTACCGGATTAGCTGTTTGAGTCATAAAATGCTTGTTGGAGTTTCCCAAAGCCCAGGTTGGTATCTTGAGTTTGTTTATTTTGTCCAAGAAAAACATCCAATACCCAAAGATATTCAGTTTGCAGTCATTAAAGTCAAAGAAAAGCAGCAGCAGCTTCACATTTAAGAAGCTGGAACTTGTATTTTTTTTGGTATGAGGATCCGTCTGACTTGCACAACTGAATCATTATCAAAACAGTTTTCATGCTTCTGTGCTGGCAAAAGCTGCAGCCAGAATGTTTTGGGGTTGTCCGTCTGTCTCTACATCTGTCCCGGTCTTGTGAACATGATATCTCGTAAATACTTGGAGAGAATTTCTGTAAATTTGGCCCAAATGTTCAGTTTGAATCAAGGATGACCTGATTAGATTTTGGTGGTCTGTGGTCGCCGTGACCTCATGAAACAGGTTGTTGGAACAGAAACAGAAACTGTCTAAGAGAATAAAAGGATGATATGATGACCATTTATATCCAAAAGGTCGAAGGTCAAGTCTGGGCGGACATGAACTGTAACTGGGCTGGTTTGGTGAAAGCGTACAACCATGACATGCTAGTTTAGAGACTGAAGACTGAAATTATATTTTTAGCTTGTCATGTCTACGTACTTGGGCTGCAAGGCGGCGCAGTTGGTAGCACTGTTGCCTCGCAGCAAGAAGGTCGCTGGTTCGCATCAAGGTGAGGACACCCGGGATCTTTCTGCGTGGAGTTTGCATGTTCTCCCCGTGCAGCGTGGGTTCTCTCTGGGTTCTCAGGCTTCCTCCCACAGTCCAAAAACATGTTGAGGTTAATTAGTGATTCTGAATTGTCCGTAGGTGTGCTTGGTTGTCTGTCTCTAAGTGTAGCCCTGTGATAGACTAAGTCAGCTGGGATAGACTCCAGCCCCCCGGGACCCTAGTGAGGATTAAGTGGTGTATAGATGATGGATGGATGGAGGTCTACGTACTATTTTTCCTATCATTAGCTATTAGCAAAATAGGTAGTAGAGGCCATGACTGAGCATTTCCACTTCAAAGTCTCTAAAACATGGATTCAGAAAGCCAACGTTTTATATGTAACAAATGTAAGAAACTAATCCTGTCAGCATGCAGGGTGGGGTTTTCTGCATCACTATTCTTTAGATTCAGTTTCCAGTTAGAAAAAGTTGGTCTTTAGCAACTTGCCACAGTTTAATAGTGTTTGAGCAGAGTTGTAGGTGAGCTGGAGTGCTCAAGCTGTCAAATTAAGACAGGAAGGAGTTATTTTCATGGAAAAACCTTCTAAATATGTAACTATGATGCACAGAGATACGTTTTTATAATCTATTCAATGACCAGAGAACGACTTCAATGTTTGATAGTTAACTAAATAATAACAAATCACTTCTACATTCGTCACTGCCTGAGCTGCATTTATGTATATGGAGACTGTAATTAGTCAGTACAGCTGCACACCTTCATTTCCTGTGACTTTTGCTTCCTCTAGTTTAAATTAAAGTAACAGAATTACTATATATGATATGTCTCTATAAGATTTGTACAGTTCTTTCTGCTTTCTTACACGTTTAGATAATCGGATTCCTTTAAGGAGCAAATGAGTTCAGTTCGTGTCGACGGTTGAATGAAATGGTTTAAGAAAACGGCTCCTATAGTATCCAACAGAACGGCAAGTATGCTTGAATACTACTGTAGTAGTAAAGGTAGGGATTAGTGCTAAAGAGTCCAAGTGTATTAAAACCCAGAAAAAAATGGAATGTAGACTAAATACATGAGGTTAATGTGGGATTTAACGGCACAGTGCTCATTTGAGTGGCTACTGTAGTGAGTTCACAGTAGATCCTTCAGACATAAAGAGAAAATCTGAAAGTATGTGAATGCCGGACTTGTAAATGGAGCAAAATCTATATGTAGGTGTATATTTTAGCCTATTGACAAAGATATTAAAACAACAACATAATAAAACAACTGGACACGTCTAAAAACTCGTATTGATTGGAAGGAAGGCAGTGAAGTGAGTGAGTGTTTTATATCTGCTAATTTGGAAGTTTTTTCTTTCTTGGTGGATACCATTAGACTCGGAGTGTTTATTTCAGTCCATGCATCTACAAGTAACACACTTCTGTAGTATATAAACTGCCCACAGCTTACACACGAAGCTCAGATGTTACATCCTGACACACTAAGGCCACACTGGCTCATATATATGTTACATGTTCACTATCTGTGGCTGTGTTTGGATTTTACGCCGTTCGTTTGGCATCTGAAAGGGCCCATTGTTTCTTTCTCAAACATACAGAGTGGAGCTCCTGACAAAGAGAGAAGAGTCACATGTTGAGAAATCAGAGCCATACACAGGCTGTCATGGGTTTACGTACATTATGTGCAGCGTTAAGCTACAAAATAGTACTGACGTTGTGTGGAGCGTAAGATTATGTAAGATTTTTTAGGTTTTATTTATGCGTTTTCATGCTAAAGGAGTCATCGAGCAACATTTGTTAAGTTGTGTTTTATAGGCGGTTTGAAAAGATGGTGTGGAAAATTACTCATATTGTTAAGTATTCATCAGCTCTCCTCGATAACTGTGCTGCAGCAGATGCTTGTTTTTATAATTTATGCTGCATTTTGTTCCCTGACTAAAAAATTAGGGCAGCAATTTCTGATTATTTGTTAACATACATTGAAGTACCACATAGATTCATAATGAATCCAGGAAGGTTTTACTTTTTAAATTTGGAAAAAAAGCTTATCACGGTTTCCCAAAGGTCCTAAAAGTGGCATATTAAAAAGTCCAAAACCAAAAATATCCTATGATATGAAACAGAAAAAGCACAAAATCTCACACTTTAGGAGCTGGAACCAGCAAACATTTGCCACTTTTGTTGTGTATTTTCTATTTTCCATGAGAATTTAGAGAAGACCTTTAGTTTTAGCTGTTTTAGTCGTACACAGAGACTCCAGGAAGTTGGGTCTGTACTGCAGCTTTATTTGGATGTGTTGATCAGAAATGAGATTTAGTTGTTTTCTGTGTGTTACCCACGTGATCAATGGATATTTTCCATTTCACACATTATATCTACAGCTGCGTTTCACGGCTGCCGTTGATGGATGTAAGTGGTGGTTGAGTTAGGAACTGCTTTGATCACAAAACATTACAGTGTGTCTGACTGCTCCTAAACCAATTAAAGGTCTTCACTAACCTTTTATTCAAAAATCAAAGATAATATTTACTGGGTTACGTTGTTATGTCGCAAATCTTTTTGCAATCATATGTCTGCTGTAAACAAGGTCCTGTGTTCTAATGTTTTGTGATTTGATGCTACTTTATTGTTGTATATTTATAGAACGATTATAGATATTTATATGAACGTAGACTGAAAATAATTTCAAACTCAAAGTGTAGAATAAAGGAACACGAATGTGCAACTTGTCAAGTGCACAACTTCAGTTTGAGTTTTACCTGCCTGTCTGTGATGCTGTCTCACTGAAGGCCATGAATTTTGGAACTTTACTTTATAAGCCTGCTGCCCAAGACAAATTAACTGCATGGAATCTAGCTGAGCTCCAGAGGAGACGTGTCCCCCTGCTCTACATCTAGTCTCTGTTTACAACACAAACCGTCTTCTTTCACTGGATGCACAGAGCCAGATTGTTGTTCATGAAGCTGCCCTATTCCAGATGCATGCGATTAACAGCTGGCCGTGTGTCGTGTGCTTTGCCCTCCTCTTCTCAAAGCCGAACTACCTCCTCCTTACACAGCCATCGCCAGCCCCGATGCCGGCGGTGTGCCTGTCATCAACTGCCGTGTCTGCCAGTCGCTCATCCACCTGGATGGAAAGCTGCATCAGCACGTGGTCAAGTGCACGGTCTGCAATGAAGCTACAGTAAGTGTAAAGACGCTCAGGCTCTAGTCTCACATCCAGCTGCATCACTTATCAAGAGTCAATTTGCAGGAAATGACATGTCATTTCTAAATAATCAAAAGTATATTTCCATCTTGGCAATGCCCACCTTTAGCGCCTCACCAGATGTTGCTGTAGACATCCATCAGTCAGCGATAAGTGCTCCGTATGACAGCCTGAATGCTGCGATGGAGCTGTCAGTGCAGGGAGGAGAGCAGGGAGGTTAAATGAATGACTGTCATCGCCGTCCCTCGGATGGGAAGCGCCATTTACACAGCTGATCTTGGTGGTGTTTGTTCATCCACACGACCGTATGATACCGGATTACTCTATGCCAAAGACAGATTGAGTTCGGACCTTTAGTTGTTGAATCTTTCTGTAAATCTAGAAGCATCCTGATTTGATATGATTTAAACATTTGTCAGCACAGTCTAATTCCAGGCTGTACGTAGCAAAACACATTTAAATGACCTCTGAAAATGTGCCATTTTTAAAAGTTATGTTCAGCTTCTGTTAATTTGTATGAATGAGCTTATTTTCAAGCATTTAAGTTAAAGTTATTGCTGTTATTGGCAGTTTGTGCCATTGGAAAATCTAATGTAAGCAAAGATACCGTTTCAATCGCACTCAAGTTACTGTCAAATGCAGTATGACGGAGGACTTAATGTGGCTATTTGAAGATGATAAGTGAACCACAATTTGTATTTTAAAATATGTTAGATATGTCTGTGAAGACTCTCAGTCATCCAGGTCATGGTTATCCTCATGGATTAATCATAGCAACTGGATTTGCTTGAGTTCCTTGAAGATGTTTCACCTCTCATCCAAGAGGCTCATTTGAAGACAACAGATTTTGGCCAGGGAGGACAGATGGTTTGAGAGAGGAGTGAAGGAAGCCGTTTATGTCAAACTGGAAAGACCATCCCTGAACAGAGGTGGAGGTCTGAGGCATCATCTCTCACCAGGAAGATGAAACCACATTCACACCTAGCCACAAAAGACCCTAACGAAGCCCATTGTGACAGGAGGAGCATTAATGACCCACATAGTGAGGGGGAGGAGCAACAAACCCCCAATTGAAACCAAAACTCAGATGTTAATGGCTCCTTAAGGATATCTGGAACTCCCAACTAGTCAGTCAGAACTGATGAAGCCTCTTGGATGAGAGGTGAAACGTCTTCAAGGAACTCAAGCAAGTCCAGTTTCTACGATTAATCCACGAGAATATGTTAGATATGGATTGAAGGCTAAGCTTTGCCCAGTGCTGTATCAACTCTTTTACTGTCTTAAATCAGCTGCTCTTCTTCTTTTTAGGCTTTGCTTGTTTTGTATCAGATTTGGACATTTATGTTCATATGTTTATCGTGCAGCCAATCAAGAATCCCCCAACGGGAAAGAAGTATGTGAGGTGTCCCTGTAACTGCCTGCTCATCTGTAAAGACACATCCAGGAGGATAGGATGTCCTCGACCAAACTGGTAGGTACCAGACAGACAGATTCAAACCATTTTACCCCCAAATGATGCTTCAGATGATTCCTTTTTCAAAACCAAATCTGAGGCGGTGACAAAATGTTGCAACTTCCTAAAGTCTTTGCATAGTTTCTAGGTCATCATAACTTTACTAATCCCATCCCGACCGAGCTGTTAAAATAAGCTTATCTTTCTCTTTGTGCCTTCGACAGCAGACGCATAATCAACCTGAGCCCGGTGATGATCCCCGAGGAGCAAACCGCCCAGCCGGCTCTGCCCATCCAACCGGAGGGGATGAGAGTGGTCTGCGGTCACTGTGGCAACACCTTCCTAGTACGTACCCCTACAAAGACGACCAACCTCAGCCAATCACAGGCTTATTAATGCAGAATCGCGTTGCTGTGCTGTTGTTGGTACGTGCATGTGAATACGTCTGAGAGCCTCCATCGTGTGTTCTCAGCGCGTTTTGTGATAGAAAACCACTGCAGTAAATGGAAGATTTAAAGTGTTGTAGCCTAATGGAACAGTCTTTTTTATCAGATATCCTTTTTAACAACTTTTATCTTTTGAAATAAAAACCTCCAGACTGTGACTTCTGCAAGTGGGTGGCATGCATTTCCTGCACGTTCTCTTTCCCTGACTGGCTCAGCAACCGTCCAGTGTGGCGATAATTTTACCTCTTTAACCTGCAGCTGCACCGATTTTGTGCACATCTGAGGTGAAACTGCCTCCCTGCCACTCTGCGTCGAGGAAACTAACGGTTTTATTGGACGTGTTTGCTGTGATTGCATTTAATACCTCAGACTTTTAAAAAAGTGATTATGAACAACCCGAGTCAGTGTGACACCGACCCACATGGTTTTACCCTCTTAACGTTTTGCACATTGTTGCTTGCGGCATCTGTAGGGCAGTGAGGACGCCAGATCATCCCAACCAATGTCTGGTCTCCCCAGTGATGGCTCTCCCCCAGCACAACAACAGGTTGAGAAAGCTGGTCATACTGGTGGACATATTAACAACAGCCTAACCTGCTCCAATTCAATCTGCGGCCTTATTCACACTGGTGATTATGTCACTTTGTGCACATCTGGCTTTGAGCGGAGCTGCAATCAACACAATTGAATATTTAAGGCATAAAAATTGTGTATTTTTGATTTATTTGAATGCTTTTCCTTCACTGCAGCCAGATGTGAAAAGTGATGTATTAAACTTGTGTCGATAAGACCTTTCTAATCTGTGGTGGGTTCAATATTTTCATCACGCTGCTTTTTTTTTTTAACACCAGATGAAACCACAACTAACACGTTACAACAATGACTCGAGGTGCTAATTTAGCTGTGATGAAGGAATAATAAATCGCTGCAAACCATCAAAACTGATCATTTAAAATCATTCCCAATAAGCTCTCTGTTGATTTAAAGACGCTGTAGGATTGTAGTGTGTTTCTAGTGTTAGTCAGTGTGTGTTTCTGATGCTTAATGATGCTATAAACTGACAATGCACATCTTTTTGTCTTTCCTCACAGTGGATGGAGCTTCGATTTAACACGCTAGCCAAGTGTCCCCACTGCAAAAAAATGTGAGTCCATTCAACTTTCACACTCAGTTCACTTTTAAACTGGATGTGCAGCTAGTTTTTACTCACCGACAAAAAGTATACAGCCAGTCTATTGTCATGACGGTGCTCGTTTGCATTTATATAGAAGAATTAGAAAATGATATCCATGTGCATTCACATGTTAAAGGATATAAAGAAATGCACAATGAAAACTTCATGCATTTCTTTGCATAAATGTTATGGTAGGACGACAGTGTACAGTACATAGAATAGAACAGTTCACAAGCATAGGTTACAATTCAGCGACTTATGTGTGAAAAATATAAGATGAGGTAGTTGTGCAATGTCAGTTCACATTTCATTTAACTTAAGTTTTCTAAAGAACGTGACCACTACTCATCCCTGTAAACATCAGATCTGCTTGTTCTTCAAGTTACATTTTTGTTGCCTGTTTTTTTTTTTTTAACTGAGGTGGCAAGATGGGGCCACTTACAATTTTAGGGTGGCACACAAAATCTATTTCAGAAATTGAATTATGCTGTTATTGTATGGAGACTAGTTGAAAACTGTGTCAATATGAGGATTGGGAAATCACATTCTGATACACTTTGGCATTTTATTTTACAGTTATTGTTACTTATTATCTGATCTTATTATCATAAACTAATCCAGGTGCAATTGGCATTTTGTTTGCTGAAGTGACCATTGTTCAGAATAGCCCAGGTATCCTGCTGTGAAATGGAAAATCTCCCAGAATACAAAATAATAATTTATGATTCTTAGATTAACCAGGAACCATGACAATCCCAGTTTAAAGCTCATTCTGACAAATGCTCTTTTGCAGTTTTAATAGAGTATTTATTTTATATTTTATTGCTATTTTAGTATTTATATCACCTTTTAATCTTTTTTTCTTAGACCGTGACCATATTAGGTGCTGCAAAGATGATGCCAAATGAACTTTCGGTGTTTCTCATGTACAATGACCATAAGGCTTCTTCTGTATGTTGGCTATATAGAGGAAAGGGCAGATATAATGAGGTTACTGCTGTGTTGTGTTGTGTGTAAATGTGTGCAGCTTTCTGTCTTTGGAGACGCTCCTATGGATCCTGCAGCTGTACGATGTTGTAGTTATTTAATAAACTCAGAGGATTCCTACAAATAGCTGGAAGCAGCCGAATCAACTTCAGCTCATGTTAATGTTTTGTGTGTGTCTCCGTCATCTGTAGCCACAAACTGTGTCTTTGGTGCTTGGTTTTTATGGACTGAATGCACAGCAGACAGTCATCAATTCTGCTTTCAGTTGCACCTAAACACCGTTGACTGAAAGTTGGACTTTGGAGTTTCAGTGAATGAACTTCTGCTGCTGCTTAACTTTCCATTGTACAGAAATAAATGGAAGCTAAATGCTGCCTAAAGCAGGAGATTAGAGAAAATCTATCAAAATGTCTAAAACACAATAAATATGGCGTATAAAGCGGTTACTTGTGGTGTTGTGTTGTAAATGGGAGAACACATTCAAAACCATGCACACGTTCCGTGAAGCTCTGAGCTCAGTCTGAATAAATTGAATGATAAATAATACATTTAATTTCCCTTCTGGGATTATTAAAGTATTTTTCATTTCATTCATTTCATAAACAGACACTAGTTCTACCTGAGTGTTGAAAAGCTGCAGGCTGGAGCTGAGGTTGGCTGAACTGCACACAGACTTGTCGAGTTAAGTCGAGCACATCCCCAACACATCTTACTGTACAGCCGCCATTGTCTTAGTTTTACTGGAACAGTAATTTACAATCACCGTAAATTAGAGGAAGCAGAGCGTGTTCTCACTTCTCCACTTCTGCGCTGGCATCGACTCTCAGCCATGCAGGCTTTTGGTTTATCTGACTCATCTGGCCATAGGTGTAAATGCTCGGAAATCCATAAACCCCAGTTCTACTTTTCTTTTCCTTTTTTTTTTCTCAGGCGCTTACTTTATGGTTACATTCACTGCAGTCAGATGCCGAGTTTTAGCAGGTCTGGATTTGCAGTGCTTGGAAGGGGAGGGCAGTGAATGGAGGCTAATCTAGACGTGTGACAGGAATTAAAACTTGGCCTCACAAGTAATGTTAGCGGGAAAGGAAGGTTACAGGGTTGAGGAGCGGCGGGAGGCCGATGAAAGCGATGGTGTGGACTGTATCCACAGCAGAGGACATGCATCTGAATAACAAACTGCAGCCAAAACTCGTCTTTACTTTTACTTCTGTCATTCTGTTTTTTTTTTAATGTCTGTGTCTGTCTTGATCTCTACATTCCGACAATGTATGTCTGTGTTATATCTACTTATAGCTCAGTATATTTGAAATAAAACAACTTTGTCTCCTGTTTAAAGCTTGTCAAATACAATCTGCTATAAAAGACTTGTTTTCTTACATCTTGTAGTAATTCAACTATAAAAAGTTGGTAGCAATGAAGAGAGTTTAACTAAAATATCTCTCAAATCATTGTGGAGCAAGAAAACAGAACAAACCTATGTGTTGGTAGTAGTATACCTCATGATCTTTAATATGTACTGTTTTTATATCTTATATCCTCTGTCTGTTCCCATCTCTTTCTCCTTATACCTTCGTTTTTTGTTCCCGTAACCCCTTAAAAACCTCTTTCCTTCCTTTATATAAATAGTCACACAGTGAAATCTGAAGTAACTTGTTGTCATCATGTGATAATATTTTACTTTAATGCTCATAAGGGAACAGAAACTACTGGTGCAGCAGCATCTCTCCAAAGGAAAGTCCCTAAATAATCTGGTAAACCTACAGTAATGTCTGTCGTCTGTCTTCTTGGTTTCCCTGTCAGACGGACAGAGTGGAGATCGTGCTTCATTAATCCTACTGAGCCTGATTAATTCCTGTTTTTTTTTTTTCCCCCCCCCCTGTAAATCTTGAAGGATGTCCAGATCAGCCCAGATATTTAACGACCTCCTTCTGTAGTCACAGGTCAAATGAATGATCAGGCGTTTCGGACGTAAACATTGAGTAGAACAGAGATTAAATGTGAGAGCAGGAGAGTGTTTAACAGCGAGTAGAAGGCAAGAAAAATCATGTGATCAGGCACCCCTAAGCCATCTGAATACCAGCGATCCCTGAAGAATGCTTGAGTCCCGTCACATGAGGGGCATGTGAGAGCCGAGAGGGGCCGGAAAGTAAAGTTATAGTGAAGCACAAAAAAAAAAAAAAATAGTGATGGCATTCTGCTGCTTCGGGGCAGTTGAGCTGTATTTTTATTGATCGCTTTTATAGCTCGTCGTGGTCTGACCTCGAGCTATGTAACAGACACGCTGACCCCATACCAGGCGGTTGGCAGCTTTAGATGCTCAGATCCCTTCTGACTGTTCCAGTGTCGAGACTTAGATGTAAAGGTGACCGTGCGTTTTCCATCAGGACCCTTCAGCTTTAGAATGACCTACCTAACAAGATCAGGCTGCAGAATAAGTGTTTTCTTTTGAAATCACTTTTTCAAACTGATTTTTATTGACTTGCTTTCATGCAAGACCATCTCTTTACTCTCTTTACTCTGTGCTTTGGCATTTCTTGAGTGCTTCTATTAGTTTCATTTGGTGTTTGTTCTATTAATTTATTTATAGAGAATTTTTACATTTTGTCTGTTTTACCCTGTTTCACTCTTATTTATCCACTTTCTACTTCTTTCTGTTTGGCCTGACTGTAACATTGGCTTTTTTTTTATGGCTTCTAAAATCCGCTTCTAGAAGGTGTCATCTAAATAATGTCGTTAATTACGACTATGACCTGTGTTTGTGTGGAGTCTGGATGGAGATGAAGTTGTCGGGAACTTCATGTGCAACTTGGAAAGAGGAAGTGAGAGATTTTTTTTGGGCTTGCGAGGTTGTTGTGGAGTGAGATCACTGGGACGGTGGGTGGAACAAAGTAAATGTCAGTCACACTTTCATTACAAATGAAAAGCATCCGCGTGCAGTCAGCTCGTCTCAAGACTCACACAGAGTCACTGTCACGTACCAGAATGAGATGACGTTTCTCTTAAGACCAGGCTATGAGACAAATGCAGCATCTAAAGCATGTTTTGTGTTGTTGTGTATTTCTGTCATGAAACAGCTCCTCCTCACACACTGACCTTTTTCTGCCTTTCTCTCCTCCATGTCTCCCTGCAGATCCTCTGTCGGCAGTGCTCTCCCCAGGAGGCGCTGCTGTGCTTACATAACCATCGGAATGATCTGCATTTTCATTGGAGTGGGTTTAACAGTAAGTACAGTCTGCTCCGTGTGTGTTGGCTGTATTTTTACACATAATAGGAAAGTAAGTAGGTAGAGGTTAAGTACATAGATCCATGTAGAGTAAAGTGTCACACAGGTGAGTCTTGGGAAGCTTACAAATAAGTCCATCCATATTTGCAGCACTGTGAGGCTGTCCTTACAGCTAAAGGCTGATGTTAACATTTACAGATTTTCACATGACATTATCTTCTGAAAAATGTGAACAAGAATCAATGGAGGCATTTGTTTGGACACCATTTGATTTCTGCTATAAATCACAGAAAATTGCAATTCATCTTAAACTGTTGAAGTATAAATGCTCGTTAGAGATGAGTCACAATGCATATGGATCCTGACTTGCCCTGAAGTCACGATGACGTATGCACTCTCACCTGATGGAACAGCTGGTTGATCGTATATTATCTTAACGTTGTGATACTGGATAGAACCTGTTCATTGTAGTTGAAGTGGACAGATTCAGGTTTTTATTTGTGTGATTTTGAAGGTTTATTCTGGGAGCAGAACACATTTAGTGTGGCTGACATTTATCAGTCGGTGAGGAGGAATGCTTTCTGTACTCTGGCTTTTTTCCTTTTTTTAGCAACATCGGATGGATGGATGGATGGATGGATGGATGGATGATAGATGGATAGCAGATAGATAGATAGATAGATAGATAGATCAGAATCAGAAATACTTTCTTGTATTTGCCAAGTTAATGGTCATGTTATCATTGTTATCATTCTCTCCTCCCCTTTCTGTTCATCATCAGGTTGGTACTCGGGACTTTGCCAGTCGCTACAACGCCACCTATGTGTCCTGGGCGTTCGCCTACCTGCTGGGCCTCATCTGTCTGATACGAGCCTGCTACTGGGGGGCCATCAAAGTCAGCTACCCGGAGAACAGCTTCGCCTAGAGCGGGGAATGTCTCGGCAAAGCCCCCGCACGGCTGGAAGAACAAACTCCTCCACTTTTAGTTTTTTTTTTTTTTCTTCCTCATCGTGTTCAGATTTCAAACCGGTCATGTTCAGCGAAGTGGAACGTCCGCAGAGTGTCTGGGCGGGAGCGTGTTGGAAGAGGCGTCGCGTTTGTTTGAAGAAGCGTATGCAGGAGCTGTATCATGTCGTGTTTGTTGTCTGCACTGTTTTCGACTCGCTGAACACACCTAACTGCCTGTCAATCAACCCTGCGCTGGTCCACTGAGACTCGAATCCTGCCCATTTGTGTTTTGCCAAAATCCTTGAAAAAAAAAAAAATAGAATCAAGAACTTGAAAAAATGAAAACTGTGATTTTTCTTGATTTAGTTGGCTCACACGCTGATTAAATAAATGATAGCTTAGCAAACTGGCTGGATTTGGTATTTTTGGATCAGTTTTTCTGATTTTCAGCAGCTTGACTGACATCACGGCACCCACTTGATTTCTCTTGTTACCGACCAGACCAAAATAAGACGACCTCCTATGAACAGTTTGCCCATTGCACTACGATTATATGCAATTGTACGTGTTGTTTTGCTGCTAGTTAAACTCCAGCTACACAAAGCTGCATATTCATACTGTATTGTAACCATTTACCTTGCCTGTGTACACTGACATAGTATTGCTATATGATTTTAACTCTCGAAATGATCAACTTTTAAAAGAAATCGTCCTTAAATGCCCATGCGTGCCAACTTTGCTGCCCAGTTTTAGTCAAGAAGAGCCTCAGATCCACAGAAGCTTGTGTTTTTTTGTTTTGTTTCAATCATCATGGCGTTAGTTTCCTTTGTGCCATGCAGCTTTTAACTCACTACAGCAATAACCCCTTTGGAGTCATTTTGAACCTTCATCCATCCCTGCTCTCCTCACTGTTCTTCAAAATGATCCAAAAAACAAAACAAAACGCGGTGACTCCCGTTTGCATGTTGACTTGTTTCTGTTTCTGTCACTGAGGTGGTGTTTTTGTTTTTTTTTTGTTTCTGTTTCAGAGAGATAGCTGAAGGGTACGATGTTTCCCGTCTTTGCTCCTTCTGCCTGTTGAACTAGAATGTAAACCCTCCTCTCCTTCGCTTATATCGCTGCTCTCTGACCTCCAGTGAACTCCGTGCTAGCTAGCATCGCTATACGCTGACTCAGCATCCTGTCTCTTGACCTTGACCAGTGGGCACAGCTCAAACTTCTAACCTTGTTTTGAATGTGATGATGATGATGATGTTGATGATGATGATGATGATGATGATGAAGCAGAAAATAATATGGTTAAAAAAAAAAAACAACAAAAAAAACTTTGTACATAGTTCAAATTCAGTACTTGGAAAGGTAATTAGTGTGAGGTGGAAGGAAAAGATGGCTCGTGGGTCTTTTTAAAAATGATAATTTATCAATAAAATGCAAAAACTGCCTGCATTGGTCTGTTTATTTGTTGAGTGAAATCAGATTGCAAGGCTCAAACGTGGAAGAACTTTGTGGAACAGTGCAGTACTGCCCGCTGTGAAGTGTGAATTTGAGCCGCCGCAGTTGAAGTAATTTTCTTCCTTTTTTGTTTAATATGGAAAATTAACTTCTGGATTCTGGCAATTTAAAATAACACTATAATTTTGGTGAGAGTGCAAGTGTTTTTTT